GCGCCGCGAAGTGTGTCATTCGCGTTCGGATACGGAAAGGTCGACGTGTGCCATTATCACAGCGAAAGTGACGTCTGGGATGGCTGGCCGTGGCCGGGCCGGGCGGTCCGGGGACTCGAGGGACTCGAGGCGGGGGGCGCCCGGCTGGACGCCCGGCTGGTTTTAGGCATGCGGGACGCGTCGTCTTTTTGCCGCGTTTTGCCGCGGACCTGTTTGAGTGATTCCGACTCGGACCAGAATGCTCAGCGGATGACGCATCGCGGCGGGTCCTTTTCCACGCGGGGCGGCCGGCTGGCCGGGGGGAGCCTGGCGTGTCAACCCGACGAAATTTTGAAATGCACGAAACGCGACAAAAATGTGATACGGAGAAAGCACCGCCTTGGCTGTGACCACTCAAAGACAGCCAGGCGTTTGTTCGCAGGGCGTCGAGCCTCGATGCGGTTTTCGGGTTTTAGGCGGTCGCCTTGTCGCCGCCGTGGTGGCGGCGGCGGGGGCGCAGCGAGAGTCGTTTCGTCGCTCTGTCTCTCTCGCACCTACACGGGACGCCCCACGAGTGCGAGAGAGACAGAGCGACGACAGTCTGCAGCTCGCCGTGGCAGTGTGATGGAGTGCAGCAACAGCACGCCGCGGTTGCATCGCTTGCATCGCTTGCACGGTGAAACTCTAACACACACACCGACACACACGCGATAAGCGATCAGGGCAGTCGTATTCTTCTTTCCATTACTGTCCACCGGGTCCATCCATTGCCCTGGCGGGGCCCTGGTCGGCGGGGTCGCGCGCTGCCGGGACACCAAGGCTGCGGCTGCCCGCTCCCACGACCGCCGCAGTAGTTTCCCATATGTGTCGCGCGCGGCTCGCGGTTCGATTCCCGGCGGGGTCATCCGATTGGCATCCGGTACAGTAGCGGGCAGGAGACACTAAAGATCGCTTGGCGCCGGGGAGCGCCGGCCGGCAGTGGCGTGGCGAGGCGGGGGTGACATCGCCATGACACGCCGCGAGCCGCGGGACGAACGGCCAACATGGGCTCCACTTTCTCCATCGATTTACCGGCAACTTGGAGGTCGTCAACACGGAGGTGTTCACTAGGAGTGTCGGGCGGGCGTGGCGGGGGGCGTGGCGTGGCGGGGGGCGTGGCGTGGCGTGGCGGGCGTGGCGGGGCGTGGGGGGCGGGGCGTGGCGTGGCGTGGCGGGGCGTGCGGGGCGTGGCGGCGTGGCGGGGCGTGGGGCGTGGCGGGGCGTGGCGGGGCGTGGCGGGCGGGGGGCGTGGCGTGGCAGCGGGGACCGGCGAGCCGTCTGGCCATTTTTGAAAGCAAAGCTATCGTCGCGAGAGCGCGTCCACCGGTAGTCCGGCGGCCGCCCTTTCACGCCGATTCCGCGCAGAGTTTGGCTCGAGAATTTCTGCGCGCCGTTTTACCGCTTTTATGTCTCTTTTCCACGCCTCGTCCTCCCGGCGACCGCGTCGCCGTCGTCCGGGATGGATTGGCGCAGTTGGCGGCGGTTCGCGGATTCCCCGCGATCGCGGCATCAGTGTGATCAGCAGCAGACTGATTCCGAGAGTCGTTTTCGCCGTTCTGTCTCTCTCGCACCCATAGGTGTCGCCCCATGAGTGCGAGAGAGACAGAGCGACGAAAGCGACTCTCGGAATCAGCCTGCAGTGTCGGCGCTGCGGTGAAGGACTAAAGGACAGAAGGATGCGAGTCGCGGGGCCGCGCTGATTGCGTCGGGAGGAAAACGGCCGCGATGAAGGAGCATAGCGCGCCGACTGCACTTCGTCGCCATGTCTCTCTCTCTCTCGCACACACGGCACACTGAGAAAACCTTACAAACTATTTCAGGCCTTACAATAAGCAAAGCTGTTTGTTTGAACAAAGTATTTTGAGCATACATAAGCTTACAAAGGAAATACTTCGTAATTTTACGAACTATTTCTTCGTATAACAAAGTAAATTAGTTTGCTCGTAAATGTATGCTCAAAATACTTCGTAAGGCTTCAAGGGTGCACGCCCCACGAGTGCGAGGGAAACGGAGAGACCCCAGCCTTCGTTGTGTGGAATCAGCCCTGTGACAGTCGGAGACGATTGGCTGCGAGTCAAACGGCTAAACTTTGCCGAAAGAAAGTTAGGATATTTGTTCGTTTTGAAAGTGCGTGCAAACCAACTGCTGCGCTTCCACTGCACCGGCCCTGCACTGCAGCTGCGAGTGCGAGTGAGACAGAGCGAGCTGGCCTCGCGGCGGGGGTCGGGGGGCGCGGAGATGATTCATGTTCCCTTTCAAATTAAAAACATGGAAACTGGCCGACTGGGCGCGCGAGTAGAATGTACTTTTGCGTCTGGTTCGGGCCGAACAAGGCGCTTCGGAGCCCGTTTCCCACACTGCCACGGCACCACGGCGCGGAGACCGTTCTCTCTGATATCGGCTCGTGCGTGCGCCTGTGCGTCTGGCGGCGCGCCGTGCCGTACACGCGCGTGCTCGGTTTCGCACGCGTTTGGCCTTTGCCACAGTTTCGCTCCTCCGCGACCTTCCACCACACTGCACTGCCAGTGTGCCAGTGCACCGCTCCGCGGGGAGCCTCCAGGCGCCTCCAGGACCACCGTGACACGCACGCAACGCTGCAGTTCACCGACTCGCGCGCGTGCGAGCGCGTGCCTCGTGAAGCGTGCGGCGACGCAACGCCACGGCACTGCAAGGGTTGGCTGTCCTTGTTGTTGTTTTATTTTTTTTATTTCTTTATTTTCCCGTTCGCGCTCTAGTTGCCGCGCGGCCGTGTTATGCGAGTTATGCGAGTGCAGAGCGTTCACCGCCGCACTCACCGACACTGCAAGTCCGGGGGGGGGGGGGGGGTACTTTCCGGGAAGACACTGCAGCGTGAAGCTGGCGCGCGCCGAGCGCTTCTCGCCGCGGTGGCACGTGAAGTGACTCGAAAAGCACACCACTCGGACTGACTGACTGACTCGCCGAGGCTGAGGGATGGATGGGGATGGCCCCGTTCCTGCACTACTTTTCCCTATCCCCGAGTTCCTCCTCGTGGCGGGCTGCGCGGCTGTGCGAGCGAGACAGAGAGCCTCTCTCACTCACTCTCTCACTCAGCCCGCCCCACGCCCCAGCCCCGGGACCCCCACGCTCCACGCGGAGACCTCGACGCTGGCGGGCCACAAGAAGTCAGTCAGTGTGCTGCCAGGGCTGTGCTCTCAATGAACGAGGAACCTCCCGCGCGGCGGCGGCACACCAGAAGAAGAAGAACGCACTGTTTCTGCCCGGATCCGGACGGCCAGATAAAACAGGGCCGTGTGTTTCACATACATAAAACACACACGGAGAGAAACAGACGCGGTCACGCATGGACGTAGTGCACACACACTTTTACACGCACACGGGCAGAAAACACACGCCGGTCCCAACATGCACATTCCCAACACCAAACACACACACACACACACACACACACACACACACACACACACACACACACACACACACGCAGTCCCAGAGGAACACACGACACGCAGTGTGACTAGTTTACACCGCGCCGCGCCTGGCTTGCGCCTGGCCGCGCCCTACTGGCCCACAGCGACCAGCAGGGACCACGAGGCACAGTGGGCCAGAAGACCGGAGGAGGTGGCCAAAACTTTAGACGCGATTTGAGCTCCAGAGTCGCTAAGCAGGACTCGAACCGAACGTGTAACCCCACCCAATGGATTGCTCTGCGAACGAGGAATCCATTGGTGGGGTCACACGTTCGGTTCGAGTCCCATTTAGCGACTCTGGAGCTCAAAACGCGTCTAGTGTTTTGGCCGCCTCCACCGGTCTTCCGGCCCACTGTGCGAGGGCCCACGGCGGCGGGGCCGCGGAAGAGGTGTGGCCGCGTGGGCCGCATCATGCGGAAAAGAAGCGCGGTTAATTCCCAGGAGGCGTGTTGAGCACGGCGTCCCGCGGAGCGACGTCCGCGATGAAGTGTTCTTCGGTGCGACTGGTTTGGGCAAGGGTCGCCTACACGGACACACACAAACAGATACACTCACCTACACACACACACACACACACACACGAAGGCGACCCTTCATACTTGGCCCGAGTCCAGTGACACTGGAACCCGGCGTACGCGCACAAGCCGTTCCGCTGAATTTATCCCCTGTTTTCGCGCCATTCGGCGCCACTGCATTGCATACACCGGCATACCGATTGAATACACTCTAAAAAAAGTTACAGAATTTTGTATCATTTTTGATGAAGGATTTTGTATCACCTGCATTGGTTACAAATATTTGTATAAGTGATACAGAATTTTGTAACAGATGTGCCGGTTACAGAAAAATGAATCATTTTGGAGCTTGATACAGAAATTTGTTACATGAAGGTTACAATATTATGTTTGTAACATAACCGATACAGAAAATTGTAACTGGATACTAAATTCTGTATCAGCGATTAAAACGTAAGGTTTTAACGGCAAAATTGAACAGCAGTGCCCATAGAGACAAGTTAAACTTAGAGTTTTCATGTGCTTTTATTTTTCCCGACTCTGAATAAGAGATTCAGTCTCGTGTATGCTTGGCAGGCAAGGCCTCCGTCCCTTACCACGCGCGCCTCAGGTCACCGGCTACCTGCGCCGCTCCCTCCACGGTGTCCGCACAGCGCAGTTGGTAGCGTGGCGGGCCGCCAACCCTGAGTCTGGGGTTCGATCCTCGACTTCTCAGAGTACATCTGGGAAAGTTGTGACTCGAAGAATGGCATAACGTCCTCCAATCAGACCAAAGGAGACTACGTTCGACCAAAATTCTCATTTTGATGCTTGATTTGGAAGAATAACGACTGTTTACAAATTTTGTAACCGTTACGAAATTCTGTAACCAAGTTACAAAGAAAAAAACTGTATCCATCGTGATACAAATTTCTGTAACACATGTTATTGAAAAAGCTGCGTAACCATGTTACAAAATTCTGTACTGATTTTTTTTAGAGTGTACTTACAGCCATCTTTCTCTTTCTCTCTGCCGCAGGTGCCGCCACTGCTACCGCCACACACACCGAGTGACCCCGAGTCGCGGTGCCGAGCCCTGGAGCAGCTCGAGCAGGCCGAGGCGGAGGAATACTATGAGCGAGCCGGCGGAGGCCTTCGCCGCGGCTCCGAGAGCAGGCAGTGGTTGACGACGACGGCGAGCATGCAGTGAGAAGGCCAGCGCCGCCACAGCAGCAGCAACACCAGCAGAGAGAGCCAGTCGCTGCAAGCAGAGCTTTCCGATCAGTCGGGTGAGTCTTCGTGATAGTGGCCCCAGATTGTTATTTGTAAGTTGAAAGATAACGAACGCCGCACAGTGGGCCGGAAGACCGATGGAGGCGGCCAAAACTCCAGACGCGTTCTGAGCTCCGAGTCGCTAAACGGGCCTAGAACCGAACGTGTGACCCCCACCAATGGATTACTCGTTCGGAGAGCAATCCATTGTTGGCTGAGCGATAGCGAAGCCTGTTACTTCAGTGGGGTTGAAAAGTTTTGTCTGTCTGTCTGTCTGCACTGTTAGAAGAGGGTTCGACTTTCGAACCCACCTTGGCTCGAAATACGGCCTTAAGTAGGATCGAACCCATCTCGGTTCGAAAATCGGACGGGGTGGCCGATACATGCAGGCTTCGATATTTTGACAAGATGAGGGTTCGATTTTCGGCTCTGGTAGTGTTCGATTTTCGGCTTTGTAGGGATTGAGCTTCGCTGAGACAAGTGAATTATCAAACTTGACCAAATAGACATTTGCTTACAGATTTAGATTTGTCTCGAGAAGACAAACAAAAAATGTCAAGACATGTTATAGGTTAAAATAGAAAATAGAAGAGTTATTGGATTTTTAGAGTGCAAAAATGGTAAAAAAGACATTAGAAGTTGAATAACTCTTTCATTTTTCATTTTAACCCATGATATGTGTTGACATTTTTGGTTTGTCTACTTGAGACGAATCTAAATCTGTAAGGTGATGTGTGTTCGGTCAAGTTTGCTAATTGACTCCAGGCGCTGCCGTACGAAAGACCGCAGAGCCGAAAGCCGGCGAAGCGGTCGAAAATCGAACCCCGCGTCCGAAAATTGAACCCACGTGGGTTCGATTCTACTTAAGCCTGATTTTCGAGCCGGGCGAGAATTGGGACCGCCTTTCCACGGTTCGAAAATCGAACCCCCTTCTAACAGTGTGTCTGTGTGTCTGTCTGTGTGTCTGTGTGTCCGCACTACTCCTCCTGAACGGCTCGGCCGATCTCGGTGAGACTTTGCACACTTCTTGGGTATGTCCTTGGCTCGGCACACGCGAAATTTCACCATCCTAGCTTAACTGGTTCAGTTTTTATAGCCGAAAAACACCTAAAAAACGGCGAAAAATAGAGCTTTCTGCAGATAGATCACTTCTGGCTTGGAGAAAGGGGGGTCTGGAGGGCGGAGCCCCCCAGCCTTAACAAGTTAAAAAGTGACAAGGGTCAAGGTCGTGTTATCTGTAGATAAAACAACTCTATTTAGAATGTAGGGGGGTCTGGGGGGCGGAGCACCCCAGCATTCAACAAGTTAAAAAATAACCGACAATGGACAAGCCATTGCCTGCCGCAGGCAGGCTAGCGCCGCAGGCCAAGGTGGCCAAGGCCAGGCGTGGATTGGAAGAACAGGCAGCGAGACATCGCGAAGCCTGTTACGACAAGACGCGGTCTGGCGTAAACCTACCTTGTTAGGTTCACACGTTCGGTCCGAGACCCATTTAGCGATTCTGGAGTTCAAAATGCGTCGAGAGTTTTGGTCGCCTCCACCGGTCTTGGCCCACCGTGCGCCGCCTCTAAGCTCTCGGCTAGGCTGAGCAGAAACGCAAGTTTACTCAGAGTTTAAAAGGAAGCAGGAAAAGGCTCCGGCAGTTTGGGTTAACGCATCTTGCAGCAACAACTCTATTCACGCGCGGTTCCCACAATTGAAAATAAAAGACGCAACTGCCGAAAAAAGGGTCAAGGCATGTGTGTGAGCGTATGTGTGAGTACACGTGGGTAAGTAAGTGTACACATGTAATTTATTATTTCCCGTCGGGCAAGGTGGGGCCAGCCGGAAGGCGTCTTAACGTCTAACTTTGGTACGCGTGCGCGCGCATTTGTGTGTGTGTGTGTGTGTGTGTGTGTGTGTGTGTGTGTGTGTGTGAACTGCAGCTTCACTGCGGGACCCGCGGAGAAAGAAGTGTGCGTAACTACATCCATCTCGCGTAGTCTCACGCGCCGCCGCGCTAAGAAGAAAGATACGTCATTTTTTTTTTATCGGTGGCTGTTGGCTGAGCGCGGCAGACTACTGATTCCGAGAGTCATTTTCGTCGCTCTGCCTCTCTCGCACACGGAACCTCTCCTGAGAGCGAGAGAGGCAGAGCGACGAAAACAACGACTCTCGGAATCAGTCTGCTGCCAGCAGCAGGGGCTTCATCGACTGCGAGAGCGCGCACGCCGCCTGCTCGACAGCCGCGTTCGCGACGACGGCGTGCTTTTCTCCCGTTTCCTCACCCGACTCGACAATAACAGAGCGGCGTGAGCGCAAAGTGTTTTCCGAGTCGCGCCGTGCCGGAGGAAGTACGGACTGGGGGACCGGCGGGGACCGGCGGGGACCGGAGGCAAGGTGGACACAGCAATCTGTCCGCCCCCGCGGGCCTTTTGCGTAACCCCGCGGCCCTTTATTTTAAACTGCCTGTCTGTCTGCCTGTCCGTCCGTCCGCCCGTCCAGGGGGCACGTGCCTTGGGGCCCGAGGGGCACGACGCCAGCGGTGAAGGGCCTAGCGCCGTTCCGGCGTTCCGGTCCGGAAGGAGCAGAGGGAACAGGAGCGGCCTTGCATAACAATCATAAGGCACTACTGCCTGACTTAGATAAGGCGAGGCTTCGACGCCCAGCAGCAACCTGCCCGTCGTCGCCACCGCAAAAAAAAAATTAGCAGATGATACATTTACACCTTCAACCGAGCCTTCAACCGAGGGGGGACAGCTTCCCACATTCGTTGTACAAAATTTGAACACATTCCACATTCAGGTGGCAAACACGCCTGTAAGTAGGCAACATGTGTGGCAAAAACGCCAGAAATCTTGCACATTCTTGCACATTTACACAATCATTGTACACAAAATTTTTCAGTGGGTCACTCCTCGCCTTCAACTTAACGTAACTAGAAGGTGTGAGCTCGTAGCATCCGTGCAACAAGCACCTATCTCAACTTGGTATCGCCGACCAAAACCTATCTCTACGCGCTAAGGCGAGCAGACAGGTTGTTGACGGTAGCGCATAGAGACAGGTTGTTGTCGATAATAACGCATTGAGATAGGTTCTTTTTCACGATACCAAGTTGAGATAGGTTCTTGTTGCGCGGATGCAACAAGCTACGTTTTATTTAATTTTTAGAAAAACTTTCTTTCTTTCTTTCTTTGCTGTTTTGCGTGCTTGTAGAGCGTGTGAGTGATTCACCGCTAATGAATCAATGTGTGTGGGACTCGCACGCGTTACCGCCAGTGCCCCAGAGACCGTGCCCCAGACCGCGCACTGCACTGCGTTCCCAGTGGTTCCCAGGCCGCTCTATTGAATTCACCGCGAGACGTCGATGCGTTCGCCGGCCGGGCAAACACGCCTTTCTCGCTTGCAGTGTGGCGTACCGGCCGACGGCTGGGATCTGCACTTATGCATGTTTGCATTTTCTTGTTTACGCAGAAGACTGATTCCGAGAGTCGGTTTCGTCGCTCTGTCTCTCTCGCACCAATAGGGGACGCCCCATGAGTGCGTGAGAGACTCTCGGAATCAGTCTGCTGGCCCATAACATGCGACGACTACCGTGAACGGGGGTGGACACCGGGTTCATTTGGGACGGGCTGCGCTTCGCCTGAATGAAAAATTTAAGTGCACTTACACCACGCCAGTCTGAAGTTACCCCATGGTTGGAGGTAACTGCGGACAGGTGCGGCGTTGTGCTTATAATTCCATGCAGACCAAAAGGGCAGCCTGTCCCAAATTAACCCTGGTGTCCAAAGTTGCTGCACCCTCAAATATAACTTCTTGGGAACCGCTAAAAAGTAACGTTTCTGTCTGTTTTTAGGCACGAAGTAGCCTTATTATTTTTTAAGAAAAAGTTTCTTGGTCCAAACTCTTCAATCTTGTATGACTAAAATTTTTCTCGTGCCCACATAATTTTTTGGGTGAGCCATGCCTGTCGCCGCATGATCCCCTCCCAGGCATATTTTCCAACTTTCCCTCATATGTTCTTTTCAATCTCCCAGTCAAAATTGGGACGCGTCGCGCGACAGGAGCCGGGAGTTATGGCGCAGTGCTGAGAAACGTGTCCCCAAGCAAGCAAGCCGGGGCCCCATCACTCGGCGCACCACCACGGGGCACCACACTACAAAGTTGAGGAGCGGGAGGAACCTGGAGGGATTGAGTGTGATGGTGTCCGCGCGGGGACGCGGCACGCATAGTGAACAGCGTCGCTCCGTCTCTCTCGCACTCGCGGCACGGGGCGCCCCGCGGCCCGCAGCACAGTGGGCCAGAGGACCGGAGGAGGCGGACAAAACTCTAGGCGCGTTTTGAGCTCCAGAGTCGCTGAATGGGACTCGAGCCGAACGTGTGACCCCACCAGTGGATTGCTCTCCGAACGAAGAAAACATCGGTGGGGTCACACGTTTGGTTCGAGGCCTGTTTAGCGACTCTGGAGCTCAAAACGCGTCTAGAGTTTTGTCCGCCTCCACCGGTCTTCTGGCCCACTGTGCGCAGGCCGGCATGTTGCTGAGAGATGCTCGCTGGATTAGCGTGCGCGCCGCAGCGGGGGCTCCGGCATGCTCTGGCACTACCACTCCGCCGTCCGAGACCTGCGTCCGTCTCGGCGTCCGTCTTCGCGGCCCCCGGCACGCAGTCCACGTCGGCCACGTCGGCCACGCACACGGGGGGCGCTACCTTCACCGCAGCGCCACGCCAGCCGCCGCCACAGAGCGCGCTCTCTTAAAACCTCACGAAGCGTTTTGGGTACACGTGAGGTGAAAACTATTTACGCAGTTTGCTATACGAAAGTACGAAGAATAAGTTTCTTTAATTACGAAGTGTTTAATTTGTACGCGCTTTTGTAATACTCAGCGTACTTTGCTTCGACAAAACTTCTACCTACACCTTTGTCATGCCTGAAACGGTTGGTGAGGATTTCGAGAGTGCGTTTAGCCTACCCTTGATTTCCCCGGCATCCGGCAGACGCCCCGCCCCGCCCCGCGAGTGCGAGAGAGACAGAGCGACCAACCTGCAGGAGCAGGATGAAGCGAAGCGCGCGCGCTGCTTTCTTCCCGTGGGCCGCGCGGTGCACCGTACATGGGGGACGCAACACACTGCGTCTATGACGCGGTCGTAAACCCCGACGGTCTTTATTTTGCACCACGTGTGTGTGTGTGTGTGTGTGTGTGTGTGCATTGGCACGCGTCGATGTTTGTGTGTGTGTGCACTTCAAGTGCAAGGCTGTGGCGTCGGGGTGCGCCGCGTCGGGACACAAGGGTCCACTCTGACGGCTTTCGCCGCGTGCAACAAACACTGTGGCGGCGTCAGCGAGGGGGCTTCTTTCGTCGCTCTGTCTCTCTCGCACTCATGGGACGTCCCGTGAGGGTGCGAGAGAGACAGCCTGCCGGACCGCGCCCGTCGCGTACAGTCCGCCGAGTAGGACGGACGCTCGGGACGCCTCGGCGGGCGTGGCGAGGCGGCACGCCGGCGGGACGACCACGGCACCGCGAACCAGACAGGCAGATGAGGGTCCTGGTGCTGCCAGTGGTGCTGCAGACCGATTCCGAGAGTCTTCTTCGTCGCTCTGTCTCTCTCGCACTCACGGGGCGTCCCGTGCAGGTGCGAGAGAGACAGAGCGAGGGCCACGACTCTCGGAATCGGTCTGCTGCTGCCGGCGCTGCATGTTGCATTCCGGGGCCCCTACTTGCCACAGCACTACCGCTACGTGACCTCTGCCGAAGAAGCTGCGGCCGGACCCACGCACGCCGACACACACACACACACACACACACACACACACACACACTGCGGAATTGGCTGTGCACGGGTCCGGTTCATGGTTCATTGCACATGAAAGCAATGAAAGCAATGATTAGGCGGCAGCACACGCAGGGAGCACTTGGTTGTAGGTCGGCACGGCCTGCACGGCCTGCAGCAGGCTCGCCCCGCGGCCTCGCCGGGCCGCGCCAGGCCCCGCGCACGGGGCTGCTCGTTTATTTGATATTCAGCACGGCGGCGGCGTGGCGTGCCAGGGCATGGCGGGCATGGCCTGCAGCGCGTCCGCCGCGACCCCACGCCGAGGCCGATCGGCGGCGTCGTTCGGCCAGCAGACTAGACGAGATGGGACGCCCCATGAGTGCGAGAGAGACAGAGTGACGAGAACGACTCTCGGAATCAGTCTGCAGGCCACGCAGCGTGCGGCCGCCACCCCCCGCCCCCGCCTACCCCGACAGTGGCGATCACCGGTCGAGCAGCAGGACCTCGATGAGTTGCTAGAGTAGCGTCAGGTTGTTGCCAGTGCCAACTTTCTACTCTGTAAAAAAAAAGGTTTAGAAAAATTTCGTGGGCTACGTGCATTACTCTTTATCTCGTCTGAAGCTGGCCGGCGGCGCGACTGCTGATGCAGCTCGGCGCTGCTTCGACTCGTCTTAAGGCACACCTTAAGTCACTCGCAGTGTGCGACCAGCGTCGCAAAGTTGATGAAAATGGCGATAAATCTCAATCTCTGAAAGTATTTCCTGCATGCGTCGACGGCCATAAAACAAATTCGCACGTCCCGCGACATGCGACATGCAGAGGCAGGCGACTCGGGCGCGGCACAGAGTGGCGCGCGACAGGGATGGGTGTGCCCGGTGCGCCCGGTGTCGGCTCCGCTTCGAGAGTCTCGAACCGAGACGCGAGCCACGCCGCCGTGCCGCGGTCCTTGTCGGTCAATGTCAAAGCCAGCGCCGGCCGGCAAGGCGGGACGAGACGAGACTCGGACGAGACGGGACAGCAGACTGATTCCGAGAGCCGTCCTCGTCGCTCCGTCTCTCTCGCACCTATGCGGGACGCCCCACGAGCGCGAGAGGGACAGAGCGACGAAACCGACTCTCGGAATCAGTCTAAGAGCCCCGCGAATCAAGGCCAATGAGCCCGATGGCACCGGGACGCCGCACCGCGCCAGGGGACGCCCGTCCCGTCTGACTTGCAGTGCACTTGCAGGCACAATGGGCCGGGTTTGTTAGTGCAGCGTACTCGCTCGGCCGCGTCGTCCGGAAGATCGGTTCGAGTGTGACCCACTTTTTCGGCCTCGTCCCGACTTGGTCATCCCTCTGCTTGAGCCCAAAGTCGTCGGTCAAACCTACAAGTCGAAAAATCCATCTTGAATTCCAAACCAACTAGACGATATTATTATCGTCCTATCGTTTCAATGACTGCGCCGCGGTTTTTTTTTAGCAAACTGTTTCCAGCATCATTATTTTTTACCAAAACTAGAATCTCCACTTCTCCAGCCTCGCCGAGTGGCCCTGACCTCGTCCGCCAGCCGCCCGCTCCTCTCACACACGCATTCATCTCCCGTCCTCTCCGCACCTTTCTCCATCCCCCCCCTCTCTCTCTCTCTCTCTCTCTCTCTCTCTCTCTCTCTCTCTCTCTCTCTCTCTCTCTCTCTCTCTCTCTCTCTCTCTCTCTCGTCCCTCACCTTGGGCGAGCCTTGGCCGTCTCCGTCACTCAATCAGAGATTGCCCCTCCACTCTCACACACTGGTGCGGCTTCTCTGTTTGCGTTTGCGATCAGGCCGTCCGCCCGGCCCCGCTTCACTTCACTTGGCTTCACTCGCAGGGCGTGCAAATACGGCGCACGTATTATTTTCATTTTCGCCCCGTCCCGTTAGGTTGGCAAGCGCGGCGGCAGCAGACTGATTCCGAGAGTCGTTATCGTCGCTCTGTCTCTCTCGCACTCAGGGGGCGTCCCGTATGCGTGCGAGAGAGACAGAGCGACGAAAGCGACTCTCGGAATCAGCCCGCTGCCGCGCCTCAGGTGCGTGGACGACAAGGTGGCCAACCTGCGCGCGCTTTGGCCCCGGCTAATTATCGCGCCGTCTCGCCTGTACCGCGTCGCCCCGCCGTCTCCCTCGCACTCGGGGCGTCCGGAGGGAGTGCGAGAGAGACGGAGCGACGACCGCTGACCTCATCCCGTCCGGCACTCCAGCGCGCTCGGGCGCCGCGACACGGCCGGGCCGTGTTTGCGAACGCCGCGTCATAATTGGACTTTCGCGCCGCATCACAGTGGGCCAGAAGCCGGTGGAGGCGGCCAAACCTCTGGACGCGTTTTGAGCTCCAGAGTCGCAAAGCAGGACTCGAACCGAACGTGTGACCCCACCAATGGATTGCTCTCCGAGCGAGGAATCCATTGGTGGGGTCACACGTTCGTTTCCAGGTCTGTTTAGAGACTCTGGAGCTCAAAACCGTCCAAGTTTTGGCCGCCCCCGTCTTCTGGGTCACACTGTTGCGTTTGCGCATGTGCCTGCCTGTATCTCTACCGCACCTTGGAGCGCCCCACGACGTCTGACAGAGACAGATGCGACGAACCGCCTCTCGACCTTCTTCACGATCGCCCTCGCGTTGTGCCACTGTGCTGTCCCGCCTTCGCTCGTCGCCCGCCGCTTGGACCACGTGTGCGACGAGCGAGCGCGGCTCCTTCTTACCGCCCACTTTTTCGCCATCAATTAAAAAGCCGTGCAGAGAGGGAAACGACTTCCAATTTTTTGAGCACTCTCATAAGATTTTTTTCATATTTTGTTTTGCTCTATTTCATGTACGGTTCTCAATGGGTTACCATTATATTTTTTTAGCGAGTAAAGTTTACGTTGTTGTTTGTGCGAATTGTTTGCACACTCGGCATTCATTTTTCATCCCGGAGTGGTTCCCTCTCGGCGTTTGCCCGGCGGCTCGGGTTGGTACAGGTCGGCTCAGGTGCGGTGCGCGAGGCGGCAAGGCGCGGCAAGGCATGGCGCGAGGTCGGTGGACCTTACGGGCCGTTTCGGCTTGAGCCTGCCCGCAGCCGCAGGCCCTGCAGACTGATTCCGAGAGTCGTTTTCGTCGCTCTGTCTCTCTCGCACCTATACGCGACGCCCCATGAGTGCGAGAGAGACAGAGCGACGAAAACGACTCTCGGAATGAGTGTGCTGGCCGGGCCGGCCCCCCGGAGCGGCCCGACGAACGGCCCGACGCCGGGCCGACCACAAACACAGCGCTGCTCTAGTTGCTAATGAGTCGGCGATGCCAACAATTAACCTGGATCCGCCTCCAAGGACCGCGAGCACCGCGAGGGCCTCCCCGAGGACCGCCCGGACTAACGACGGAGTCTGATTGACGTGGAGGCGGCCGCCAGCCAATAGTACACGCATTAAGGACTGCGGGACGCAGCGCGGCTCGCCGTCGGGCACCGTAAGCCGTCACGCCGTACTCGAAGGCGGCCAGCGCACAGTGGGCCAGAAGACCGGTGGAGGCGGTCGGAATCCCGGACGCGTTTGGAGCTCCAGAGTCGCTGAGTGGGACTCGAACCGACCCACCAATGGATTGCTCTCCGAACGAGGAATCCATTGGTGGGGTCACACTTTCGGTTCGAGTCCAGTTTAGCGACTCTGGAGCTCAAAACGCGTCTAGAGTTTTGACCGCCTGGGCCGCCGGTCTTCTGGTCAGCGCCTGCGAACCGCCGGGTAGGCAACCACGCGAGGCTGCGCTGCTCGACAGGCCGGCGCGTTGCCTAAGCTGCAGGCGTTCGCGCTCCACTGCGGGGTGGACTCTGGTGCTCTAAACGCATGTAGAGTTCCGGCCGCCGGCGCCGGTCTTCTGGCCCACTGTGCAGCGGTCAGCCCCAGCCCAGCCCTTGATGAAGTGGTGGCGGGCTACTCCTGATAGGGAGTGCCTGCCACGCCGAGGCCTAGCGGCCCGTCGGCGGTGTGGCGACAGCGGGGAGCACCGCTCGCTTCAACTAGGTCCCGCTAACGATAACAAACTCTTCTCTGCTGCAGGTGATGACGCGGTCGTCCGCCAAGCCCATGGCGCTGTCCCTGCCCTGCCCCGCGCCCACGGTGGGCGGCGTGGGCGGCGTCGGCGTGCAGGTGCACAGCGGGGCGCAGGCCGCGCGCATGCAGCGCTACTACGCGCAGTCGCTGCGCCGCTCGCCGGCCATGCCGCTGTCCGGGGCGCCGCTGTCCTTGGTGCCCGTGCAGATGCCCGTGGCGCCGCGCGCCATGCTGGTGCTGCCGCCGCCGCTCGTGGACTCGTGCCCGGCGGACAAGTCGTCGCGCTCCTCGACGTGGACGTCGTACCAGGGCTCGGCCAAGACCTTCTCCTCCGAGCTGGAGCGCGGCGAGCGCATCAAACCCGAGCGCGCCAACCGGCGCAACGCCGTGCAGAAGATGCAGTGGCGCAGCTCGCGGTGGGTGACGGGCTTCGCGGCCGGCGAGTACCTCGGCGGCCCCGAGGACGCCGACCTGGACCACCGCATCTCCTCCATGACCATCGCCGACGTGTCGCCGCGCTTCGCCGTCAAGCGCATCCTGCTGCTGTACGAGAACCAGCAGTACCGCGAGGCCGCCAACTTCATCAACCGCCTCAGCCACGGCACCTTCAAGGTGAGCCCGGGGCACTGCACCGAAAGCGCGCCAAAACAGTCTCTTTCAAAACGACACCGCGCACACGCTACTCCAACAATCCGTTCACCCATGCGTATTCGCGTCACTGCAAACGAAGCGCGCCAAAACACCAAAGTGTCAAAACGGAACCGCGTCGCGGAGGCTGGCTACATGCTACACTGGCAATCTGTCCGCCTCGGTGTGTCCGCGTCACGTCACCAGTGTACCTGTCTGCCTTTTTCCGAAATGGAAAGCTGCGACGTACACACGAGTCGCTTGCTTTTTTCCCCCGGCCGCTCCGTTTAGTCAACAACATCTCTAACGACAAACCTTTTAGAGTGATCGTTTGCAGACAGTAAACTGGTGGCGGCGCCGCGACCGGCCGGGCCGTAGAGACTGATTCCGAGAGTCTCTTTCGTCGCCCTGTCTCGCTCGCACCTATACGGGACGCCCCATGAGTGCGAGAGAGACAGAGCGACGTAAACGACTCTCGGAATCAGTCTGCCGGCGGTGCGTTCGGGCGTCACTTTCCAACGGCGCGGCGACAACGACAACCTGGCGCGGGCCAACTAGAGCGTCAGTTACGTGTGTGGCTGAGGAGCCGTGCTGTAACGAGCACTCTGTAGGACTAGCTAGAAATTGGGCGTCGGTGGACCCTTTCCAGAGAGCCGTTCTGTCTCTCTCGCACTCATGGAGCGTCCCTGAAGGGGGAGAGAAACAGAGCGACGAGAACGACTCTCGGAATCAGTCTGCAGCAGCCCGAACTCGAAGGCAACAACGAGGTGACGTCACCGTCCAACGACAATTGCGCGCGCGAATTTCCTCAGACGCTGCTATAAGACCTGCAGGCCCATTCCGCACAGTACTTTCTTCGCTCTGTCTCTCTCGCGCGCATGGCGTGGTCCGTCGGGGTGCGAGGGAGACAGAGCGGCGGGGCACTGGGCGAGAAAGGGCCAGCAGGCGGCAGGCCGGGTGTCCGGTCGGGCCGGTCCGGCTCGGAATTAAACAATGGGCCTCGTGCAAGTCATCACACACACACGGCTCTGCTCTCCTCCTTGGTACGCACCACTGGTCGCCCCTCCCCGCCCCGCCCCGCCCCGCCCCGGCCTGCTCGATTTTTACGGCGGCGGGGAATGAATTCGGACCGACAACGAGACCCTCGCTTTCCCGCACCGCCGCCACTGCAGCGCGCTTCACTTTGCTGCAGACTGATTCCGAGAGTCGTTCTCGTCGCCCTGTCTCTCTCGCACCCATGCGGGACAGCCCGTGAGTGCGAGAGAGACAGAGCGACGGACTCTCGGGAATCAGTGTGCTGCCGGCGGAGTTTCCAGCCGTTTCCAGCGGCCCGGCTTTCTTATCGGCCGTTAAACACCGCGAGTCCGCCCCGTGCCGTACCTATGACGCGCCGCCGCCGCCGCCGACCAAAAAGACGAGAAACAAAAACGAGCCGGCGACAAAAAAGAGAACGCGCGCGGAGGAAATTGAAACGCCACTTACTTTGGCGGGGCCTGCACTGTAGAAAACATCCACGGGAAAAGGTACAGGCACAGTCTGGTAGACAATCTGCCTGGTACCACCGTACCTCAGCCAGTACGGCTTTTGGGGTACGGAGTGCGGTTTTTCATAACATGGACTCTTATGGGAACCACGGTTTTTGGGTACAGTTGTTCTGTACACCGTGAGGTACGGTCTAGCCGTCCCTTTTTCCTCGAAATGTACGGCTTTTTTAACAGTGTGGCCGCGGCGGGGGCCGTGCCTTGGCCGTGCCTCGCGGTAAAGTGAGTCGTCGGCGGGCTTCCGGTCGGGTGATTGGCGGAGGCTTTGGAGGCTTTGGCGGAGGAGGCCTTGGCGCGCCTTGGCGGCACTCTCGCGCCGCCGCGCCGCCGCAACCCTAAAAGCGTTCGTTAAGTCGCATCCCCGCGGAGAGAGCAGAGCCGAGCAGAGCCGAGCAGAGCGTCGGGCGTTCGGCCGAGCGCGGCACATGCCGAGGCACAGGCCGAGCACACTGATTCCGAGAGTCGCTGCATCGTCACTCTGTCTCTCTCGCACCCATACGGAACGTCCCATGAGTGCGAGAGAGACAGAGCGACGAGAACGACTCTCGGAATGAGTCTGCAGGACCGCGCCGAGCGTCGCATACGAGCCAAGTTCCCGGCCGCGGCCGTGGCTTGGCCGTGCCAGGTATCTCGCGCCGATAATCAAGAAGGGGCAGACTTTCTTGCGGGATGAGCCGCGCAAGCCGCGCTCGCTGCACCATGGCTGCACCGCGCGTTACCATGGTTACCGCGTGTCTCCTGCACTGCCGGCACTCCGGACGCGCAGGGGAGGGGGAAGTGTTCGTGTGGCGACATCGTTCCATTCAACTCAGCACACTCCGGCGCCGTCGCCACGGCCACACACAGAGAGCGTTAGTGTGTGTGTGTGTGTGTCTGTGTGTGTGTGTGTGTGTGTGTGTGTGTGTGTGTGTGTGTGTGTGTGTGGTTTGTTGTGTTTGTGTGCGCGCGAGCGATGTCGGCGACAGCGCAGCCCTCTTCCTTTCACTGCTGGAATTTTTTAAAAAGATGTCCGAAACGATGAAAAAGTGGTCGGTACACACACACACACACACACGCGCGCGCACGCAGGTGTGTCCCGGAATGATGATCGGCGCGGGCCTCCGCCTTCGGAATCCAGCAGTGGTGGCTTTGTCACATTTTTCTTCGTTTTTTCCCCCGAACGGCAGAGTCGCTCCGTTGTTTTTGTCGCGTCCTTTTGCTTTCACTCTCGCCGGCTCCTCCAGGCCTTTAGGCCAGGCCTTTAGGCCACTTAGGCTGCGTTCGGCTGCCGTAGACTGCCGTAGGCTCCGGCGACCCCGAAACGACACGTCCGCGTCAACGACGTCCACGACGCCGACGACGCCAACGAGACGACGTGCGTGGCGGCGCGCCGACGGAACGACGGCAGGTGTTTTATGCCTGCTCCTCGGCGTGCGTGAGCATTGCGGTTTCTCGGCACGAAGAACTATGACGGCTTTCGGTAGATATGCGCCACGCCACGCCCATTAGGCTCTTGGGTGGGGTAGGGTAAGGTGGAATAAAGATAGGTGAGGACAAGTGCGGAGTGGTGCTCCAAGCGCGGGCAACCCCAGCATGTGCAGGGACTTCGCTGTTGGTGGAGGTAGCGCGGGGGCCCCGCGGAGCACCACATCGCTCTTGTCCGCACCTATCTCTATTCCACCTTAGGGTAGGGGAGTGGGGGAATTCCGCCTGTTAGATCCCATAAATGACTGATAGTAGGAAACCCCACCACATGGCCCTGTAGGTAGGCAAAACATACGCAAACGCCCTCCCTTTCGGGAGCTCCTTAAACCTCTTAAACCGTTCCTGTGCCTGCTCACTACACTACAAAAAATGGCATGGCTGAAACTAGGCGCCTTTGTGGCCCGCTCCAAGTTTACAGAGCGCCAAATGGCACCTACTTTCAGGGTCCCAATCGACTAGCCTCCTCCCATGATAGACCATCTATGATTCATTCTCTAAAGATGGATCAAACAGTGCACAGTACCTGATCAGTGAAAATGGTGCGCAGTTCCTAAGCAGCACCTTGGCCGCCCATAAAGTAGTCACTGTGTCTGCCCAGAATGAGAGCGTCTTGAAATGGTTTCCAGAAGCTAGGCCTCTTCTCAAACTTTGCATACAACTTTATGCACACTGAAAGGCACAGGAAAAAGTCACCGCTCAATTCCAGTGTTGTCGCTGGTTGCTCTCTGAACAGATACAGATTTAAAACTCACCATACATGTATCCTGCATCCTCTCCAAAGTCTTGGTTAATACTTTTATTTGTCAGTGGATTCTTGGCTTCTTTCAGCCCGCTGTATGGTTTCAGTTAAAAAAAAAACAACATTAGAACACTCTCAGCCGTCACTTAGAGTCCATTAAAATAGGTTAGTCGGCAGTTATCTTCCTCGACTTGCCTTCAATGCTGGGACATTTCAACATGTCAACACACACAAAGTACTTCCACTTCCCTACCGGTGACATTGATCATTTCTTTCAAAGAAGAAAATATCTTGAGCACTTGTAAAACCGCTGTAAACTAGAACAATAAATCACTAAACAACAAACACAAACAACAACAGTTGAGGTGAAGGGAGTGCCAACTTGAGAAGACGAAAACCTCAAGGCGGTTGGAGGAAATCGTTCGGGTTTTCGTTTTCCAATGTTGGCACTCCCGTCGCCAGACTCTTGTTGCTGCCTGTTGCTTGTTTTCGTTGTTCGAGTGATTAAATATTCTATTTTGCAACGGTTTACCAAGTGTTTGAGATATTTTCTTCTGTAAAAGAAAACTTCAATGTCGCCGACAGGGGAGTGGACGTGCTTTGTATGAGTTGACTTGTTGAAATGTGGCAACATTGAAGGTAAGTCGTGAAAGATAACTGCCGCGACTAACCTATTCTAACAGCCCGTACACGACTTCGCATTGTTCTAGTGTTGTTTTTTGATTTTGATAGCCTGCAACCTTACAGAAGGCTGAAGAGAAACTAGGAACCTATTGACAAGCAAACGTATTAGCCAGGAATTTGTAGAGGATGCAGATAGGCGACACGAGTAACTCGAGTACACTGCATGTTGCCTACTGCCTACTGTCAGGGCGGTTTACGAGTAAACCCACAGACCCTGTTCCATCGGGTGGGTCCACCCACGGGTTTATCCGCATAACCAGGTACCCGAGTCCACCCACGGACCTGAGTACCCGACCCGCGGTCCGGGTTTCGAGAGCCCTCAAAGCCAGAATTTGGTGTTCGAAACGACGTCGATTCGACATAGAAATCGATTAAAAATCCATCGATTTTACGTCGAATCGATGTCCTTTCGAACACCTAATTCTGGCTGGGCTACAACCTAATATAGTCCTTTTCCATGGCCCTACCACTCACACCCCTCCTCTTTGCTGTCTTCCTGCAGGTGATCGTCAACGACCTGCCCATCGACCTGTTCGTGGAGTCCATGCCCGCCTCCTTGTCCATCCTGGAGGCGCTGTACGCCAAGGTGTTCCTGTCGGACGGCCTGGACTTCTCGCTCAAGCTGCTGCGGCCCGACGCCGTGGTCATGCAGATGGTGCGCCTGTTCGCCGGCAGCGACGCCAACAACTCGTGGCAGCTGTGCGGGCCCTTCGTCACGTCCTGCAAGAAGCTGCTCAAGGTGCGGGCTCAGCACTACACTGGTAAAACTGAGGCGGGACGTCACGGCTTTCGTGGAGCGTCCAGTCGTCGTACGAGGAGCGCATCGCTCCACAGTGGGCCTGAAGACCGGTGCAGACGGTCAAAATCCCAGACGCGTTTTGAGCTCTAGAGTCGCTAAGTGGGACTCGAACCGAGCGTGTGACCCCACCAATGGATTGCTCTCCGAACGAGGAATCCATTGGTGGGGTCATACGTTCAGTTCGACTCCTGTTTAGCGACTCTGTAGCACAAAACGCGTCCGGGATTTTGGCCGCCGGCGCCGGTTTCTGGCCCACTGTGCGCTCCTTCCCTCCTGTCTAAAGTGTGGGACGCTTCAAGAAGAATGTAAGGTCTTCATCCTTGCATGAAGAGTAGAACTGCGCTTTAGTTTTACCAGTGGAGTATTTCTCCATTATTATATATTTTTTCCTGAATTTATGATGAACTTTGTCTTTGGCAGGTGATCGTGCTGTCCGAGCCCAAGATCCGCAAGATGCTGCAGGCGCGGCGGCGGGCGCTGGACAAGGCCATCGAGGGCCTGGGCCAGCACGGTCTGGTGGGCACGTCGGACGAGACGCTCATGAACCTCCACGACGCCCTCAAGGTGGAGTTCTCGCGCGTCGTGGAGGCCTACAAGGGCGCCATGCAGAAGCTCGAGGACCTGAGCCTGGCCGGGCAGAGCGCGCCGGCCCAGCGCGGCATCGGCAGAGGGCCCGCCCCCGTGCAGGCCTCGCACCAGCGGCAGCTGTCCCTGCGCCAGCCGGAGATCCAGGTTCGCCACCACACTCTTAAACGCTCGTGGACTTTTTGTTCTAAACTATTGACATACATATGTGGAGGTGCAATTTATGTCCAGAATTGTACGTAAATTAGGTACAATTATATAAATACTTAAGCCCAATACGGAAATATTGTTCATAGTTTTTGCATTGATTTGTACAGAGATTACATATGCACAAATTTGGCAATAGTACACTGCAAAGCCAGTGGTAAGTTTCCTTGCCACATATTTGGCAAAGCCGGTTTGAATGCCAAAATTTGGCAAGCTTTGGTCGGCACTCTTCATAAGCTTGCCGAATTTTGGCAAGCTGGGGAGTATTTCCGGGCCAAACTTGCCAATTTTTGGCATTTAAAACGGCTTGCCAAATTCGTGGCAATTAAACTTACCACTGGCATTGCAGTGCATGGACAATGAAAATTCATTATGTACTTGGAAACATTTAGTATGCACATGCACATCCACGCACAAATATCGACAAAAACAAAGCAAATGCGTAGTTTGGTATCGAACCCAGGCTCGCGTTTTGGAAAGCTGTAACGCGTCCACTGCAGCCACCTCTGTCGGTCCCGAATCACTGAAACACGTCACGAAGCCCGCTTTTCCTTGCCGTCCGCCGCAGGAGCGCCTGATCAAGAACAAGACGCTGCTGAACGTGGTGGAGCCCACGATGGGCAACCACTCCCTGGACATCCTGCTGGGCATCCTGCAGCGCCGCATCGAGTGCGACAAGGACGCGCTGTTCCAGTTCACGCAGCTCAAGAAGGAGGTGCGGTCCGGCGTCACCGCCAACGACATCGTGGCGCCCGTGCTGATGCGCTTCAGCCACGGCTGCGACCAGGTGAGTGGGGGTTCGAATCTCGGGGGAGAGATCTTTGTTTCGCCGGAGCGACCGCGTGAGAAAGGTGAAGGTCTCCGGGTACGCCGATTATAAGTATCAGGGCACGAATGCATCGAGGTTTTAATCCTTCCATAGTTGATATTTTCCTCAATATTTTTTTGAAAACTATTTGTGGGCGGGTCGGCCCGGTCGACGCCACCTGGCCCGCGAGCTCGTTGTGCTGCAGCACCGGTGTCGATGCTGGCGGTGCAGCAGACTGATGCCGAGAGTCGTTTTCGTCGCTCTGTCTCTCTCGCACTTCAGCGGGACGCCCCGTGAGTGCGAGAGAGACAGAGCGACGAAGACGACTCTCGGCATCAGTCTGCCGGCGGTGCGGACGGCCTTCATTACCGCGCCGCGGAGTGCGGAGGCCGGGAGGCGCCGAGAGGCCCGGCACACTGGCAGGTGCAGCGGCCGAACCGCTATGGGATCTCGAAACAACACAGCGACCCGCTGGCCGCGCACCTCGCGATCCGCGTGGCCGCGTGGCGCCGCCCCGCCCCGCCCCGTCCCGCCCCGCCGTCGGGAACGAAGAACGAGGCGTCGGGAATGCAGAGGGCCACCGCCATAGCCGCCTGATTCCGAAGGCTCCTTTCGTCGCTCTGTCTCTCTCGCACTCATGGTGCGTCCCGTGCCGCTGCGGGAGAGACAGAGCGACGAAAACGACTCTCGGCATCAGTCTGCAGACCGCCGCACAGCACCACGGCGTCGAGGCCCGTCGAGGCCCGCAGCGCACGGCCGCACGCTAGCGTCGCTGGCGGCGCACGTCGCGCATCCTCCCCCCGCAGCCAATGATGCACTCGGCGAGCATCAAGACGTCGACCCGGCCGCGGCGGCCCGGCCGCTCGCATGCACCTGTCATCGGCTACAACTTAAAACGGACGGCGGCACTTTCACTGAGTAACCTTTTGCGTGTGAGCGCGAGAGTGTGTGAGTGGCACGTACGACACGCACGCATATCGAGCGAGCGAGCGACGCCACTGGAAGGAGACGTCTGCCTGCGGACCGATTCCGAGAGTCGTTTTCGTCGCTGGGTCTCTCTCGCACTCATGGGGCGTCGCGTCTGGGGCGTGAGAGACAGAAAACGACTTTCGGAATCAGTCTGCTGGCTGGCATCATCGCCATGCCAGTGCGCGCCGCCGTTCACGCCTCTCGGCTTGGATGGGTCGCACAGACGTCGCAGACACGTCTGCCTCTACTCGTAGCGAGTGACAAATAAGGCGGCGGGACGAGAGTCGTCGGCTGTCGCTCTGCCTCTCTCACCTACATGGGACGGCCCATGAGTGCGAGAGAGACAGAGCGACGAAAACGACTCTCGGAATCAGTCCGCAGCGCCGCCCCGCCGCCGTGTCGCCTCGCCCAATCATAAACCGAAGAAAGTAGCCGGGCTGGCGGAGCGCCCGCCGAGTCCAGGGTATGCCAGCCCGCCGAGCGCGCGCGGCGCGCGTGGCGGCCCACCCCATTACCATTACCACTAAGGGCCAGACCACACATGATCGTATGCCATTTCGGGCCCGACACATGCCCGCCTGCACTGCAAAACGAGACATGGCCGTCCTTCCTAAGGTGACACTTTATCCCGGCGGAGGAGAACCACAAGCGGCTACGACTCCCACTCGCAGTAGGCGCTCGTCGGCAGAGCCTGCGATCGGGTGGGTAAGGCGGCCGAGCGCTACCCGGCCGGCCTGGCACTCTTTGACTTGCTTACCCGGCCACAGCCGGCCCATACCCAGACCCAGACCCACCCGCTGTTGAGGTGACCGGATAACGCGCTACCCACCACGGGTGCACAGACCCAGCGTGCCGACGACGGCTCGACCCGACGAGCCCGGCGCGGCCCGCTGCCGTCGCCGGCGAGGCAGGCGGCAGTCAGCGAGCCGCCAGTCGACACACTGTCTCTCTCGCACTCGTTGGCTGCTTATGGGAGTGAGAGAGCGAGATGCCACTCGCCTGACGCCCGTCAGTCGCTTGGCGCGGCTGTGGTTGGTTTTGCCTCGCCGTCGGCGCTGTGGCTCGTCGATCGGGCGCTGGTCGCCGCCGCTGGCCGCTACGTGTGAGTGTGTGTGTGTGTCAGTCTAGGTCGGGCCGGCCAGCGCCGACTGAACCTGTGCTGGCACCGGGTAAGAGCGCTCACCCGGCCGGGGACGGCGGGTGAGAACGCGGCAGCTTACCCACCCGATCGCAGGCTCTGCTCGTCGGTCCGTCTCTCTCGCACGCCAACGGGACGACCCCTGAGTGCGAGAGAGACGGAGCGACGGAGTGAGACTTACCGGTGCGCGGCGCGTTATCCGTCGTTTCCTCGGGAAGTGATCAGACCGACTCCCAGGAGGGCGTGGCCCTGGCGGGGCCCTGGCGTGGCCCTGGCGGTCGGACCGCGGATTCCCACCAAACGCCGGGAATAATTATCATCGCGCCGAACGTTTTCCAGACGCCGCGGTGGCGCGTCCAGCATCCGGGTAGCGGGCCGCGCCCCTTGAGGCCCCCTGGGCCCCTGGCATTGCGCTGCTCAATTAATTTCGAGTTTTAATTTCGGGGTGTCGGGAAACATGTGTTGCTGCGGGATGTTATTGGGAGCTGGGCCGCACCGCGGCCACACGACTACCGCTGCTTTCGATGTCGGTAAACTTCGGGGTGTCGTTGCAATAATAATAGTCTCACAATGCGATAAGTCGGACCGGGTCAGTTTATTTATTATTTCTTCCTCTTCTTTTCGTTTCGATTTTTTTTTTTTTTTTGGGTGTGTTTCTCTCCGCGCCACGCCGTTACAAGTAATGCCTGGTCGTTTTCGCGCGCCCAGTTCGGCTCCCTCCGCCATTTTACAAGGGGCTTAACGGCCGATCGAATGGCCCGTCGTCGACACGCTCTGCCGCCTCCGCTCGGACGCCCCCCCCCCCTCGTCGTCGTCGCCGTCCTCTACGAGAGTCGTCCGGGGCACATTCGGGCCGAATGGAATCCCGTCCGGACAGTGCAGCCGAGCAAACCGGAGCAGCCAAGCAGCGCGACGCTGTTGTGGGCCTCATTTGCATTATCGGGACAAATTTCGGAGTCCGTCAGGTTGGGTCAGTCAGTCGCAGCCAGGCCGGTCAGCCATTCGGCACCACACACACACAAAACCTCACTTACACACACACACACACACACACACACAACCTCACTTACACACACACACACACAACCTCACTTACACACACACACAACCTCACTTACACACACACACAACCACTTTTACACACACTCACACAACCACTTTTACACACACACACGCACAGAGCAGTGGACTTGATGAAGCACGGACGGATGAATGAATGAATGGGACGAAAGGGAAATGGACACGAGCGCACGACGTACGCGATATAGGGCAAGCACGAGGCTCACGTCGCCCTGCGGTGCAGCGTGCCTGTCTGTCTGTCTGTCCGTCCGTCCGTCCGCGCGGTGTGACGTGCGCGCAGGAGGATGACGACAACGCTCCGGATGAAAGTGCGAACGATGCGCTGGATGCGCCGGGCCTTTTTCTTTTCTCTCTCCGCGTTGTGCGATATGGCGCTTGACGCGCTTGACCTTTCCGACCCCGCGGCCCGCCAGGCCTCTAGCCAGGCCTCTAGCCAGGCCCGTCCCGCGTGACGATCCGTGAAAAAAGGAGAGCGGCGGCGGTAACGCTCTGTAACCGGACCGGCTAACGAGAGGGACAAGGACCTCTGCGAGCTGCAAGACTGATTCCGAGAGTCGTTTTCGTCGCTCTGTCGCACTCATTTGGCGTCCCACATAGGTGCGAGAGAGACAGAGCGACGAAGAGGACTCATGGAATCAGTCCACTACTTCGTCGCTCTGTCTCTCTCATACCTATGCGGGGCACCCCATGAGTGCGAGAGAGACAGAGCGACGAAAACGACTCTCGCGGAATCGGTGGCCCGCAGGACCGGGAAGCGGAGCGAGGCCTTCTAATTGAGAGGGCGTGTACAGTGTACGTACGCCAAACACTGCATTACTTTCATTAACGACGGGCTTCCGCGTGCGCTGCACTGGTAAAGCACACAGAACACAGTGGCGTGACGCAAGGGGTGGACACTCCGCGCCGCCCCCGCGCCGCCCCCGCGCCGCCCCCGCACCGCCCCCGCGCCGCCCCCGCGCACGCGCGCTACACGCCAAAAGAAACTGTTTTTGGAAAACAGGGACATTTACCCACGGGGTGAGCTTTTAAGCAGCACGTGTTTTCCGCAGTTACGCACCCAAACTTAGGAAACCCCCCAAGTTCTCATTTGGGGAAAACAACAGATACCAGTGTTTTGCTGAAAATTGAACATCTTTTGAAAATTAATTGGGCGGTCGGCTGTTTTGGCGGGGGCTCCTGGGGCAATTAAAAGAGCCCTTAAGAAAGCCCTTTTGCGCTCGTCGGTCTCAAACCGCTACGGGAAAATACCTCTGCCGCGTTTCTGAAGGAGGGGATGAGTGTGTTGTAAAGTTTTTTAGGCAACACTTCCAATTTCGAACAGGGTGAATATGCAAAGAACAAGCACGAATGCGGCAAACAAAGGTTTTTAGCCCTTGGAAACTTCCCTATTGGCCTTTTTGTGAGGTAACAGAGAAACCCGCGGGTCGACGGAACCCGTTTTTTCTTTGGGGGGAAACAGAAAAGAAAACGTTGCCCGTTCAGTATCGGAAACACTAATAGGACCCTCGATTTTTTTTGGGGGGGTATAACCCAACCCTGCCGGTGCACGCCGAAAACCCGAAAGATAAAGTCCTTTGAACGGTTGGTGCCATTTGGGAAATGGGAAGTGCTGGGGTTTCACAACAAACCCCTTAAATTTTTCAGGGAGATCGGGATACAGAGGAGGCCCCGGGTCATCCCCTTTTTCCATGCTGTTGGATAACGACTCAGTGTCCAACAATATGCCGTTCTTCTACAACAAGTGTTGCTAAAAAACTTAACAGGATATATGCTGTTAATTAACAGCATCTTTTCTATCAGTGTATGGCGCGCCAGGGAAGACGCTAGCCAATTGTTTTTCCTCGGCAAACACAGTGCAGCAGCACGGCGGCGCGAGCATTGTCGTCGCCGTCGTGTTTTCCGCAGTGTACGCCCAAACAAGGACCCCGCGAGGCTCGATGAGAGCGGTACCAGTGTACCAGTGTGTGTTGCTGAAATTGAATAACGTTTTCGACATCATTGGCCGGTCGGCCGGCCGGCGGGTCGCTCGCTGGGTCGGTAATGTAATGAGGCCTTAAGCAAGCCCTGTGTGTGCGTCTCGTCGCGTCCCGACCGTCTGCGGTAACTAGGATAGGCCTCATGCCGCGCCGCGGAGAGGGGAGGCGGAGGGGGTGGAGGGGGGCGGAGGGGAGGGGAAAGGAGAGGGGAGCACGCCGACTTCGATCAGGGCAATATGCAAAAGCATTACAAAGCGCGATGCGGCAAGACAACAGGTGGAGCTTTGGAAACAGATTGCGCCGATATTCGGCCCTGCAGTGTAGGTACACGACGAGGAAAACGCCGCGGCTCGACGGAATCTCAGGTTTCATCTCTAAACGGGCTAAGGGGTGGCAAAACGGAAACACTAGACAAGCGTTGCCCCTTCCTATCGGAACCACTAAAAAAGACACACAGGTTGTTGTTGTGTTTTTTTCTCTCACGCGCGCACGGCAGGTGTGAGGCGTAGCGAGCCGCAGCACGCCGTGCCGGGGCACGCCGAGAAGTACGCAGACAAGATAAAGTCCTTTGGCGCCGCCATGTGGGAGATTCTCGGCCGAAGATGGGGAAGGGGAGGGGGGAGTGCATGGTGTACAAACAATGGGCATTACACGCTCCTTCAATCTCTTCACGGGCCAGTCCCCATCGGCGGGGCGGGGCGGGGCGGGGCGGGGCGTGGCGGGGCGGGGCGGGGCACGGCCCAGGGCTCAGGCCGGTCCCAGCGGATTCGTTCCATGACTGGTTTCGGCTTTTCGGCTCTGTCCTACTAGTCGGCCGATACATCATACCCGTGGGGCAGTGCGAAGCCCTTTCTAGGGCCGACTTTGGCCAAGCAAAGGGGGCGTCCCGAAACACCGTTCGCTGGCAAGGTGCGGCAAGGCTCGGTGCCCATGGGGCTAGAAGACCGGCGGTTCTAGATGCGTTTTGAGCTCCAGAGTCGCTTAACAGGCTCGAACTGACCGTGTGACCCCACCATTGGATTCCTCGTTCGGAAAGCGATCCATTGGTGGGGTCACACGTTCGGTTCGAGTCGCATTTAGCGACTCTGGAGCTCAAAACGCGTCTGGAGTTTCGGTCGCCTCCACCGGTCGTCTGGCCCACTGTGCGGAGCGCGCACTGCGAGCACTGCGGCGGTCGGGGTGCATTTGCATGGAGGTAGCCCGTGGGGCCTGGCCGGCCTGGCCCGGGGCGCCGCGGCGGGGGGCCGATCTTTCCCTGCCTGTGGCTCGGCCCGCTCCGCCCAGCCTGCCCGGCTCCAGCGGGTCACTTCCAGGTCGGTTCCAGGTCGTCTCCAGCGACGGCCTGCAGCTCCGCGCCGCGCGGGGGAACGACCGGCCGCGGCCCCGTATCGCTGCTTCCTGGACGAGAACAAGAAGAGGGCCGTGCCGGCCGCCGCGTCATGTTCCTGCCCGCGGCGGGTAGCGGCCCGGCAGCTGCAGCACACTGAGAGTCGTTTTCGTCGCTCCGTCTCTCTCGCACTCGTGGGGCGGCCCGTATGGGCGCGAGAGAGACAGATCGACGAAAGACTCTCGGAGTCCACAGGCCCACTGCAGAAAGAAACTGCACTGCTTGCCACTCGCTGGCTCGCACCTGGCTGCGCGACGCGGGTTCGACTCCCCTCCCCTGCCGAATTTTTCGGTCCTGGTTTTGGCCATTTTCACGGGCGAGGTGCGGTGCGTGCCCGGGGTGCCTGGGTGCGGCCGGGCTGGCCAAAGGCTGGGCCAAAGGCCCCCCGCGGGCGAGCAGGGCGAGCAGTCTCATTCCGGGGAAAAGTCATTTGACCCTGAATCGGCGAGGCGACGGCTGGCGGCTGTTTTGCTGTTTTACGACGACCCGGGGCACCTCGCCGACCCGAACGCCGACACGACCCGCAGACGGATTCCGAGTCCCGCTCGCTGTCTCTGTCGCACTCACGGGGCGTCCCGTGGGGGTGCGAGGGAGACAGAGCGACGGAACGAGTCTCCGGAATCGCGGGGCGGGGCGGGCAGCGCGGAGAAACGAACTACGGCGGCCCTGCACGCCGAATGCACCGGCCTGGCCCAGGCAGGCAGGCGGTCGTTCTACACGGACGCACCATTAACATTCAAATTTTACCGCTTTTCCCGCCTTTTTGGAAGCGGCCGGCGCGCCAACTTCCCATTGTCAATTTCTTCCCCGGTCCGGGTTGGGAGCGCTCTAGTTATGCAGCGCGAGCCGAGCTTACGAGGGAGTCGTCTTCGCGTGCATTTCTTTGCTGCTCACTTTGTAGGTTTGGCTCTCGTTGGGCTCGTTGTTGTTGCTGCTGCTGTTGGTTTTTGTTATTGATGTCGTTGTTGTTGGCCACGTGCACAGCGCCAAGTGCCAGGTCGAGAAGTGGCTAAAGGTGCGTTCACGCTCATGTCGCGTTGGGTGGCGTAGCGTAGCGAACGCGACAAAAACCTCCTAGATTCATTCGCAAAACACAAGAATCTAGGAGGCTTTTGTCCCTCCGCTAGGCTACGCCACCCAACGCAACATGAGCGTGAACGCACCTTAAGTATTTGGGGGTTTGTTGTTTGTTGTTTGTTGTTTGTTGTTTGTTGTTTGTTTGTTTGTTTTGTTTGTTGTTGTTGTTGTTGTTGTTGTTGTTGTTGTTGTTGTTGGCTTGGCTGGGTACACACCGCCGGGCTCGAAGGCCGAGAGAGGTACCTCGGCAGCTCGAATTAAAATATCAGCCGTGTTGTTTTAATGACCGCAGCATGATGCGGCACGAAAGTTCGAATATGGATCAAACGGGGGGCCACTTTCGGCGGTGTCGGCAGAGCGGCGGCAGAACACAGCAGGACCTACATCGTGGTCGACAACCCCCCGGTGCTGCCCCATTCTGCCCGTTCCACTTTGTCTTCCATTTGTGTGCGCGCTTTTTCCCGGCTTTTTGTTTTTGTTTTTCTCGCTCGTTGTTTCTTTTTTCTCCCTGCTCCTCGTCGCGTTGCCTTGTCGCGATGATCATCGCGTCGTCGACGCGGGAAATTAATGCCGCGTCATTAACTGGACAAACGACAACTCCGGATGGGTCAGCGCGGCGGCCCGATGCCGTATCGCTCTGTCTCTCTCGCTCCCGTGTGACGGCCCGCCGGCCCGCGGTGGTGCGAGAGAGACAGAGCGATACGAAAAAGCAGTGTGCGCAGTGTGCCCGACGGCCACCGTTTCTTCAGCGTCGCATACGACACACGGCGAGCCTGTCCAGCCCCGCATTGTTGTTGTCGTTTTTGTTGTTGTTTACGATACGAAATTGGCAGGAAGAATAATAAAAGTTACACGCCGTAATGACATGAGATTGAGGTTAGGCGGCGGAAGGAAGGAAACTCGAACTGAGACTGTGAATGAGAGGGAGGGGGCGTGAGCGAGCGAGCGCGGCGCGCAGCCAGTCGTGTGTGTGTGTGTGTGTGTGTGTGTGCAACGTGTGTGTGTATGCAACGTGTGTGATGTGTGATGAGGGCCTGTTATTGTGGGAACGGTGCGTGCGTGTGGGTGCGCGCGCGTGCGTGCGTGTGTTATGCAGTGTTTAACGTCACGTGGTCACACGACACGCGCTGGGGGTCACGTGGTGGCGGAGGCAGGGCGTGGCGTGGCGGGGCGCGGCGCAGTGAAAGTCAAACTGCCCCGGGAGTGTTTAAGCGCAGACATGGCACGTCTAAGAAGCTCGGCAGCAACGCGTCGCGCGTGTGGACGCACGCAGACTGAGCGCCGACCTACCTCGCCGTCGGGACTTCCGCCCCGGTGTGTGTGTGTGTGTGTGTGTGTGTGTGTGTGTGTGTGTGTGTGTGTTTGTGTGTGTGTGTGCGTGTGTGTGTGCGCGCCTTATGTCTGTGTGTGGTCGGGTCACGACATTGTCGCACGGCATAGTGCCGCGGCGCGAGACGGGTACAAGAAAAAGGCCATGTCCGCGAACTAGAGCGCCTGGGACCGGAACACGGCAGAGCGGCGCAGAGCATAATGACTTCATTTTGGTGCTGTAGGTGCTGGAGCTGATGAAGGAGGTGACGGAGGACGACGAGGACTCGAGCGACATCTCGGGCTACCACTCGGACTCGGACTCGGCCATCATGATGTCGGGCAACTCGCCGTACGTCAGCAAGCGCGCCAGATACAACTTCCTCACGCGCTCAGGTTGGTGCTCTCTTTTCTTGTTTTTCGGATATTTTTTTTTTCTTTGCTTGCGCGGCTGTGTTCATTTTCCACCCGCTGACAGCTACATTGGCGCACGCTCGGCGCTCCGCTCGGGAGACGCGAACGCACGAGTGGCGCCGAAGCACGCGAGCCGAGCCGTGCCGAGCGGCTTAGGCCCTCTATGTGGGCCTGGAGTCCTCGTTCCGTCTCTCTCGCACTCGAGGAGAGTGCCGTAGGGGAGCGAGAGAGACAGAGAGTCAAGGGCGTCCAACGGAATCGGACTACTGGACCTCGATCAGCCGGCTGCCATTCGGAAACCAGATCATTGCCTTGAAGGCGCCGTGCTGGGTAGGCCGGCCCGTGGAGCGGCCGAGCGCTGCAGTGTTGCCTGCCTCCATTACCATTACCATTAAGGGCTAGACCACACATGATCGTATGCCATTTCGGGCTCGGGCCCGAGACACCAGGCGCTAGGTCGCCGTGCTTAGAATCCTAGAGTGGGAGAGAAACGCCATATGCCTGTCCGCACCTTCTGACAGCGAAATCTGCCATACTTGTTATTTCCGGACCGCTGGTCTTGTTTCCGGCCCGTCTTTTCCGCCGTTTCACTCGGGGAGGCAGACGGCAGACGACATATTGTTTACTTTCGGGTCGTTGGCCTGTCGGGTGACATAAGCGAGGTGCGGAGGTACGTCTTTTCGCCATAACGGTGTTTGAATTCCGGAAATCGGAAACCGGCTCAGCGGTCCGGAAATGACGAGTATGGCAAAGTGCGCGTAGCGTTTTCGCAACTGGGTAATTCCACGGAGGCAAGGGGGGCTGACTCCTATAATACTTCGTACACAGACCTATAATACTTGTATAATACCTATAATACTATAATCCATAATACCAAAAAATGCCGCACATTTAGTGCAGTTTCGGGTTCAAAATGAGAAAGTTTTGTAAAATTGTGGTGAACAGGCGTTCAGCGATTTTTAGACGGATCGTTGGAGTAAGAAAATGGCGCTAAGGCTGATGACAAGGTGCTGAGGCTCTTAAAGATGCGCGGTAGTATTTTGAGGCTCAGGAGCGCAAGCCGGAATCCTTGTTTTCAACTAACTTGCGTATTTCGGAAACCTTTGGTACACGGAAAACCACTTAAAACGACACAATTATCTAAATAAAATGTTCGGAATAATACCTATAATACTCTATAATACCTATAATATATAATACTTCGTACACGGTTCGGGAGAGTCAGCCCCCCTTGCACGGAGGCGAATAACACTTTTTCGGCGCGACCTCACCGATTTCGTTCAAACTCGGTGAATCGATTCTTACTAGTGCCCTTTGGATCCCTGCAAAATATTAGCACTTTATCTCAAGCCGTTTCCGAGATATAAGCATTTGAAAATTTTACAACTTTTTTGAAAAAAGTTACACTTTTTTCAAAAAGCTGAAATATCTGGGCCCAATTTTAAAGCTACATAAAAACCGAGTACACCGTTGGAAAGAGCACAAAAAAATGAATCAAATCAAGTCATAAAACGTCCCTTAAGGTCCATGAACATTTTATCATTTTCTCTCAAACTGAAAAAATCGGTTTTTGCTATACCCAAAATACCTCATCTTCGATTTGCTTCAAACTTGGTGGGAAGGCTCCTCAGACCATCTACTTTAATGCCCTAAAATATTGGGAATCTTTTTTGCCTCGTTCGCCGTCCACGGGGCCCCAACGTGTGTCGGTGCCCCCAGAAAACAGCAAAAAACAGCCGAAAAATTGACCTTTGGCCACCGTTGCCTCTCCTGGTTGTTTGAATTGCGCGCCAACAGTTGCGTGGTTGCCAATTTTTCATACTCCAACCCGTTCCGCCACCTTGTTTTGATTCGCTTTCGTGAAGAGGTCGGAGGGGCGGCGTGACTCGAGGCAGGAAGGACTGCACAGGCGCAGGGTTCCATGGATCAAGGGTGCGGGTACGCAGCGCTGCGGCGGATAGTGTTTGCAACTGGAGACCCTTCTCGGCAGATGACACGGTGGACGAGGTGTAGCGCGCCTGGCCCACATGCTGCAGGCGTGGGATCTAATCCTCATGATTATTTTTTATTATGATTTATGATTATTAAGCGAATCAAAACAAGGTGGCGGAACGGGTTGGAGTATGAAAAATTGGCAACCACGCAACTGTTGGCGCGCAATTCAAACAACCAGGAGAAGCAACGGTGGCCAAAGGTCAATTTTTCGGCTGTTTTTTTCTGTTTTCTGGGTGCACCGACACACGTTGGGCCCTGTGGACGGCGAACGAGGCAAAAAAGATTCCCAATATTTTAGGGCATTAAAGTAGATGGTCTGAGGAGCCTTCCCACCAAGTTTGAAGCAAATCGAAGATGAGGTATTTTGGGTATAGCAAAAACCGATTTTTTCAGTTTGAGAGAAAATGATAAAATGTTCATGGACCTTAAGGGACGTTTTATGACTTGATTTGATTCATTTTTTTGTGCTCTTTCCAACGGTGTACTCGGTTTTTATGTAGCTTTAAAATTGGCCGAGATATTTCAGCTTTTTGAAAAAAGTGTAACTTTTTTCAAAAAAGTTGTAAAATTTTCAAATGCTTATATCTCGGAAACGGCTTGAGATAAAGTGCTAATATTTTGCAGGGATCCAAAGGGCACTAGTAAGAATCGATTCACCGAGTTTGAGCGAAATCGGTGAGGTCGCGCCGAAAAAGTGTTATTCGCTTCCGTGGAATTACCCAACTGACCTCTCCCACTCTAGGACTCTAGCCGTGCTGGGTAGGCCGGCCCGTGGAGCGGCCGAGCGCTGCAATGTTGCCTGCCTCCAGGGGCCATAGCCGCATTGCACCGCGTGCCTCGACCACCTCTTGATGATGACGGTGTAGATGGTGGTGGAGATGACGAGGCATTGCGTTGTTGCCGAACTATGCGGGTCCTGTTCCAATAAGTAGCTACGCACACCCTGTACTTTACACGCGTGAATGCAGCGCCTCTACACGTGGAAAAAAAGATAGCGCTGTGTGTGTGAGAGAGTGTGTGCGTGATGCGAGGGCGTGCTTCTCGGAATACCACGGCGTAATGCAGGCTGTTCCAGAAACACACACACATGCACACACTCTCTGGCTTACTTCGCATGACCGTCGAATTCGGCACGGCGCGCAGTCAGTGTGTGTGGTGCCTCGGAAAAAAGCGTACTTCTCTCTGCATTTCTCCTTGTCTTCTCTCTCTCTCTCTCTCTCTCTCTCTCTCTCTCTCTCTCTCTCTCTCTCTCTCTCTCTCTCACTCACTCACTCACTCACTCACTCACTCACTCACTCACTCACTCACACACTCACTCACCTACACACACTTACACACACACACTCTACTCAGGCCATCCGCTCCGATTCGAGACCTGCAGCATCACGGCGCTACCGCCGAGCGTGGCAGGGTATCGGTGTGGCACGGCGAATTGCGCGATGCTGTGCGATGCCACGGGCAATTAGGGTGCCTTGCTCGATCATCTAGCCCCCCATCCTGGTCGCGTCCTGGCCGGCGAGCCGCCCGCCGCGCCGACCTGCAGGCCCTGGCCCTGGCCGCCCCGGGGGCCTGCTTCGCCTGCCCGGCCTCCTCGTTGTCGGACCGCAAGATCGCGGCCGGCAGATAAGCAGCCTCGTAGGCGAGGAACTCCACGTCCGATCGACACTCCGCTCCACAGTAGACTGATTCCGCGGGAGAAGTTCTCGCCGCGCTGTCTCTCTCGCACTCATGGGGCGTCCCGTGTAGGTGCGAGAGAGACAGAGCGACGAAAACGACTCTCGGACTCTGTCTGCAGCAGCAGCGCTCCGTGCTCCGCGGCGCCCCGTGCGCAGCGACGCGAAAAAGCGGAACCGGCCGCTCGTCGTGTGTAACTACACTACAACCACGCCCCGCTCCTGCTGCCTGTTTGCTCCCTGTCTCTCTCGCACCACTGCGGACACACTGCCGAGTGCGACAGAGACAGAGCGACGCGTCTGACTCGCGGCCCCTCTGTTGCAGTGCGCTCCTCCAGCAAGTGCTCGCGCCTCAGCGTGCTGGGCGGCGCGCTCGGCCCGCTCGGCCCCAAGCTGTCCACGTCCTCGGGCGTGTCCTCGGGGCTGTCCTCCGGCGGCAGCGTCCCCGACTCCAACGAGTGCGCCGAGTGCAACGCCAAGGGCGTGGGCTCCGGGTCGTCCAGCGAGGAGGCGGCGTCCTCGTCGCCCACGCCGCCGGCGCCGTCCTCTAGCGGGCCGCAGCGCCTGCGCCACCTCAAGCACAAGAAGGAGCTGCTCAAGGCCAACTCCGTGCCCGGTAAGAACGGTGGCGGCTCCGCAGACTGATTCCGCAGTGGCGTGCGGGGGGGGGGAGGGGGGGTCATGCCCCCCCCCCCCCTTTGGCCACTAGGCAGCCGCCTGGAAGGTAGGCAAATTGCGTCACTTTCCCCCTATAAGTAGGCAAAAAGCATGGCGTGACCCCTCCCTTTCAAAATTTCTGCGCACGCCACTGTGATTCCGAGAGTCCTTTCCGTCGCTCTGTCTCTCTCGCACTCATGAGGCGTCCTCTGTGGGTGCGAGTGAGACAGAGCGACGACAACGACTCTCGGAATCAGCCCGCTGCCTGCGCCGCTGGAGCCCCGTTCTCCTTTTCTTTACGGCAGCCCCACAAGCTTTCCTTTGCAGCCCGACCCCCGCGGGCCTGCGGGCGGTAGGCAAAGCCAGGCAGCCCAGGCAACGCGGCCGCGGCTCGAACGTCGAACACGGCGCTGGCCCTTTCGCCGGCGAGCGGCCCGGACGCCCGCCCTGCCCATAAGCATTCCGAAATTAAAGTCCTGCTAGACTTCCAGGACTCTCTTGTCCGTCGTCAAATAAATTCTCGCTCGGAGGATAATGAACCGCCCGTCCGCGAGTCCGGCGTGTTACAGTGTAACCTGACCCTGCCCGCCGGATCGGCCCTGTCCTCGCGGCCCAGTTCTGCACAGTGGGCCAGAAGACCCTTGGAGGCAGTGAAAACCCCGGACACGTTTTGAGCTCCAGAGTCGCTAAATGGGACTCGAACTGAACGTGTGACCCCATCAATGGATTGCTCCCCGAACGAGGAATCCATTGGTGGGGTCACAGAGTTGGTTCGAGTCACATTTAGCGACTCTGGAGATCAAAACGCGTCTAGAATTGTGGCCGCTTCACCGGTCTCTGGCCGATTGTACACAGTGGGGGACGACCCTGTAGGTATTGTTGGGCTCCTACGTTGCCCACTGTGCGCAGTGATTAATAGCTCCAAGAATCGGCCGCCGTTCGGCGCTAAAACTAAGGACTAAAAACTACGGAACTATAAACACAATAAACACATTTCGACGTGCCCTAAATGAACTCTGGTATCTCCACCAGACTGATAGAACTATCGTATCTCCCGGACGGCAGTAGAACTACCGTACTCGGCCGGCGCCCATAGAAAAGACGTAATTCGGGAGATCTGGCAAGACTATTGTATCGCTTTTTCGGCCTGTTTTTAAGAGATTGAATTGAAAGGTTAAGTGTCACTAATATTCGGAAAATGAAATGAGTTTGATGTCATTGTCAACCTATAATATCCCCTTTCATTTTCCAACATTTTAAGACACATTTAACCTTTCAATTCAATCTCCTTGAAACACGCCTAAAAAGCGATACAACACTGAGAGAAATATCTTCGTATTTTTAACGAAAAAAATTCCGGTAATTTGTTATATGATTCAACGAATCTCGAATTACGTATCAGATCCAGGTCCCCAGAAGGTCTCGTAGCGTCCCTACGCGGTCCCTCGCAAGGCCAGGTTTCGGGCAGGTCTCAGATGGTCTCCGCCACGTCCCTCGGGGTTCCAGTCAGGTCCTGGCTGGTCCCAGCCAGGTCCCTGGAAGGGCCCCACGGCGTCCCTCGGGGTCTCCATGACGTCCCTCGAGGTCCCTGTGGCGTCTCTCGAGGTTCCCATGACGTCCCTCGAGGTCTCCATGACGTCCCTCGAGGTCCCTGTGGCGTCCCTCGGGGTCTCCATGGCGTCCCTCGAGGTCCCTGTGGCGTCCCCCGGGGCCTCCTTGACGTCCCTCGAGGTCCCTGTGGCGTCCCTCGAGGTCTCCGAGGTCCCTGTGGCGTCTCTCGAGGTTCCCATGACGTCCCTCGAGGTCCCTGTGGCGTCTCTCGAGGTTCCATGACGTCCCTCGAGGTCCCTGTGGCGTCCCTCGAGGTCTCCGAGGTCCCTGTGGCGTCTCTCGAGGTTCCATGACGTCCCTCGAGGTCCCTGTGGCGTCTCTCGAGGTTCCCAAGACGTCCCTCGAGGTCTCCATGATGTCCCTCGAGGTCCCTGTGGCGTCCCTCAGGGTCTCCATGGCGTCTCTCAAGGTCTCTATGACGTCCCTCGAGGTCCCTGTGGCGTCTCTCGATGTCTCCATGACTGACTGTGACCGCGTGATCGTCGGCACGGTCGCCACCCGGGGTGAGGGCCAAGGATCCCGATGTCGCCGACGGAGTTGTCATTGTCGTCGGCGAAGACGATGAAGTCGACCGGGGGAGCAGCCTGTGGGGGCGCCAAGCCTACGGAGGGAATGGCCGTTGCAGGCGCTTGAGCCGAGGGACCACAAATTAGACAGAGAAAGCGAGCACTGAGAGAACAAACGCTGACTTACTGGAAAATGGCTTACAAACTAGTTACAACACTAACGTAGGTCGCCAGCGCGAGCGGGCGGCGGCTCGGCGCGCGCAGCGTCATCTCGCGGTGACTCACGGAACCTCGTCCGCGCGCGAGGCCAGTTTGAGCGGTGACATAACGTCCCTCGAGGTCTCCATGATGTTCCTCGGGGTCTCCATGACGTCCCTCGAGGTCCCTGTGGCGTCTCTCGAGGTTCCCATCACGTCCCTTGAGGTCTCCATGACGTCCCTCGAGGTCTCCATGACGTCCCTTGAGGTCCCTGACGTCCCTCGAGGTCCCTGTGGCGTCCCTCGGGGTCTCCATAGCGTCCCTAGGGGTCCCTCCACGTTACTGAAAGTCTCCGTCACGTCCCCCTAGGTCCCTGTGGCGTCCATTGAGGTCCCCATGACGACGTCCCTGAAAGGTCCCCATGGCGTCCCTCGGGGTCTCCATGATGTCCCTCGAGGTCCCTGTGGCGTCTCTCGAGGTTCTCATCACGTCCCTTGAGGTCCCTGAGGCGTCCCTCGAGGTCTCCATGACGTCCCTTGAGGTCCCTGAGGCGTCCCTCGAGGTCTCCATGACGTCCCTCGAGGTCTCCATGACGTCCCTTGAGGTCCCTGAGGCATCCCTCGAGGTCTCCATGACGTCCCTCGAGGTCTCCATGACGTCCCTCGAGGTCTCCATGACGTCCCTCGAGGTCTCCATGACGTCCGTCGAGGTCCCTGTGTCCTCGAGGTCGCTGAGATAAAGTAAAGTTTCAAACTTTACCAAATAGACATTACCTTACAGATTTAAATTCGTCTCGAGAAGAAAAACAAAAAATGTCAACACATGTTATGGGTAAAAATGGGAAATGATAGAGTTATTGGATTTTTAGAGTGCAAAAATGGTCAAAAAGACATTAAAAGTTCAATAACTCTTTCATTTTCCATTTAAACCCATGATATGTGTTGGCAGTTTTTGTTTGTCTTCTCAAGACGAATCTAAATCTGTAAGATAAAGTCTATTTGGTAAGTTTGATACTTTACTTATCTCAGCGACCTCGAGGGACGCCACAGGGACCTCGAGGGACGTCATGGAGACCTGGAGGGACGTCATGGAGACCTCGAGGGACGTCATGGAGACCTCGAGGGACGTCATGGAGACCTCGAGGGACGTCATGGAGACCTCGAGGGACGTCATGGAGACCTCAAGGGACGTGATGGGAACCTAGAGAGACGCCACAGGGACCTCGAGGGACGTCATGGAGACCCCGAGGGACGCCATGGGGACCTTCCTGGGACGTCGTCATGGGGACCTCAATGGACGCCACAGGGACCTAGGGGGACGTGACGGAGACTTTCAGTAACGTGGAGGGACCCCTAGAGACGTGACGAGGACCTGAAAGAACGCGACGGTACCTCGAGAGACGTGACGTGAACCTTGGGGGACGTCGCAGAGACCTAATGGGACGCGGAGGAACCTGGAATGACGTGACGGAGACTTTCAGTAACGTGGAGGGACCCCGAGAGACGTGACGACGATCTGATAAAACGCGACGGGACCTCGAGAGACGTGACGTGAACCTTGAGGGACGTCGCAGAGACCTAATGGGACCTAGCGGGACCTGTAGGGACGTGACGGAGACCTTCAGTAACGTGGAGGGACCCCGAGAGACGTGACGACGATCTGATAGAACGCGACGGGACCTCGAGAGACGTGACGTGAACCGTGAGGGACGTCGCAGAGACCTAATGGGACCTGGCGGGACCTATAGGGACGTGACGGAGACCTTCAGTAACGCGGAGGGACCCCGAGAGGCGTGACAGGGACCTGAAAGAACATAGCGGGACCACGAGAGACGTGACGTGAACCTTGAAGGACGTCGCAGAGACCTAATGGGACCCGGCGGGACCTATAGGGACGTGGCGGAGACCTTCAGTAACGCGGAGGGACCCCGAGAGACGTGACAGGGACCTGAAAGAACATAGCGGGACCATGAGAGACGTGACGTGAACCTTGAGGGACGTCGCAGAGACCTCATGGAACGCGGAGTGACATCGAGAGACGTGACAGGAACTCGAAGGGACCTCAGAGACGTCGCCGTGACTTGAAGAAACGCGAAGAGACTTCGCAAGACGAAAATGAGACGTGGAGAGACTGGACGGGACCTCACGTGACGTCGCGAGACCCTCCAGGGACGTAAAAGTACGAAAAGTCATCGTTATTATGACGAATTACTGATTTACGAAGAGTATTTTACGAAAATTACGTTTTTTTCTCACCGAATCTACTAATATTTCTCTCAGTGAATAGTCTTGCCAGATCTCCCGAATTACGTCTTTTCTATGGGCGCCGGCCGAGTACGGTAGTTCTACTGACGTCCGGGAGATACGATGGTTCTATCAGTCTGGTGGAGATACCAGAGTTCATTTAGGACACGTCGATTTACAGCCTCGAAACCGAGGGGGCGACCCTGGACGGCGGCGACAAAATCACGCCTACACTGCTGGGAAAGTCGTCCAGGGCCGCCACAACCCTAGGGGGCGGGAGTACAGCGGCAAAGTTTTGTTATTTGCCTACCTTTTAGGCGTCTGTCTAGGCAGTTCCCCCCTCTCTGTATCCGCGTTTGATCTTACACTGCCGTGCCGTGCCACCAGGGCTGCCAACCTAACCTAACCTTGCCCTGCCCGCAGGATCGGCCCTGTCCTCGCGGCCCAGCAGCGCCGTGCCGTGCTGCCAGGGCTGCCAGCCGCGCGCCGTGCTGCAGGTGCTGCCGCCGAGCAGCGAGCGCGAGCAGCGGGAGCAGCGCGAGGCGGCCCGCCTGCGCGCCGAGGTGGACACGCTGCGCTCCGAGCTGGCCCTCGCCAAGACCCGCCTCACCGCGGCGGAAGAGTCCGAGAACAGGTGCAGTTGGCCGCGGTGCCGAGACGCCCGCTTTTCACAATGGCTCGTCATGACGATGACGTCACGATGACGTGCACCCCGAGAGGGTGCCGCGCAACTTCTTACGGCGACACTCGAAGCGCGACTTGACGCTTCACACACGAAATGACCAGCCGGTTTACTTTTTTGTGTGCAAGACTTTTACAGTTGTACCCGACTGCTTAACTACTTGTGTTTTTCCCACGACGAGCAGTGACACTACTTACCCGCGGCGTTTGCACGCGCGCCGCGGCGCTGCCCCGGCGGCCGAGAGACGCGAGACGGGACTGCGCCGCGCTGATGCAACCCGAATGCAACACGAACGCAACCCGGTTGTCCTGTCCGAGCCTTTCGGCCCATGCGGTCGACAGGGCGCAGTCTCTGCCAGCTCTGCCAGTGACAGCCGCGCAGCAGGCTCTGTCTCTCTCGCACCTAAACGGGCCGCCCCATGAGTGCGAGAGAGGCAGAGTGCTGCAGCCGCACATGGCGATCCCACTGATTATCGCCCCTGCGCAATGGCCGTGCATGCGATCCCGCGCACAACACGCGAAAAAAAGACGAAAACAAACAACGATACAGCACGAATGAGTGTTCGAACCCGCACCCCGCCCTGCGCTGACGCCGCCCTTGTGTTGCAGACCTAGCGCGGCCCCCGCGGCCGGCGAGTGCGAGCTCGGCGCCGACCGGCTCGTGGCCTGCTACGCCAACCTGTACTCGCAGGCGCGCGTCGACACCCTGGACGCCCTGGACGCGCTGCCCGCGCTCCGGGACGCCACCGAACTTAAGTCTAAGATCTTGTTTTCTGTCGTCGTGGTGAGTCCCGCGCTGGTGCGGCCCCCGGGCCCCTACCCCTCCTTCAGGGAGCCCTGCTCTGCTGTCATTCCTCTGTTTTGCTAACCTCCCCACCTCCCCCCGCTTGCGCACCGAGTTTTCCAGTGTGCCGCGCCGTCCTGCAGACGGTTCTAACCCCGAGGCGTCCCGCCGCCCGCACCGCCGCCCCGTTTCCGCTAACACTGTTCTTCACCGACTCTGTCCTTTGCGCACTCCACGTCCTTCTGCTTCACTGACTCGTCTCTCTCTCTCGTACTGTACAATGGTAATGCATGTCGGCACGGCCGTAAGCCGTGCCCGTCGTGTAAGTATGTGAAAAATAATGATAAGGAAATATGGCAGCAGTGCCGCCGGTTGCGCTTCGATAGCAGATGCAGGCCGAAACAAAACGCGAGTGCCTTTTCCTTTTGCTGGACCACAAATTGTGGGCGTATTGTGCCGCCCCGGCCGACAGCGCCGTCTGGGATTTACGCCGGCGGGCGCGTCGCGTCGGCCTTGCATGCCGAGAGTCGCTTTCGTCGCTCTGTCTCTCTCGCACTTATTCGGAACGCCCGATGAGTGCGAGAGAGACAGAGCGACGGAAACGACTCTCGGAATCAGTCTGCTGGGCGAGCGGCCGGACAATGCGGTCGTGCTGCGCGTCGTGCCAGCTGCGATTTGGGCGCCAAGTTTTAGGCAGCGCGCGCTTCGGGAGATGGCGAGCCCTTGGTCGCCCTTGGCCCTCGGCGAGACGGCCAGCCCGAAGGACGCCAAGGGCCCCGAAGGACGCCAAGGGCCCCGAAGGACCCGAAGGCCCCGAAGGGCCCCGCATCGTATCGGCCGCCCGCCCGCCTCCCCCGTTTTCCAGGAACTCGTTGAATACCGGTCCAGTGGGTCGCATGCGGTCGCATGGGCGCAGGGCCGAGGGCGTCGCGAAGCCAGCGAAGCCCTGGCGCTGTCTTGCTGCCCTGCCGCCTTGACCCAAATTATTGTTTCTGCCGCCTCCGCTCATGTTTGGCTGCAAGGGCCCCGTTTTCCACCGTCTGCATCTGCTCACGAACTCGCTAATCCCTGGCCGTCGCGCATTGCAGCATTTCGGCAGCTTGTTGTAATCCGCGAGCGAACTGACTTGGTTTTAAACGTCGAACCGGGCTGGGCCTGTCCTAACATCGTGGATATGAGCGCCTCCCCTTCCCCCTTGGCTGTCCTGTACGGTGTGGTGGTGGACCGCCCCTCTTGCGACACTGTCCTGCATCGCGCAGGGCGGCCTGGACGCACACTGGGGCCTCGGGCTACGCCTAGGCCTAGCCTAGGCTACGCGGCTAAGCGGCGCACCCCAGCCTGAGGGCCTTGTTGTACGGCCAGGCCGCCCCAGCCGTCGCCCGATAGTGATTCTGGTCCGTTTTCTCTGTTTTCCCTTCCTCCAACCAACCTCCCACCTCCGGTCTTCGTCATCGCCTTCCCGCCAACGCCTGCCCGCCAACGCCTGCCCGACGACGCCTGCTCGCCGACGCCTGCCCGACGACGCCAACTGCCCGTCGATGCCTGCTCGCCGCCGCCGACGACGACGCCTGCCCTCCCGACGACGCCTACCCGCCGCCGCCGCCGCCGCCCGCCCGCCGACGACGCCCGCCCACCCGATGACGCCCGCCCACCCGACGACGCCTGCCCACCCGACGACGCCTGCCCGCCGACGACAACGACGCCTGCCCGACGACAACGCCTGCCCACCCGACGACGACGCCTACCCGACGACGCCCGCACCGAGTAGCTCGCCTTCCGGTCGGCCCAGAGCCTGCTGGCGCTCAAGAAGGAGCACATCCGGCGCATCCTCCACCTGCCGACGCCGGCCGCCGACCAGAGCGACGCCGCCCCCGCGACCACCGCCGCCCAGGAGCTGGAGCAGCACGTGTCGACGTACCTGCGCCGGACCGTGGACTCGTTCGACCTCACCAAGAGCATCGACGTGAGTACTGTGATCTTCTAGTTTCAAGGTTTGGGAGCAAGGAGAGGAAACACACTGAAAACTTAAGTTCTCAGTACACTCTTATAGTGCTAAAAGTGTGCACACAGTACTCAGTTCATTCTCCGGTTCGTTTCACGCTGGCGGACTTCGCCAGCTTCTCTAACTCATCTAGAACTCTAGTGACTAGGGCCTCTGCTCAAAACTTGAACTGCGTCAACCAGTTTGCGTTTGTTTGTCTGTTGGGCGTTTTAGGAAGTTTGCAGTCAAATTTGGGCCACGCTGTACGACTACCCCAGCCTCAAGACGTGCGGCGGCCTCCTGCAGTACGTGCGGGACTCCGTCCGCCTGGCGTGGGCCCTCGTCAATCAGGTAGGTCCCGGCTGGCTCCAGCCACTAAGGCGTAAGTTGGGGAAGAAAAATACAGGGCAAGAAACCCTTACATCGAGCCACCCCTCCATCAGATATTTCAACTTGAAAATCTGAGTGTGAACTCGTAAGTGGATGTCGAGGTCTGTGGATAGTAGGCCCCAAGAAGCGGGTGAACTAATTTTCTTACCCTGTACTTTTCTTCCGCAACTTACCCTTTAAAGTCGATTTTTGACATTTTGAAACTGAGTTGAACGCCGTTTCCTTTTCTGCTGGCCCTCCAGACGCCGACCTACGTGCTCGAGTACGAGCAGCGCCTGTTCCGCCGCGACGTGCACGTGCGCTTCCACTCGTCCGACCCCGACAGCGAGGCCATCCGCACGTACCTGTGGCCCGCCCTGCTGGAGGGCGCCGGCGGGCCGTGCGTGCACAAGGCCGTCGTGCTCACCTAGACGAGCACCCCGCCGGGCGCGCGCGCGGACCTGGACCGAGGCCAGGTGGGTACTCCGCGGTGTCATCCCGCTGCACAGCGGGCCAGAAGACCGGCGCCGGCGGCGGTCAAAACTCCAGACGCGTTTTGAGCTCAAGTCGTTAAATGACACTCGATCCGAGCGTGTGACCCCACCAACGGATTGCTCTCCGAACGAGGAATCCATTGGTGGGGTCACACGTTTGGTTCGAGTCCTGCTCAGCGACTCTGGAGCTCAAAACACTTGTAGGGTTACGGCGCCGTACTTCTGGCTCACTGAGGTGTGTCAGTGCCATCGCGCTGCTGCCATCTTCACGGAGTGCTTGTTCTTGTTGCAGACGCCCCAGTGCCGCTGGTTCGGCACCCGAGCTACGCGCCAAGTAGCCGGTGCGCGAACTCGGCCTCCGCCGCCGCGGCGCGGCCGCCCCGTGGAACACCCCGGCTATCTCGGAGCACCTAGCTGGCGTGCTGACCCGGCGCCCCGCCGCGCCCCGCCGCCTCCGTCCAGGCCACCGTCATCGAGTGCTGCCCATGCCAGCGCTCCGTGCGCACCGCCCCCGCCCCACCCTCCCCCGTGTCGTAGTGTTGCCCCCAAATGGACTCGGCGAATGCGCCGTCGGCAGCCTTCGGTCGGACCGACCGGTCGCTCGGACGGGCGAGGAAGCGAGGGCCTCGGCGGCAGTCGCCCGCCCTTGGCCCGGTCTTGGCCCGCCCCACCCAAGGCCCCACCGACGCCAACCCGCTCAAAGTGTCAAAGTGTTGCCGCCGACTGACTTGACTTTATCGTCACTAACCTGAGCTGCAAACGTAAAGTGCCTCGAAGAGTAACATATTGTTTGTTTTTGTCTCTGTTTTTGTCTCTGTTTTTGTCTCCGTCCCGTAAAGTCCACTGAAGTGCAAGCACAGTCTCATGGAGCAGGGCTCATTATAGCTTGTGCTACACACGTACGCGTCGACTTCAGTATTACGTATTTTCGCAAGTAATCCGATAAATGTCATACGGGCGAGCCATGGTTGTCGCTTCGTTTCGCAACTTTTCCTGTTATTTTATTCGACTTGTGTGTGTATTATGCGATCTTGAGTTGATCTTTCTTTTTGCGCGGTAGTTTAAAGTGACCGTCCGCTCGGTGCCATCATGTACAGCGTAGGATAAGATGATGGTCTACTGAGGTGACCTAGAAATGTTTAACGTCAGAACATCTTGACAGAACTCTGACTCCCGCTCATGTGGGTGTTTTTATTTTTGTATTCCTTACTGAAATGAGTGAAATGTATTTCACACGTGTTATTGTATTGTACCCGACTTTGTGATTCATGTCTTATTATAAAATATAATTTATAATTTATTTCCAACGTCGGCGTGACACTATCTTTCCATCCCGTCACATTACCCTTCCCTTGCATGATGGATTTTGATCCAGGAGATCAACGCCACAGTGGGCCAAAAGACCGGCGCGGGTGGTCAAATTCCCGGACGCGTTTTGAGCTCTAGGGTCCCTCAATAGGACACGAACCAAATGTGTAACCCTATCAATGGATTGCTCTTCGAGCGAGGAATCCATTGCTGGGGTCTCCCGTTCGGTTCGAATCCTGTTTAGCGACTCTGGAGTTCCAAACATGTCTACACTCTAAATGTCTTACGAAGAAATTTCCCATATTACGAAGGGAATGGCGCAAGCATAATACGAAGGTGGTTTTTCTTCGTATTACGAAGGTTTTTCTTTGTATCTTACGATGAAAAAGGTCAAACGATTCGTATTACGAAGGAATATTGCTTCGTATTATGCTTGCGCCGAATTCATTGTAACATACGAATAACATAGGTCAAATTTCATTGTAAGACAATTAGAGTGTAGATTTGACCGTGCTCACCGGTCTTCTAGCCCACTGTCCACAGTAGAAACGAAAACAATGATAGATTTCGGCCAGCAGTGTGCGTCAATACTCCGCGTGCGGGTCGGTCGAGGCCCTGTAGCCCTGCGGCGTGGGGTATCGCCGCTCTGCGGACCGTGTGAGTCTCATTCTTGTGGCCGCACGCGTTAATCCCAGTGGATCTACTCGAACAGAGGCGAGCTAGTCCGATTAAGTCCTCTGGCCGCGCCATGCGCCTTGCGCGTTATCAACTGGGATTACGGAGTAGTGGTCCGCACGCCGCCTTCACTGTAAGGCCTCGGCGCCCTTAGGGGAAGTTGACGCCCGTGGTCTCGGACAGCCAGTCCAGGAAGTAGTTGACGCGCGTGAAGCCCACGGGGCAGCCCACCGTGCAGCCATCCTTGCAGCCGAAGCTGGTGAGGCCGATCTGGATGACCGAGCCGTCGTCGTCGCCGCTGGGCACCGTCAGGGGGCCGCCGCTGTCACCCTGCAAGCAGCAAACAAATCAAAAACTTAAAAAATTAAACGTTTTCTCCGAGGGGGTATTCACTCGAGGTATTCTGTGTACCCACTAGGATATTCATATTCATATTCTTGAATATTCATAAATATTCATGTATTCACAAGTATTCTCCATATTCACACATATTCAGAATATTTCGAAGTATTCGCAAGTATTCGCGGGTATTCTCTTAGTATTCACGGGTATTCCCTAGTATTCAGAGGTATTTTAGTTTGTTGGCATTATTTCGTCGTTTTTTGTCCGAAATTCGGCGCGAGAGCTTCTGGTATCACTCTCGGGTCCATATTTGGACGTTTCTTACTGACAAAATGAGATTCTAGAAGAGTTCTGGTTCGCGGCTAGCCGAAAAACTCTATTCTTTAACTTACATATTCACGTATATTCTCAAGTATTCACTCATATTCTGGGGTATTTGCACATATTCCCAAATATTCATTCATATTCTTTGATATTCGTAGTTTTTTTGTATTCGGAGATATTCACGACTCTTAGTATTCAGAAGTATTCACAAGTATTCACGCATATTCATATTCTGTGTACCCGAAAAAACCGAGTGAGTACCCCCTCGGTTTTCTCCCTAGAGAAAAACAAAGCGCTTGCGTATGGGGAAACTAGAAAGGCGTGGTTTGCTTCGCCGGGCATCGCACCTTGCAGCTGCTGGTGCCCTTGGCCTCCAGGCAGATCTGCGACACGTCGGCGGCCTCGTAGTACTTGTAGCACACGTCGGTGGAGACGACGGGCAGGGAGGTGAACTGGAGGTGCGGGCTGATGGTCTGCGAGTCTGCGAAAGTGAGTGAAACCGGTGAGCGCGCTGGCCGTCATCGTCATGCTAGCCGTGTCTTTGAACGAGGACGCTCGACTTACTGTCCGCCACCTTGCCGAAGCCGGACACCGTGGCCTTCTGGCCCGCGTAGTTGACGCCCGCCGGGGCCAGCTGGACCAGCTTGATGAAGTCTGCGACATCAAAACCATTCAGCCTCTATCCGCCAGTGTGGTGGCCGCCCCCAGGAGACTGATTCCGAAGGTCCTTTCCATCGCCGTGTCTTTCTCGTACCCACACGGGACGTCCCATGAGTGCGAGAGCGACAGAACGGCAAAAACGACTCTCGATCAGTCTACAGTGAGTGGTGCACCGCCTTGACGTACCTCCCGAGAGGTCGACCTCCCTCCACAGCTGGATGACGCCGATGTCATTGGTCACTTCGTACGAGTTGTAGCGCTCGTGGCGCGTGGCGGCGTTGCTGACCTGCACCTCGCGGCCCTCCTCCTTGGCCGCCACCATGTTGGACACGCCCAGAAACACGGTCCAGGTCTTGAAGCTGCGGCACAAGCGACGCGTCATCCCAGCGGCACAAGCGACGCGTCATCCCCCCTAGACTCCGACGAAGTCCCGGCCCATAGGCCCCGATACGACCCCGACCCGGCCCCGACCCGGCCCCGACCCGGCCCCGACCCGGCCGAACCCGGCGACCCGCCAGCCCGGCCCGACCGAAAGCCGGCAGACGGCCGGGCCGGCCGGCCGATACCCGGTCGCCCTATAGGGACCCGGCAAAGCCTCGGCCAAGCCCCGACAGAGTCCATCCGAGTCCGGCCAAGTCCGGCCACGGTGTAAGAGTGCGCCACCCGAAGAGTGGTCTCCCTACACCGTAAGTCCGGACTGTGGCGGGTTCCACCGGACTTACGGCGTAGGGAGACCACTCTTCGGGTGGCGCACTCTTACACCGTGGCCGGACTTGGCCGGACTCGGATGGACTCTGTCGGGGCTTGGCCGAGGCTTTGCCGGGTCCCTATAGGGCGACCGGGTATCGGCCGGCCCGGCCCCTCGGCCGGGTCTGGGCCGGGTCTTTGCCGGGTCGGGGCCGGGTCTCGGCCGGGTCGGGGCCGGGTCTCGGCCGGGTCGGGGCCGGGTCGGGGCCGGGTCGGGGTCGTATCGGGGCCTATGGGCCGGGACTTCGTCGGAGTCTAGGGCCAGCGGCCCCACAACGCTGTGTTTACAACCCTCGCTGCACTGCACAGTGGGCCAGTAGAGCGGCGCCGGCGGTCAAAACTCTATACGCGTTTTGAGCTGCAGAGTCGCTAAACAGGACTGGAACGTAACGTGTGACCCCACCAATGGATTCCTCTTTCGGAGAGCAATCGATTGGTGGGGTCACACGTTAGGTTCCAGTCCTGTTTAGCGACTCTGCAGCTCAATCCCTTGGTGGGGACACACGTTACGTTCCAGTCCTATTTAGCGACTCTGCAGCTCAAAACGCGTGTAGAGTTTTGGCCGCCGGTCCTCTGGCCAACTGTGTGACAGTTTGCAACCCGGCCGCGGCTGCTCTGCTCACCCGTCGACGCAGTGCGCGGCCGTCAGCACCCAGTTCTTGTGGATGAGCGAGCCGCCGCAGAAGGCGTTGAAGTCCAGGTAGATGCCGGCCTGGAAGGGGAACTGCGTCCTGGAGGCCACATCGCCGTTGAAGATGCGCAGGCCATGGCCGCCGTGCGTGCGGGCTGCGGACAGGGCGTCGCCGCCAGGTTGGCCTGAGTTCCCGGTTCACCCGCTACACTAGCTGCACTTCAAGGCGCTTGCAACTTACCGGGGCCGGGGACCTTCAAGAAGGGCACCCTCTGCCTGGCGGCTGCCACATCCTGCGCAGGGTGTCAGTTCCGGTTAGAGCTCGCGGGCGGCACGCGGCGCGCGGTGGCCGAGGGGGCGGCCTGGGGGCGGCGCGTCGTCGGGGTGGCTCACCTGGGAGGCGGCGGCGCTGGCCAGGACGGCGCACAGCGCGAGCAGCGCGGGGGTCTTCATGGCGGCGGGTGCAGGTCGCCACTGGGCCGCGCCGTCGCCAAACTGACACATATAATCGCGCGTCGTCGCTATCTGCGATGGCGGCCGTGCCGTGGCGGCCGCGTCATGGCGCCGCGCCGCGGCGTGGCTGGACTCGCCGTAATCTTGCCGGATTATTGGAAGGAAGGCGGTCACTGTGACGTCCTGCAGGGCGTGCTGGGCCACGGCGGCCGGGTCAGCACTCCACAATGACCTCGAGCACTACTCGTGCAGTGGTCTGCGCGGTTCATTTAAACCGCCGGGGACTGATTGTTTTCTCTTCGGATCTCAACTAAGGGAGAATCAAAGCACATTTTGTGTGATTTTTATTATGGAAGAATCTTAACTCCTTCCCTACTACCTTAGCGACTCACTTTGTAGTCGTGTGGGTGGTGGTTCAAGTATACAGAAACCATCGGTCGAACGAGCGTTCTACTTCACTCGACAAAGTGAGAAGGTAAGTAAGCCCCATGTCGGGAATCGGTCACTAATTTGACCCCCATTTATTTTCATGCCTGTTGAGTATCTTAAGGTATTTTACCCATTTTGAAAGTTTATTTTGTGTCAATGACCTCGAGTTCGCAGATCCTGCATTTTTCTCGGTACTTCCGGGTCGGAGGTCAAATGCATCATTCAATTTCCTGGCGCCCCTTCAATCACGTTTTAAAGAGAGATAGCCGACATTCCGCACCGTTTCCCCGATAATCCGTAACGGTAACACTGGTGGATCACGGCTTTTCTGGATCAAGATAAAGATCCCCTTAATCTTGGTCGCGTGCTCGGTCCGCTCTATGCACGCACCTGAAGAGGAGAGGAGGGGTGGGGACGAAAACCACGCAACCATCCCCAGTCTTTCTCAAAATTTATTATTAAATTAGTTTTCTAGAAAAAGTGAGCAGCATTTGGCAGCACTGCGCCACGTTGCTACTGAGGATTTTTGAAGTCGATTCCCGTGGTCTCGGAGATCCAGTCGATGAAGATGGCGAGGTTGGTGTAGCCCACGGGCCTGCCCAGGCTGCAGCCCGCCGTCGCGCCGAAGCTCACGGCGCCCACCAGGATCGTCTTGCCGTTGTCGTCCACGGTGAACGGGCCGCCGCTGTCGCCCTGGGTGAGTCGAAAGCCAAAGGTTAGCTTAGGTTAGGATAAGTGAGGTTGGGCTAGCATAGGTTAGGTAAGGTTAGGATGAGTTAACTTAGGTAAGGTTAGGATGGGTGAGATTAGGTAAGGTTAGGATAGTTAGGTTAGGTAAGGTTACACTTCAAACTTAACTGTCTACTAAATACTGCACACTTACAGACGCATGCTTTGAATGTACACAATTACAACTGCATGCTTGGCTTCAACTCCGTGATGCGCTTATGCACTTGTAAGTGTGTACTTGGCCAAGCATGCATTTGTAAGTGTGTACTCGGCCAAGAATGCAACTGCAAGTATGTTGACCGTGTACTTAGTTAACAGTTAGGTTTGCGTTTGTAGGTTGGGTTCAGTAACTTTAGGTTAGACTGAAGTCAGGTCATGGGATGAACAAGATCGCGCACCTTGCAGGAGCTGCTGCCCTCGGCGCGCAGGCAGATGACGGACGGGTGCAGCGGGGAGTCGCCGTACGCGTCGGCACACACCTGGTTGTCCACCACCGGCAGGCTGGTGAACCTGAGTCGGGGGCTCACGGGGGAGGCGTTCACTGCAAAAGACGAGCGCGGAGCCGTTCAAACACTCGCCGTCGCACAAGCATGTCGGCAGCAAAGCCGGGCAAAGCGCTTTGCGAATCGGTAAGGCCGTGTGGCCGTGGTCACTCACCGTCATCCGTGCGGCCGTACCCGGACACGGTGCCGGTCCTGCCGAGGTAGGAGGCTCCCTTGGGCGTCAGGGCGACGGTCTGGATGTAGGCTGCGGGACAGAAAAAGGGCGGGGTGAGCTTCGTCTAGTCAGGTGCGGATCCAGTGGCGGAGCAAAAGGAAAACTGCCCCCCTCCCCCCCCCACTCCCAATTCCACCCCCACCCCACCCAACCCCCACCTCCAACCGTGGCCCCAAGATAGCCTTCGCCCTTCCCTTGGACTGGCTCTGGATCCGCCACTGTTTCCGGTTTGCCGGGGTGCGTGGGGCGAGCGGGGACTGCAGCCCAGGTAAAAATGGCCTTTATAAAGGCCATTATAAGGTTTTCTATGATTTTATAAGGATTTTTTATCCAATTTTATAAATTTTAATAATGTCATATGGATTAAGATTTATACAATCACACGGAAGTTTTATAAAGGGATATGTGTGCAGTTATATAAAGTTTTATACAGAAGGATGTATATGGCCGTATATAACATAATGGATTCCTATATAATCATAGCTAAAGAGCTCCTCCTTATAGAGATATATATGGAGACATATAAACAGTTTTATATAACTATATAAGGCCATCCCTATAAAACTTTATATTTACTTATAAAAGTTCATAAAATCATATGTATGAACGTATATATATACTTATAAGTTTTTATAAGCCTTTTGATATGGTTTTATAAATGTTTATAAAAATTCCCGTCTGACTTTATAAAACCCATTTTTACCTGGGAGACTGGTTCCGAGAGTCGTTTCCGTCGCTCCGTCTCTCTCGCACTCATGGGACGTCCCGTATAGGTGCGAGAGAGACGGAGCGACGAAAGCGACTCTCGGAAGCAGTCTGCGGGCGCGGTGCGCGGTGCGCGGTGCTCACTCACTGCTGAGGCCGGCGGGGCGCATGAGCTGGATGACGCCCACGTCGTTGATGATTTTGCGGGCGTTGTACTCGGGGTGGTGGTAGCCGCCGCGGGTCACGTGGGTCACGCGGCCCTCCTGCACCGGCGTGAGGCTCTCCGTGCCGCCCAGCAGCACGTACCAAATAGTGCCACTGCAAAAAAAAGAGAAAATCATATTTCAAAGATGATTTGACGGCTTTTCCTCCCGGATGTCGTCCGTTTGCAGTGCACTTACTCGGCGACGCAGTGGGCCGCGGTGAGGACCCACTTCTCGTTGATGAGGGAGCCGCCGCAGAAGACGCTGAGGTCGATGAAGATGGCGGCCTGGTAGGGGAACTGGCCGCGCTTGGCCACGTCGCCGCCGAAGATGCGGAGGCGTCCGTCCTCGGCGGCGGCCTGCTCCGCCTCCTCGACCTCCTCCAAGGCCTTGGGGGCTGCAAGCAGCGCGAGCAGCGCAATCGGTGAGGAGGTCGCGCGTGCTGCCTGCCAGCTAGGGGCACCGCGGAGCAGGCCAAGCAGGCCGTGCTGGCGAATGGTACTTACGGCCGGGGACGTCCCTGAAGAACACGGGCGTCTCGACCGCCTGCTGCGCCTGTGGGGGCAGTGAGTCTTTCAGTCAGAAGGAAGCGACAAGAAAACTCACCCCGATTGTAAACAGGGGGAGGGGTGCACCTCGGCGAAGGCGCAGGCCAGGACGGCGACGGCCGCGCACAGCACGGACAGGGACTTCATGTTGGCGGCGCTGCGGCGTCACTGGCCGCCCTCCGCGCCCGGTCGCCTATATAGCGTCGGTCCGGCCGCCAGGACGCCGCCGGCGTCCACGAGACGACGCCGACGCCGCCGCGCGGAGGGCCGCCGACGCCGCCGTCCTAGGGGCCTAAAGCCTTGATTACTGCGGCTTATCAATCGGGGCTTTGCGCGCTGCTGGCGCTGCTTGCGTGGGCACCACGCGGCCCGATTCCGCCTTTCGTCACGACCTCGGTGACGGGCAGGTGCAGGTGCAGGGGCAGGGGCAGGCCCTGGTTCTCGGCCTTGCTGGGCACACTGCAGCGGCCCGGCCTCCAGCAGCCCCAGCCGGCCTGGACGCCGCCTGTGAATCGGAGGGTAGGCAACCCATCCGGCACGCGCGCGACCCATGCGGCCTGACAGCCCGGCGTGGTGCTTCTGGACAGGGTGCAGAGGGGAGGGTACACAGAATGCAGTGGGCGCAAAACGTGCACAGGGTGGTGCCATAAAGTTCGCGGTTCTGCGATCCACTTCTGTTTCCTGCGATCCCTGCGCTTTGCTTTTTGCGAGGAATCCCTGTGCTGGGAAATGTTATCGCAGTCCACCCTCACTGCTTCAAGATAAAAGTTTTGCACTTCGTACCATTTGAACTCCCGAGAAAAGTTCAGAAATCTCAAACGTGACTCTGGTCAATTAGTGTGCCTGCTACGGGGGTGGGGGAGAGGGAGGGGAGGGGGAGGGGAGGGGGAGGGGGAGGGGAGGGGGCTGGTTAAGAGCATACGGCGCGGCGCATCAAAAACTGTTCTGTTCTATAAATACGTCTTTATTTACACAAGTTTCGGGACTACACTCTACTGGTTGAAGGGATAGGGGATGCCGGTGGACTCGGCGATCCAGTCGATGAAGTAGGCCAGGTTGACGAAGCCCACGGGGTAGCCCTCCTCGCAGCTCGCGGTCGCGCCGAAGCTGGTGGCGCCGATCTGCGTGGGGTTGTTCTGCGCGTCGTAGACGACCAGGGGCCCGCCGCTGTCGCCCTGCGGAGACACCGGAAAACCAAAACATGTCAACGTTGGAGGAGCGAGCAAGGCAGCAATGCGTCGGTTCGAAAGAAATTCAAGGAACCGCGCGGTCAGCACTGTAATCCTATTGGTAAGTTTTCTTGCCACTAAAGTGGCGTTCCGTTTTGATTGCCAAAAGTTGGCCTTCTGGGCACCGATTATCATCTGGGAATGCCAAAATTCGGCGTTCCAGGTCGCCGGAGTGCCAAATATTGGCATTCTGTGAGATAAATCCAGGCCCGGAAGGCAAAATTTTGGCTTTCGAAAAACGGAGCGCTCTGGATCGGCAATGAAACTCGCCAATAATGGATTTGCAGTGAAAGGGGACACTCACGTTGCACGAGCTGGTCTTGACCTGGTCGGTGGCCAGGCAGATGAAGGAAGGGTGCTCGGAGCCGTACGCGTCGTAGCAGATGTCGCTGCTCACCACGGGCATGGACGTGAACATGAGGTCGTCGCTGATGATCTTCGGCACTGGAACAGAGAGGACGCCAGGTTAGGAGGGTTCCGCTGTGTACTACCTTGTCTTCTGCATTGTGAGGCGGAGGCGAAGAGGAAGAAAGGAGTCCTGCATCTTCGTGCAGGTTCATGACGTCTTTCTTCTCTGCTTCCGCCTCGGGTTTGCTGTGCGGTTTGCATACTCACGGTCGTGGATCTTGCCAAAACCGGCCACGGTGGGGCTGCTTCCGACGTAGTCGACGCCCTTCGGAGTGAGAGTGACGGTGCCGATGAGGTCTGAAACGGAGAGAGCCGGTTCCGTCAACACCGAGCGGCAACGCGTTCACGCCGGACGGCGAGCAGTGCAACGACACGCCAACCACTCACTGGTGATGGTGACTTCGTTCATGAGCTGGATCAGGCCCAGGTCGTTGATGATGAGCTTGCTGTCGTAGTCGGGGTGGTGCAGCCCCCCGCGCGTCACGTGCACCTCGCGGCCCTCCTGCTTGGCCATCCACATGCTCGTCACGCCCATGAACAGCGCCCAGAAGTTGCCGCTGGGGAGTGACAAGTCATCAAAAGGTTTGTCGGACATTTGGTGGCGGTGGAGCGACGCACAGTGGGCCAGAATACCGGCGCAGGCGGCCAAAACTCTTGACGCGTTTTGGCCTCCAGAGTCGCTAAATGGGACTCGAACCGAGTGTGTGACCCCACCAATGGATTCCGTTGGAGCAATCCAATTGGTGGGGTCACACGTTCCGTTCGAGTCCTGTTTAGCGACTCTGGAGCTCAAAACGCGTCTAGAGTTTTGGCCGCCAGCGCCGGTCTTCTGGCCCGCTGTACGGTACGGTGGAGCGGTGGACCTACCCGTCGACGCAGTGGGCCGCCGTCAGCACCCACTTCTTGTTGATGAGGGAGCCGCCGCAGAAGCCGCTCAAGTCGATGTAGACGCCGACGTAGTACGGGAACTGGCCCGGCGCGGCGACCTGGCCGTTGATGATGCGGAGGCCGTGGCTCTCCTTCTTGGACGCTGCGACCAGACATTCAGTCATTGTTTTGTTTCTCATTCTGTGCAGACTGATTCCGAGAGTGGTTTTCGTCGCTCCGTTTTTCTAACACCTGTACGGAACGCCCCATGAGTGCGACGGAGACAGAGCGACGAAAACGACTCTCGAGATCAGTCCGGTGGTTCAGCGAGGCCTGCTGCTTACGTGCGGGGACGTCCGTGAAGAAGGCCTTCTCCAGCTTGCCCACGGCAGCCTGCACCTCGTCTCCCTGCGTGACGTCATCATGCAACAAGCGGTCTGATTAACAGTGTACCTCGGCAGAGATACCGCGAAACAGCGCAAAGGCGCCAACGGGCATTCTTCTCTCCTAGGCCGGGTCTTAGTGTTATCCTAATCCACGAATCCACGGGAGTTTGCTTGGGGTGCCGTCCGCGTAACGTCGTGCGTGACCACTCTGATAATACTGTTTTGTTTGGGGATTTTAAATTCAGAATTAATGAACGATTCCCCGCGAATATTTGGTACACACACTGTAAATCGTATTCTCGTCACTAGGATTTGTTTTGACAATGAGTAGTCTCAACCCTTTGCTAAGAGAATTATATGCTCTCGAAGAAGTAGCCGTCACTAAAGTTGAAGCAACTTGTTGATCCGTGCGCTGGCTGCAGTCACTGCATTGAAGTCCTTCCTCTGTTTTCGTTTCCGTTACGCACCTCGCCGGCAGCCAGGGCGCAGGCGCAGCCCGCCAGGGCGACGCACAGAAGGACGGCGGTCTTCATGGCGGCGGCGCGGTCGCGGAGGGGCGCCACTGGTCACCGAGACCACGCCGTCGACGCCTTTATAGCCTCGGCCGGCCAATCGGCGGCGCCGGGAGGGGCGCTATCAGCGGGACTAGGACAGTCCCTCAGGACGCGGGATTACGCGCACTGCTGCAGACTGATTCCGAGAGTCGTTTTCGTCGCTCTGTCTCTCTCGCATCCATGGGGCGTCCCGCATAGGTGCGAGAGAGACAGAGCGACGAAAACGACTCTCGGAATCAGTCTGCTGGCAAACTTCTTCCACCTCGCCCATCCCTCCAGCCCTCAAAGTGCGGTGCGTCCAGGATCGGCACCGGGCGGCACCGGCCAAGTAGTTGGGTGACCTAGCCGATCCAAACTGCACTTCATGACCATGGGCTGGAATGTTTTTTGGGTGTTCTGGGGACCCTCCTGAACTTTTTTTTCCACAGAGGCATTTTGATTTCGCGTGCAGAGCCAAGCGACGCCTCCCGGCAATAAGGCTCTATATCTTTTCCGTACCTCTCTAAAAGGCTCTATCTTTTTCGTACGTCTCTAAAAGGCTCTATCTTTTTCGCACGTCTCTAAAATGCTCTATCTTTTTCGTACGCCCAAAAGGTTCTATCTTTTCCGGCAGTCTTTTGAGATATTGAGAGTTAAAGATTTGATTAGTTATCAACCTGATGGTTTATTTCGGTTCATGACGGTATGTGCTTTCACTCTCAACCATCAAAAGGTAGTAAAATCCCAAAACAAGCTAGGCAGTGCTGTGCCCGGAATCACAAACGATCAATCGTGGTCCAGCCTCTCAAGTTCACGTTCCAGACGCGTCGCGTCAGTCAAGAGCGCTTCGGGTTGCCTACCCGCGCGGCGCGGCGGCCAGGCCTTCCCCCTCCGCGCCGAGGTCCGCAGCCCATGGGCTCCTCGTTGCAGGGACCACTGACCAGGCGGAGACCTCACCCCCGACTGCGAGTGCCAATGTCACCGGGCCTTCGGCCTTTCCCCTTTGGCCTTTCGCCAGTCCAGGGGACCCGAGCCGAGGGGATCGCAGGGGCCGAGGGGCCCCGCCTCAGCAGTGAGACGCACGGCGGCGCGGCGGTACGGCGGCGAGGCAAGGAGCCGAGCCCGTACTCTGGTTTCCCGCGAGAGCGGCTTCTGGCTGGACTTGCGGAAGGCATACAGTGTCGTGCAGACTGCAGAGCGGCCTGCAGTGCAGCCTGCAGTTCATTGCACAGTGCAGCCGACGGAGAATTTAGCAGTGCAGCCGACAGAGAATTTAACAGTGCAGCCGACACAGTAGGGCCGGCGACGCGGCGACCGCGACCATGGCCTTCGCCGCCACCCCCGGCGTCTTGGCGGTCTTGGTGTTCATCGGCGCGCTGTGCAGCGTCGCCCCCTCTGCTTCTTCGGCGGGTGAGAGAGCGTCGAAAGGTGGTAAAGGTGTCGCCGAGTGAGTGAGTGAGTGAGTGAGTGAGTGAGTGAGTGAGTGAGTGAGTGAGTGAGTGAGTGAGTGAGTGAGTGAGTGAGTGAGTGAGTGAGTGAGTGAGTGAGTATGTGAGTGAGTGAGTGAGTGAGTGAGTGAGTGAGTGAGTGAGTGAGTGAGTGAGTGAGTGAGTGAGTGAGTGAGTGAGTGAGTGAGTGAGTGAGTGAGTCTGTGTGTGTGTGAGTGTGAGTGTGTGTGTGAGTGTGTGTGTGTGTGTGTGTGTGTGTGACTTAATCGAATAAGCTTACCAATTTTTTCATTCAAAACAATGGACGCGAAGCGATTGTTTGCGCCGCCGAATGTAGAATGGGGAATGGATTCCAGACGCTGTTTATGCCGGGGCGTGACGTCAAACACGCGACGACGCGACGCGAAACCGGTCGGCACGGAGGTGAACACTCGTCCGCACGCGAGCAAGGTCAACGCAATGGATGCGTGCCGCGGCGTGCCGGTGCGTCCCTTCAAGGTGCAGCCGCCTCGATACTCGATAGAGCGATTGAAAGAGTTGCCGTTTGGAAGAATCAGCAACAGGTCGCGGACTTTTTCATGGCCATTTTCACTTCCTTCATGAAATTGTTCCGTGACGTGTTTATGCAAAGTCTGGAATGGAAGTGGAAACGCACCGCACTGACTGTTTTTGTTTACGTTGTTTGTTTTTGCAGCGATGTGCCCGCCGCTGCGGTCCAACACGGTGCAGGTGGACTGCCTGCAGGCCGGCGGGCCCTGCAACTGCACTGACTGTTTTGTTTTTGTTGTTTGTTTTCCCAGCGATGTGCCTGCCGCTGCGGTCCAACACGGTGCAGGTGGACTGCCTGCAGGCCGGCGAGCCCTGCAACTGCACTGACTGTTTTGTTTTTGTTGTTTGTTTTCCCAGCGATGTGCCCGCCGCTGCGGTCCAACACGGTGCAGGTGGACTGCGTGCAGGCCGGCGAGCCCTGCAACTGCACTGACTGTTTTGTTTTTGTTGTTTGTTTTCCCAGCGATGTGCCCGCCGCTGCGGTCCAACACGGTGCAGGTGGACTGCGTGCAGGCCGGCGAGCCCTTCAACTGCACGGAGCAGCCCTCGGCGCCGGGCACGGTGGCCACGTACCGCTGCAAGCCGCTGCACCAGCCCCTGTTCGGCTTCCTGCCCGCGGCCGGCGCCGAGTCGTACTGCCGGCCCAGCGGCGAGTGGAGCGTGCGGCCCTTCCGCTGCGTGCCCAGTGAGCCCCTCCCTTCGCCTCGGACGACAACAGTTCCCACAGTGGGCCAGAAGACCGGCGGAGGCGGTCGAAAAATCCCGGCCGCGTTTTGAGCTCCAGAGTCGCTAAATGGGACTCGAACCGAACGTGTGACCCCACCAATGGATTGCTCTCCGAACGAGGAATCCATTGGTGGGGTCACACGTTCGGTTCGAGTCCTGCTGAGCGACTAGGATTTTTGACCGCCTGCGCCGGTCTTCTGGCCCACTGTGGTTCCGCCGAGCACAACCCGAAGGGCTCCGCGCTGACGCCGTCGTCTGTCCGCAGTCTGCGGCCGCCCCACTGGCAGGCCGACGGCGCTGGTCCGCGACGGCGAGGAGGTGGGCTCGGCCGCGGACTACCCCTGGCACGTCACCATCTACGACGTGGTGCTGGACATGAAGCAGATCTGCGGCGGCTCCCTCGTCACGCCCAAGTACTTCGTGTCTGGTAAGAAGCTAGGGACTGTGTGAGTCGGTGGAGGGGCGGTTAGGATGGTGACGAACGCACGTGTCCGTTGCAGCGGCCCACTGCTTCCACGACAACACCCGCGCCCTGCCCGCCACCCGCTACATGGCGGCCTTCGCCAAGACCAAGAGGAGCGCCACTGCGACCGAGCCCCAGGAGCAGTTCCGACCGGTAAGGCTGCCAGGGCTGACTACGATTCGGGAGTGCCTGGCCCTTGGCCTGACGACTGATTCCGAGAGTCGTTTTCGTCGCTCTGTCTTTCGTGGGGCGTCCCGTATAGGTGCGAGAGAGACAGAGCGACGAAGGCGGCCCTCGGAATCAGTCGACTGGCCTGACCGCCCATTCGATTGGGAGGCCTTGGAGTTCCCTGCTCTTGTGGCTCTTGTCCGCCTCCTCGACGACGTGGCGTCTTAACCCGCTGCCTTTGCAGATGGCCAAGATCCACATGAAGGACTACGGCGCCAAGAAGCTGCACTACGCCAACGACATCGCGCTGGTGGAGCTGGAGAGCGAGGTGGCGGTGACGGCCTGGACGCTGCCCGTGTGCGTGGACTGGTCGCTGGAGCTGCCGGACCTGCGCAACGGCGAGGAGGGCACGGTGCGTTCCCTCGCACTCTGTCTCTCTCGCACGGAGGCCTTTCGAAGGGGTGCGAGAGTGAGACAGCAGACTGAGAGTCGTTTTCGTCGCTCTGTCTCTCTCGCACTCATGCGGCGTCCCGCGGAGTGCGAGAGAGACAGAGCGAGTGATCCGTTCGCGTTGGACAGGTCGTCGGCTTCGGGAACACGGCGTACGAGGCGAGCGAGACGCTGCGCTTCGCCAAGCTGCCCTTCGTGCGCGCGGACGACTGCAAGAAGCTCGTCGACGACCAGCTGGCCATCTTCAACCTGCTGCCCGACAAGTACTGCGTGGGCTTCGTCAACAGTGCGTACACCGCCGAGACGCGGCAAGCCGTTTTGAGTGCCGGAAATGGGCAAGCCTGGCCCAAAAGTACTCCCCAGCTTGTCAAAATTTGGCAGGTGGCCGAAGCGCCAAATATTGGCAAACTAATGTAAATTTTACTGCTAATCCACGGACCAGGTCCACAATTTAAAACGTGAGTAAAAAAAAAAAGCGTGAACCGGGTCCACCCTTAGGTTAGCAGTGTTCAGGTCAAGGCTTGCCAATTTTTGTGCATTCAAAACGGCTGGCCAATTTTGTGACAAGCAAGCTTTCCACCGGACCTGCGGTGTTGTGCAGGACGCGGACACAAAGGCGCCGGGCGCCTTGCAGCCACGCTCACGGCGGTCTCTGCTTGCAGACACCTCGGTGGCGCCGGGCGACAGCGGCGGCGGCATGGCCTTCGCCAACCACGTGGAGCGCGCCTGGTACCTGCGCGGCGTCGTGTCCGTGGGCAGCTCCAAGAAGACCACCTACTCGTACTTCACCAACGTGACGGCCTTCGTGCCCTGGATCTCCGGCATCATCCGCCAGGGCGAGGTGGCCGAATTGAACCACATTTCAATAGAGTGGTTGGAGCTAACGTCAGACAAAGAAGAAAGGAAGGAATACTTCAGGAATATAGCCGCCGGAGGCCTCTGATAGGTCCTTGCAGCCGACAGAGCCCCTGGCGTCCATGTTCTTGAAGCATTGTTCTTCCTCTCTTCTTCTTGTCCAGCTTGAGCTCAACTTCTCTGTCCCATGGTTAAAAACTGACTTGGAGAAAAATTCAACTTGGTTTGTGCCGGCAGCTGAGCGGCCAGCGCTGCGGCGTGGACGTGGCCGAGTCCGGCGTGGTGGACGGCGCCGTGGCCGACCGCCAGGACTTCCCCTGGGAGGTGGACGTGTACTACAAGCAGACCTCGAACCGCGCCTTCGAGCGGCTGTGGTCCGGGGTGCTCATCAAGCCCAACCTCATCATCACGTGTAAGAGTGTTAGCTAGTCGGTGCAGACCCTCTCGGAAGACAGTCCGGCCTCACGCTGTTCTTGTTGCTGCAGCCGTGGTGAACCAGGGCGCGGGCGACCCGCCGCGCATCGTGGACCTGTCGGAGTACCCGGCGTCCTGGTTCCGCGTCGCGTCGCGCCGCAACGCGCAGTCCGCGCTGACGCTGGACGAGAAGGTGGGCAACGTGAGCGAGGTGGTGCGGCTGTTCGCCCCCGAGGACGTGTACGCCAACCAGGGCCTCTTCTACAGCTTCGCCCTGATGGAGCTCAAGCAGCCTCTGAACCTGATGCCGGTGTGCGTGGACTGGACGGGTGGCGCGCAACTGAAGACCAGGCCGTTGGGAACGGTCAGTTTACCAGATGGAATAAATTAGCCATCAGCAAAAAAAAAACAGGACAAAAACTAATGCTATTTTAAACTTGTAGACCTTCTTTGAGACGCCGGCGAACAACACCCGCATGTGGAAGCGATACTCGACTCTCAACGCCAACAACTCCTGTGGCGACAGCAAGTTGTCTTCGTACAGTCACTACTTCTGCGCCGCCCACCAGGGTGAGCTGGTAGGCCGTCGAGGCCGCGGACTTTCCAACAACCCGATGGCACCCCGATTGCACCCCGATTGCACCCCGATAATGATACTCCGATTGTGACACCCCGATGATGATTCCCCGATGACACCCCAACCATGACCCCAACGATGACACCCCGATGATGACACCCCCCGGTGATGACACCCCCATGATGACACCCCCATGATGACACCCCCATGATGACACCCCGATGATGACACCCCGATGATGACACCCCCATGATGACACCCCCATGATGACACCCCCATGATGACACCCCCATGATGACACCCCCATGATGACACCCCCATGATGACACCCCCATGATGACACCCCCATGATGACACCCCCATGATGACACCCCCATGATGACACCCCCATGATGACACCCCATGATGACACCCCGATGATGACACCTTGGCTGCTTCCAGGCGAGGAGCCGCAGCACCGGTCGCGCACCATGCTGGTCAGCGTGGACAACTCGTGGTACCTGCGCGGCGTGTGGTTCGCCACCTCGCAAGAGGAGGACAAGTCCGTGGCCATCTTCACGGACATGGTGGACCCCGGAGTGCTGCGGTGGCTGGACACGACCAAGGACAAGCTGGGCAAGCCCACGGTGAGCAGGGTCTCCCTGCTGGGGAGTCGTCAGCCTGCGAAGTCTCGGATAGGCAACCCGCTGACACGCGCGTGCGGCGGGACGGTCTACCCATTACCATTACCACTACGGGCTAGACCTGGCGCCGCGGCAGGCGCGCTGCGCTGCAGGCTGCATGCCCTCTGTCTCCCTCGCACTCATGGTGCCTCTTGAAGGGGTGCGAGAGAGACAGGACGACAGACTGAAATGACGCACGTTACGTCTTGCAGTGCGGGAACATCAACCTGTGCGAGCAGCTGACGCCGTTCGTGGCGCTGCCGGGCCACATGCCGTGGAACGTGGCGGTGGCGAACCAGCGCGGCCGCGTCGTGGGGTCGGGGCTGCTGGTGCACCCCAACGCCGTGCTCACCGGTGCGTCGCGTTACCCGTCACACTTTGTTTACTCCTCACTCTCGAAAAACAGGGCCTAACGTCTCTGATGCTCCGCAGCTGGCTCCATCCTGAAGGAGGCGACTGGATGGGAGGGCAGGGACGAGTTTCCTGCGGATTACGCCAAGAGAATGACGGTGCTCTTCACGGAGCAGGACGGCACGGCCAGGACCGCGTCGGTGAGTGGAGTGGAGTGGCACACTGCACAGTGGGCCAGAAGACCGCTGCCGGCGGCCAAAATTCTAGACGCGTTGAGCTCCAGAGTCGCTAAATGGGACTCGAACCGAACGTGTGACCCCACATGGATGCTCTTCGAACTAGGAATCCATCGATCGGGTCACACGTTCGGTTCCTGTCCCATTTAGCTACTCTGGAGCTCAAAACACGTCCGGGATTTTGCGCAACTACACCGGTCTTCTGGCCCACTTTACGCTTGCTGGTGTGGGTTCAACTCCCAGCTCAGTCAGTGCGTTCGTTTATTGACTCCTTTTGGCAGGTGCTGCGGGTGAGCGTGCACGAGAACAAGGCCGCAACGGACAACGGCATCTCCGCGGTGCTCCTGGAGCTGGCCCCCGAGGACGCCATCTACTCCACGCCGGTGTGCCTGGACCTGAGCGGCAACGTGCTGCAGCCGCTCGTCCCGGGGCAGGTGGGCATGGTGAGTCACTGCCGCACTGTAGACAGACAGAACACGATGAACCCGGCCAAATTCCCAGCCTGTATACAGTGTACTGACTGTAACCTGTGCAGGTGGAGTCGTGGAGCGAGTGGAAGCCGTCGAACCACAGCATGATCGGCGCGCAGTTCCTGGGCTCGGTGGAGTGCACCAAGAAGGCCGTCTTCCGGGGCGACCCTCAGAGCGGGGTGCTGTTCTGCTCGGAGGGGCAGAAGGGCACCATCGGTAAGGCGCAGTGTTGCCACACAAAAGCAGGAAAAAATTCTCACGATGCACCAGTTTTGAAAGGGTTGCCAACCCCAGCCTGCGTGCTGGGCATTACCCGGGCAGAGCTCTCGAGAAGTTGCCAAGTAGGCAAGAGCTGTGGTTGGCGAAACTTTCGACACTGGTACATCGTTGGTATTTTGACATGCTTTTATGGCAACATTGGTAAGGCAGAGGGCCGGGGAAAAGCAGTGAAACTTGTTAGATTCCCGCGTGACTCTGAACCGCGTCCTGTGGCTGTCGGCTAGGCCCGGTAACGCGCGGCGGCGGCTACCTCGTCAACACGGGCGCGCAGTGGTTCGTGCAGGGCCTGTACGTGGACAGCGTGGCGCTGCGGAGGACCGACCTGATGCTGGCCGTCGACCTCCGCGACACCGACGTCCGCGCCTGGCTACGGAAGAGGATGGACAAGCTGGAGATCCGTGAGTGCTTACATGCTCTGTCTCGTTCGCACTCACAGGGTGTCCCGGAAGGGTGCGAGAGAGACAGACAATGATACACACCGTTCTGTGTCGCAGAGGACCCGGACCGCCTGATCGACGCGGGGCCGAAGAACTGCGAGGGCGGCAAGCCTGCCCTGTCTCAGGTGAGCCTCGCCCGCAAAGTGGGCCAGAGGACCTAAGGAGGCGGACAGATGCTAGACGCGTTTTGAGCCCTAGAGTCGCTACACAAGACTAGAACCGAACGTGTGACCCCATCAATAGATTCCTCGTTCCAAGAGCAATCCATTGGTGGGGTCACACGTTCGGTTCGAGTCCCATTTAGCGACTCTGGGGCTCAAAACGCGTCAGGAATTTTGGCCGCCTCCACCGGTCCTCATGTTGCGCGTTCTCTGTAAATGGCGAGTGATAACCCCCCGCCTCGCCTGTTCCCGTCCTCACAGTGCGGCGTGTTCGAGTCCGTGGACCAGAACCCCCAGGACACCGGCTTCGACATCCTGCACCGCGCGTCCAAGGACCACATGCAGTGGAACGTGAAGGTGCACGTGGACTACGGCGCCGAGGGCTGGGGCGTGCAGGGCGGCGCCGTGGTCAGGCCCAACATGGTGCTCACGTGTGAGTCCCTGAATACGAAGCGCGCCGAACATAACCTTTTTTAATCTTAATCTAAATTTTACCGTCTCCGCGAGCGCGTTTCCTCACCGATACTCATGCTCTGCCCCGCAGCGGGCAGGCGCCTCGTCTCGGGCACGGGGGCCAACGCGCGGCCCATCTCCACCAGTGACTTGATCGTCAGGTACATCTCCGTGGACCTCAGGGACAAGCGCATCGTGGAGGTAGGCGCCGACCTGAAGACTGATTCCGAGAGTCGTCTTCGCCGCTGTCTCTCTCGCAGTCGTGGGGCATCCTGTGTACGAGCGAGAGAGACAGAGCGAAGAGAACAACTCTCAGAATCAGTCTGCAGACCGACCACTTATTGCCGACGGCGATTGTTTTCTTCATTCCTTTGTTTCATGCCGGACCGCAGGTCGATCGTATCCACGTCCGGGCGCGTCCCAACGCCCGCCCGCAGGACTTCGACCTGGCGCTGCTGGTGCTCAAGACCGCCGTGGACCTGACCCCCGTGTGCTTGCCCACAGCCGGGATGCTGGCGGACGGCACGCTGCCGCGGCTCGCGGCTGGCGCCATCGGCTTGGTGAGCGGCGAGCACCGGAAAAATTACCTCAATTATTTTATTTCTGAATTGATTTTCGCGCCCAGAAGCAAATGTTTGGAGGTGTTTCGAGTGGAGACCCATGCAACTGCCACTCGGTCTAACCGCTTCGCTTCTGGCAGGTGGAGGTCGGCAACCAGGACGAGGTGCTGAACCCGCTGGTGCCCGTCCACTACCGCACCGCGGACGAGTGCAAGGGCCTCGTCAACGACTCCAACGCCGTCCAGCAGGCCAACGACGCGTTCTGCGCCGAGACCACGGTCACGAACCTGGATACGGGTAGGTGCTGCCTGACATCGCGGCCAGTAGACTAACTTCCCAGCAGCGAATGAATCTTCGCTCTGTCCCCCTCACGCCGGTATAAGACAAGCCGTGAGTGCAAGCGAAACAGCGCGCGGCGCTGCACCGCTGTCACCGCCACTCCGCGCCTGGTGGGTAGGCAGCCCATCCGGCACGCCGGCGGCCGTACCTAGAGACCCTCCCGTCAGAGATGCGCAAGCCAGCGCTTGGTAGTCCCGTGTAGTCAAAGGCACCCTGAGTCAGGCTAGCGGGCGACCGCCGTATACCTGCTGTGCCGCACCAGATGCTGACCTGCGTAGCCTCGCGCGGGGCGAATTCGGGCTTCCCGCTCCGCATGGGACTACCAGTCGTCTGTGATTGGCTGAGAGGGCCCCCCTTTGCGCATCTCTGACGGGAGGGTCTCTAGCCGTACCCGGACGGAAGGAGAGGCACGCAGTGTGCCAGAAGACCGGTGGAGGCGGCCAAAACCGAACGTGTGACCCCACCAATGGATTGCTCTTCGAACGAGGAATCCATTAGTGGGGTCACGCGTTCGGTTCTAGTCCTGTTTAGTAACTCTGGAGCGTCTAGAGTTTTGGCCGCCGGCGCCTGTCTTCTGGCCCACTGTGCGCCAGGCCGTCAGAAACGAATGGCGTTGCAGGGAACGCCGGCTTCCTGCCGCTGGGCTACGCGCTGTCCGTCAGGACCAACGGCTCCTGGTTCCTCCGCGGCGTGCTGGGCCGCTCCCTGCAGAGCGACGTGCACTCCTTCGCCAGCCTGGACGACGCCGACGCGCTCGAGTGGCTGGCTAGCAAGGTGCGCGCCGACGTCCCGGACGCAGTTAACGACTCGAAAGGTGGGCAGGCCGTGCGCGGCGGGGCACTCGCCGGATCCGTGTGAGTTTAAGCTTTGTTTCGCACGAATTCTAACGACTCTGTTTGAATGGGCTCCACCACCAAAGCCACCACTCCTGCGACGTCGCCGGGCAGGACGACCACCATGAGGCCGAGGACTACGACGCCCAGCTACGGTCCCACCAAGTCGTCGCCGTTCAAGGCAAGCCACAGCACAGCGACACTGTAATTTGACGACTGAGTCAATTTTTGAAACCTCTATATCATTTTTTTCCGGAGTGCAGTGCGGCCAGACCAGCCAGCCTCTGGAATCTCTGAGCGCCAACCAGAGCATGCCGGGCCACATGCCCTGGTCCGTTGGCGTGCTCAAGACCAACGACAAGGGCGTGACCTTCGTGAGCGCGGGGGTGCTGGTGCGGGAGAACATCGTGATCACAGGTGAGCGCCGGACTTGGCGGAGCCCGCTCGCGTCGCAAAAAGTTGCCCCAGCTCACAGATGTATTTGGGCTACTTTTTGCCTATCTTTCTGTCTACACTGTCCTCAACCATGATGACGTCGTGGTCCTCGTGTTGCAGAGGGCGTCACGATGACGGTGCCCCAGGGCCGCTGGAACTACACGGCGGACGTGCGGCCCGTGGAGCTGGCCAGGCTGCGCGTGGTGTGGGTGGCGCCGTCGGGCAAGCGGACGCGCAGCGAGGTGGCCGCCCTCCACGTGCATGAGCGCGACCGCGGCCCCACCACCGACCAGGCGTACGACGTGGCCGTGCTCGTGCTCAAGACCCCCATCAAGAACAGCGTCCTCGCCTGCCTCGACCTGGCCGGCGAGGTGCCCACCCTGCCTCCCATCGCCACGGGGGACGTCGGCGTGGTGAGTGCGGCTGGCCGTGGAGGCCGTGGTGGTCGTGGAGGCCGTGGCGGTCGTGGAGGCCGTGGCGGTCGTGGAGGCCGTGGCGGTCCTGAAGGCCGTGGCGGTCGTGGAGGCCGTGGCGGTCGTGGAGGCCGTGGCGGTCGTGGAGGCTGCTGACCAATTTTGAGAGTGGTTTTCGTCCCTCAGTATCACTCGCACTTGCATCCAAGGGTGCGCTCAATGAGAGCAATAGGTACAGAGCGATGAAAACGACTCTCGAAATCAGTCTGCTGCTGACGGGCCGCTCGCTCTGCTGCAGGTGGAGACGTGGCGCGGGGACTTCTTCGCGGACCGGCGCCTGCTGCTGGCGCTGGCCGCCATCGCCGTGGACGACTGCCGCGCCAGGCTGGCGGGCACCTCGGACGAGCAGACCATCACGGACGACAGGTTCTGCACCGCGAGGGTCACCGGTACGTCTTTCAGTGTAAACGCGCCGCGTGGAGCGACTCCCGGCTGCGTTCTGGCATTCTGGTTCCTGCAGACTGATTCAGAGAGTCGTTCTCGTATCTCTGTCTCTCTCGCACTCGTGGGGCGTCCTGTATGGGTGCGAGAGTGACAGAGCGACGAAAGCGACTCTCGGAATGAATCCGCCGTTCGCGCTTTGCAGACGAGGTGTGGGACGGCGCCCCCTTCATGGTGCGCTGGCGCGGCGCCTGGTTCCTGCGCGGCGTGCAGTCCGTCTCCGTGCCGGAGGGCGGGCCGCACCTCGTCACCGACCTCCGCGACGACAGCGTCAGGGACTGGCTGCGCGAGAGGATACCCCCCCTCATCGACACCTCGGAGAGACTCCCCAGCACCCCCCAGAGGCCCGCCGCCACTTCGCAGAGACCCGTCACTACTTCCCAGAGGCCCAGGCCGCCAGTGGTCCGTCCCACGGGCTCGATGACGGCTCCTGTTTGGGAATGACAATGAGACAGACGATTCCTCCCCAACGCACTACGGACTGTTGTGCGAGTGTGGGCTAGCCCTCGGTGTGTCCTCCCTGCGACTGGATACATAATGAATGGTCCTGGCGTCAAACAGATTTCCTAACGAGTTATCCATTCGCATAACTTCTGAAAAGCCAGCTTGCCCACGGCCTGCTCTATTCACAGTCCATATCGCAAGACTATTTTAAAAGATAACTCGAGCCACTTTGGTCTAAGTTTATTTCATAATAAAATAGAAACGTTTTCCTTTCCTATCTGCATCACAATTCACAATTCGTTACACTTTATTCCTAATCTATGTACATCATCACAGCCAAGGTTGCGTCACGTGGTCACGTGTTCTACCCGATTCATTCTCATCACAGCTCCTCCGCGCGTTCGTTGGCGCGCCGCGACGTCCGCGTCGGCCGCCCCTCCGGACACTGGCCGGATCTGTTGTCGGAGACGCACTGCGTCGCCTTGGCCGCGCGCGCCGGCCGGTCGCCGAGCTCGCCGAGCAGAACGACCTGTTGACAGCAACGTCGGTAACGTCGGACCAAAAGACTCCGCTATCTTGAAACGAACCGGAGAATGTTTTTCTTCATTGCGTCTAAACCCTTACTGAAGTCAGCTTATTAGACCCCTAAGCTTCAACGGGTCAGAAGCCACGTGTGAAAAACCACTCCGCCAATTCGGTTCAAAATGGTGCAGTTGGGACAACCCTTGCGTTTCTCTAACAGATCCTAGGACTCTACTCACCTCCGGCTGCAGAGCGTCCTCCTTGATGAGGTCGGCGGCCTTCTCGGCCACCATGATGGTGGGGGCGTTGGTGTTGCCGCTCGGCACGGTCGGCATGACGGAGGCGTCCACGACGCGCAGCCCGCGCACGCCGCGCACCCGCAGCCGCTCGTCCACCACGGCCTGGGCGTCGTCCGGCCGGCCCATGCGGCACGTGCCCACCGGGTGGTAGATGGTCATGGTGTACTGCCGCGCCTGGCACGCCACGTACTCGTCGGACAGGATGTCCAGGTGGCTGCAGGCCGGGAACTTGCGCGGGTTCAGCGTCACGTTGAGCGCCTGCATGGTCTTCGTCTCCAGCAGGCGGCGGCAGAACTTCTCGCCCTCGACCTGCGCCAAGGAGTTGGGTCGTGAACAAAACAAGTGACCCAGTAAGGGGAAGGGCGTCCGCATCAGATCACACCTCTCTTGGGAACTTAAGGTAAGGTCACTGAGGGATCCAAAGAGTGGCATATTTTGGGCCACGTGGTTTGTGCCCCCTGAGAACCCTTAGACCCCTTAGACCAGGGGCAGAAAGGACATACTCACGAGCAAGTCGACGTCCCGCTGCGTGCTGAGGTAGTTGGGCTGGATCACGGGGGGGTCCAGCATGCTGGCGCTGCGCAGGCGGATGTGTCCGCGCGACTCGGGTCGCAGGATCTGTCGACGACGACGTCATGAGAAAATGACAGTTCGCGGCGACAGCCGGTGGAGGCGGCCAAAATTCTAGATGCGTTTTGAGCTCCAGAGTCGCTAAATGAGACTCGAACCGAACGAGTGACCCCACCAATGGATTGCTATCCGAACAAGGAATCCATTGGCGGGGTCACACGTTCGGTTAAGTGGCTCTGGAGCTCAAACCGCGTCAAGTATTTTGGCTGCCTCCACTGTTCTTTTGGCCCACTGTGCACTGGTGACAAGCGCGACGACGACGGCAATGGCCTGACCTGGGGGACGCAGGAGTAGGTGTCCTGGAAGGCGACGGGCCGGTACATGGTCTCGAACACCTCCGGCGTGAGCCCCATGGCCCTGGCGTGGATCGCGCCGGCGTCCGTCGCGTCGGAGGCACTGGCCAGGAACAGCTGCAGGTCCGGGTAGGCGGGGTCAGAGAACCTGCGTCGCGACAAGGAGAGTATCCGCGTGAAAAACACGAACCGAAAAGGAAACTCTACCGCCAGAGGAAGCTAAGGATAACGGACTTGCTGGCAATGAAGCCCATGACCTCGCCGAACGTCCACCCGAAGGACGGCCCGCCCAGGCCGTACGTCAGGCCGTAGGCGCTCTCGAAGGAGGCGATCTCCAGCGCCGCGGAGGTCTTCCCCGGCACCCCCACCAAGTACGCCGTCCCGGCCGCGCCGACGTGGTCCTGGAGGTTCTCGCCGACGCCGGGTAGGTCCACCACCACCGGGACGCCCACCTGTCCGAAACAGTCGGCAAACGTAAGGACAGTGCACTCTCATTCCAGGAACGTGACATCACGTTGAAACGAACGTGACAAAGTGTCACGTTCGTTTGAGCATTGTGTCACGTTCGTTTGAGCATTGTGTCACGTTCGTTTGAATGTGAACGAGCTGATTTTCGGCCAATTCACACCCAAACGAATGTGACACAATGCTCAAACGAACGTGACAGTTTGTCACGTTCGTTTCAACGTGATGTCACGTTCCTGGAATGAGAGTGTGTAGGGCCACTCCGCGGATTCGATCGCATCCCCCCCACACACACACACCAGTACGCACGCACACCCTCTCACACACCTGTTTCAAGTGCTCGGCCGGGCCGATGCCGGACACCATGAGGAGCTGCGGGGACTGCACCGCGCCGGCGGACAGGATCACCTCGCGCGCGGCGAGCACGCGGTGCACCTGGCCGTGCTTGACGAACTCCACGCCTGTGGCCTGCACGACGTCGTCCTCTCGCTCTGTCAGCACCTGCGCGCCACATTCAAAATGATTTGAGGTTCATTGAGAGTGCGAATGACGCGTGAGGCGAAGCGTTGCACGGTGGGCCAGTAGACCGGCGGACAAAACTCTAGGCGTCGCTAAACAGGACTCGAACCGAGCATGTGACCCCACCAATGGATTCCTAGTTCGGAGAGCAATCCAATGGTGGGGGTCACACGTTCAGTTTGAGTCCCATTTAGCGACTCTGGAGCTCAAAACGCGCCTAGAATTTTGGCCGCCTCCATCGGTTTTCTGGCCCACTGCGTTGGCGCGGACGTGCCTTGAGGACCGTGGAGTCCATGGTGATGTGCAGGTTGGGTCGCTTCGCAGCGGGCCGCAGGAAGGCCTTGGCGGTGCTGCAGCGCAGGCCTTCCCTCAGCGTGCCGTGGGACTTCATGAAGCCGAACTGGCTCTCGCCGTTCACGTCCTCGTTGGTGGGGACGCTAACAGAAGAAAAAGGGTTTATGAGCCTGGCCATGCAGACTGATTCCGAGGGTCTCTTTCGTCGCTCTGTCTCTCTCGCACCTACACGGGACACCCCGCGAGTGCGAGAGAGACAGAGCGCCGAAAACGACTCTCGCAATCAGTCTGATAATTGGTGGTGCTGGTGCGCCGAAACCGACGTACCCAAGCTCCCTGCCGGCGGCCAGGAAGTCCTCGGTGATGCCGGCGTAGTGCTTGTAGTGCTCCACGGTGAGCGGGCCGCCCACGCCGTGGTACGGCGAGTCCTGGAGCTCGGGGATCCTCATGTCCTCGCTCTTCTTGAAGTAGGGCAGCACGTCGTCGTACCTGCGACAGTGCAGGGGCAGGCCGTCAGTGACGGAGCTCCGAGCAGGCGGCCGGGGCGTCCGCTTCCTCAAGGTCATCAAGGTGCACTGCAGTGTGGCGCCCAGCCTCACCCCCATCCGGACAGCCCCATGTCGCGCCAGCCGTCGTAGTCGCGCCGGTTGCCGCGGATGTAGAGCATGCCGTTGATGGCGCTGGAGCCGCCCAGCAGCTTGCCGCGCGGCCACTGCGACCGGCAGCCATGGAGGGCGCCGCAGCTGCCGGCCTGCGGCTCCGTCTCGAAGGCCCAGTCCTCGGCGGCGCCGTAGCCCGGGCCCGACATGGTGATGAAGGCCGCGGGCACCTCGCTGCGGAGGCTCTCCCCGCCGCCCGCCTCCACCAGCAGCACGGACACCGAGGCATTCTCCGACAGCCTGCGGGCAAAACCAGGGAAAAGTGGAGCGGTGCAATGCATCCTTTGTGGTCCAGGCGCGGATCCGGAATTTTCCGAAGACTGGGATGAAGTAGTATATTTTGCCTGCTTACAGGGGCACAGTAGTGCTTGTTGCCTACCATCCAGGCGACCTATTCAGTACCTAAGGGGAGGGGATTTACCCCCAGTACCCCCCTTAATCGACGCCTCACAGTGGGGCAGAAGACCGGTGGAGGCAACCAAAATTCTAGACGCGCCTTGAGCTCTAGAGTCGCTAAATCGGACTCGAACCGACCGTGTGACCCCACCAATGGATTCCTCGTTCGAAGAGCAATCCATTGATGGGGTCACACGTTCGGTTCGAGTCCCATTGATCTCCGAACGAGGAATCGATTGGTGTGGTCGCACGCTCGGTTCCAGTCCTGTTTAGCGACTCTGGAGCTCAAAACGCGTCCAGAATTTTGGCCGCCTTCAACGGTCTTCTGGCCTACTGTGCGCCTGCAGTGGTCACCAGTCCGCCAGTTGGATGCAGAGCGACAGCGACACCCAAGTCCCCCCACTCCACCCACCTGTTGGCCAGCACGCTGCCGGCCGAGCCCGACCCCACCACGATGTAGTCGTAGACGTCGCGCAGGTCGAGCCCCGCGGCCTGGACGTCCTGCGGCCGCTCATGCTGCACCACGAGGTCGGGCCGCAGCCAGGGGATGAGCAGCGTGTTGAAGGAGACGAAGGCCACGATGAACCACCGCAGCAGCAGGGTCTGCAGCCAGCCCAGCATCTTCGCTCACCTGGAGTCACGAGGGAAACACATCAGCCTTTTGCCTCACTGCTTCGAGACACACGCCAGAGGAAAAGGAGAGAGACACTGCATCGCAAGCAGAGCGTCGTCACTATGCACGTTGTTTCATTTTGTGTGCCGAGAAACTTAGCTGCAGCTCGCCCCCCACCTTTCCTTTCGCTGAACTCGCGCCTCACCGGCCGAGCCGGCGGGCAATCTTTCCCGGCCGCGAATGGCCGCCAAGCTGGAAGCGCGAATGGGCGAAGCCTGCGCAAGGCAAGGCCGGCCAAGGCCGAGGACGTTGCCAAGGTCACGGTCGGCCCAAACCGGTGTGGCCATCAGGAAGCTCCAAACCAGCCTCAAATTAAGGGAGCCGCGAGCCCGTGCCACCATCATCACGTGGCCGGACGACGCCCGGGCGGGTAGGCAGCCCGACCGCGGCCACACACGTGCCCCGTGCCTCCATCATCACGTGGCCGGACGACGCCCGGGCGGGTAGGCAGCCCGAACGCGGCCACACACGTGCCCCCCCCCCCAGGGAACATAAAAAAGTCGCCGTGACGTCAATGGATAAATGTTAAATTGACATCATTGTATTGCCGACGGTCAAAGTCGGGGTTTCTTGACGGCAAGTGCATGCCCAATTATATCCATCTAACAAAAATGATGTGAACTTTGACTCATAAGACCTAGTCCAATCCGGGTCATGAGAGGTCACTGACAATTGATGCAGAGCGCAGTGGCGTAGGCAAGAGGGTGACGGGGGAGTGGGTGTCACGGTGGGGTCAGCCCCCCCCCCCCGCCTTTTGGGCACTAGGTAGCCGCCGAGAAGGTAGGCAAATTCCCCCTCTAAGTAGGCAAAACGTATGGCCTGACACGGGGGAGGGTCAAAATTTCTGCGCACGCCACTGCCAGAGCCTGACTATTTTTTTTTTCGATTTTAGCTCACGTGACATCAACATGACCTTTTTCTGTTCCCTGGGTGGCGGCATGTCTCGCCCGCCTCGCTAGCCGACTCGGACTTGGCGGGCTTGGCGGCGTGACGACATGGAGAGTATTCTCATTCCCCGCGGTGACAGACGGTCGCTGCACGCGATGCCTGCGATGGCGATGCCGCGCGAGGCTCGTCGGCCGCCGCGTTCCCGCCGATCACCGCGGCATTGACTCGTTCCCTCGCTCGGCCCGCGCGGCCGGACGTAGGACAAGCAGTCGTTTTCGTCGCTCTGTCTCTCTCGCACCGACACGGAGCGCCCGTAAGTGCGAAAGGGACAGAGCGACGAAAACGACTCTCGGAATCGGTCTGCAGACCACACGCGGTATCGTCGATGGACTCCCCGTAGGCATGCGTGGCTCTACCCGGCGGCTAGGCGGCGGCGACAGCAGCGGCCCTAATAATGGCAATGGAGCGCTCCAAATAACGAATAATCTGTCGGCTGCTTGTTTTAATTTTAATGATAAACGGTCCCGAGTCCGGCCTGATAATGACCCGCGCCAGCCTAGAGCACCATGCGGCACAGCACTGCGGAGCACTGCAGACAGGGAGGTGGAGGTCATTCATTTGGTTCATTCAGCTGGCCGTCGGCCGCGAAAGTCTCAAACTTGTTGCAGTTTCACAAACAAAGAATCTGAAGAAAACTCCCACGATGCATGATCGTGGCAATTGAAAGGTTTTCTCACTCGAGCAAAGTTATTGCCATCCTCATAACAGCACAAAATAATGCCCTCACTTGAAGACGATGAGTTTCGAGATTCTGCATTTTGCATATTTTTTTTGCGCGGTGATGGCTTTGCCGCAAACTGGGCGCGCGTCCCGCCGGGAAAAAAATGGCAATGAAGCCATATAATTGAGATGCAAATCGTTTAGCGAGACAGACGGGGCGCCGTGAGGCCGTCTCTGTGTCACAACGCGCAGCGCGCAGCGCGCACGGAGAAGACGAGTGTTAAGGGCGTACGGGTGGCAAAAAAAATTTTTTGGCATTTGATAGTGCTGGGTGTGTTCTCTAATCCTGCCGAGCGGTTTTTCCCTGCGACGCATAGTTTAAGCGTGGCGATGCTTACAAGTTCGAAAATTTAGCGTTTTTAGCCCTTTTCGGAAAAGTATCCCGGGAGAACCAATGGAAGAAGCTCAATAAAATTTTGCACCCAGGTTAATGAAGGTTGTAGGTATGTTGCGAAGAATTTTCACGGCGATCGGGTTCAAGGGAAAGCTCCTGGAACGCCTTGAAAAAGGTCATTTTTCCAAAGTGCGCAGCGACAAAAGTGCAAGAGTGAGGAGGTTGAAAAACCTTTACCACACAGCCAGGACCTTCCTCTATTGATTGCAAAAAGTTTCGTGTCGCTAGAACAAACGGTTTATCCAGGAGGTTTTTCCGAAAGGCGGCTAGTTTTGCAGGTCCTTCAACAGGAGAGAGAGACAAGCGATGTCTTGTCTTTCTCGCGCCGAGTTGTTTCCGAAGCAGCCCCCGCTGCAGGTAGCCGGGCGAGGCCCTCGCCGGGGAACAATGCGAGCCCCAGACCCTTGCCGCCGCGCGCCGTCTGGGACCGGACTGCAGCCAGTGCGGAGCCATCTCCAACTTTTGCAAAACGGATGGTCGAAGCTTCGGTCAAAATTGTCGCAGGACTATTTTTCAAAGTACCATTGGAACCGCGATTTTGCGAGGAGACCATTTCTGTCCGATTAGACGCTGAAAAACGGGCCGTTCAAAAAATTTCTGTTTGGGGTTGAGGGGCAATAAATCCTCCTGTCACCATCCTCGCTTCGGTGCGACGAGCCGCCGGCAGTGAATGAGGCCCTCGACACAATAAGACAGGGGGCGACTACCTGGCCTAGTCCAGAGAGTCAAATTTCTAACGCGTCGCTTGACATGTTTGCAACGATGACCAATGCACGCGGGACAAAATTCTGGATCTATTCATGCAAAATTTGAATTCGAGCGATCATTTTGACGAAGCAGGACAAACTGCATTTCACACCTACACTGAAATGTGAACCGTTTCGTGACAAGCATTTTGGTAGCGTTGTCAAAAATTGTCATTTTACTATGAACACGGACTTAGAAAAATTCCAGCCGATTGGCCGGACAAGCAAAACTGCTCGGCTGCTCATCGGAGCCCAGCTCCGGAGGCGAGGTGCCGTTGCCCCTCCCCGGTCGGGGGGCAATAAAAGCTATTGTGCTAGTGTTGGCGTGGCCCTGCCTGACCTGGCTGCAGTCTGGCGACGCCTGACGGGGCCAACGCTTATTCGGAAAAGCCTTCTCGAAATGGACCGCTACCCTTACGTCCTTAAGCCGCGCCCTGATTGGCCGGACCGCTTCCCCCACCACCGCCGCCTCCATCCGCCGTTTTCTTCTCAAGGTTTTAAGATAGCGGGCAGGACGATCGCAGGAACGTCACAGACAGACAATTACAAAAACAAACTGACCCCGATCGCGAGGCGAGTTCGACAACACGAAGAAAATGTTCAAATCAGGAAGGTTTCCCGCGCGAGCCTGTGTGTGTACCTGGAGAGCCCTTGGCCCGTCAATGCGAGGCAGCTGCTGCCAAAACACTGGCAGCTGATTAGATAATCGGAAACCTCGGAGAAGTGCTGACCCGAGTCTTATGGGCAAGGCAAGTACGGCGTGGCACGGCACTGCAGGGCAAGGCAGGGCGCGGCAGGGCACGGCAGTAACCCAGATAACGCCGGCATATCCGCGTCCAGCGCAGAGCCAGCCCAGCCTCTGAGCACCGCAGGCCGTCTGGTCGCTCTGTCTCTCTCGCACTCAAGGAGCGTGCCGCACGGGTGCGAGAGAGAGAGAGAGAGAGAGAGAGAGAGAGAGAGAGAGAGAGAGAGAGAGAGAGAGAGAGAGAGAGAGAGAGAGAGAGAGAGAGAGAGAGAGAGAGAGAGTGACGCACCGTTCGGAAGCGGTCGGACCGCTGCGTGCCCGTTGCAGCGCTGCTCGCACGCCGCTTCGCGCGACAACCGCCGCAACTGTTACGGCACGCACAAAGCGGCGAGCATCACGCGGCGCGTGCGAAAACGCGGCGAAAACGCGCCGACGGGCTGCCAGCGCTACCCCGCGCGGCAAGGGCCTTAAACGCCAATCATCTTTAGCTCTGATTTGGCGCGGAAACGGCGCGCACGGCGTTGACAACGTCTTTCTTTCCTTTTCCTGTTTTCCAGTGTGACGAGCTCCTAAACACCAATAATCTTTGGCACTGATTCAGCACAGAGGCTATATCAAGTTAAGGAAATTCACAGTTCACAATTCACAGTTCACAGATAGGGTGAGGGGTGAGGCGGGGAGCTGTGAATTGTGAATACTCCCCGCCTCACTTCTCACCCTATCTGTGAACTGTGAATTGTGAATTGTGAATTGTGAACTGTGAATTTCCTTAACTTGATATAGCCAGAAACGGCAACGCGAGCACGGCGTTGACAAGGTCTTTCTTTACTTTCCCCGAATGACGAAGGCTTGGCACTGATTGAACTCAGAAATGGCGAGCACGGCGTGACAGCGTCTTTTCGGCGTGATTTCCAGTTTGACTTCTTTGGCACTGATTGAGCACACAAACGGCGAGCTCGGTGTTGACATGGTCTTCCCTTAGGGACCCTAAACACAATTATAATTTTTGACACTGATTGGGCACAGAAACGGTAAGCTCGCTGCTTTGACAGCGTCTGTCTTTCTTTTCCCGGTGTGACAGGGACCCTAAAGCCCACAATCTTTGGCACTGGTTTGGCACAGAAACGGAGTTGGCAGCGTCTTCTTTCTTTCTTTCCTGGAAACAGTGACGCACGAGACGGTGGTGATCGGACATGTCACTGAGGCGGCGGTGACCAGATCTAAAACGAAGAGGTCAGCCAAAGGTGCCGAGGAGGAGCTGCCCGAGCAGGGTGATCATGATCAGGACACTGACACCAACTGCAAAAGGCTCAGCCGGCCACTTTCGTAATCTCGGTTTTCGACCGGGTCTGCCTGAACACGATTCTGGGCGTTGTGAACAGATAAGAAATCCGAGTGCCTCACTCACTTGGCCTCGCGGTGCTGACGGGGGGCCGTGTCGGCTGTGGTGCCTAAATGACCTGGATGACGACCACGACGACGACCTCGACCACGACGACAACGGCGACGACGTCTCGCCGTACTCGCTGGCGGGCGATGGGGGCGGTACGCGGACTACAACGCGGACCACAGCGCGGACCCGGCAAGAACACTACTGGCACAGCGTACGGCGCGCCGCCAAGCCGCCAAGCCGCCAAGCCGCGACGGCCCGGCAGTGGCCAGCGGCATCGCGATCGCGCTGCGGCCCGGCCGCCCCCGCCACGCCCCGCCGCGTCCAGCCACCACGCCCCGCCACGCCCCACCACGCCCCGCCACGCCCCGCCGCACCCCGCCGCGCCCTGTCACCGTCGCAGTGCGGCCGGGCTGAGGACCTGTGACTGCGCTGGAACAACTTTACTTGAACAGAATCGGCTGGCTTGTGCTGACGCATAGAGCTTGAGAACTGACCTCACAGCAGGATTTGGATCTGGTCTCCCGGCGGCGGCTGGTTCATGTACTGTACTGTGCTGTACTGTACACTGCTAGCACTAGTAGCTCACTAGCACATACTTTTACCAAAAAACATGACGGGGAATGTGTGTTTAAATCTAATGGCGACTGTGTGATCGCTTGACGCGCAACCGACAGCAATCAATCAGGTGCGCGGCGCCGATTACAATCGCACGATTGGCAATCAGCAGGGCGGCGCGGGGCGAGGCAAAAAGCGGAGCGGCCGCGAGGAAAGAGCTTCCGGGCGACGCGACGCCACGCCGACGCCACGCCGACGTGCATCACGATGAGGACCTGATGCACCTGCTGCAGCCTCGGGCCGCGGCGGCCGAACGGCGGGCCGCCAGACGACCGACTGCAGCGGCGACGGCCGGGACGTTCGCCTGCACCGCCAGCACCGCCAGCACCACGCGCTTCGAGTCTGCGAGGTTCATTTCATAAGGGACGCCGCGACGGACTCGGCCAGCCTGTCGGCTTGCTTGCAGTGGTCCAGCGCAACCCTCTGTGTCTCTGTTCAGTGGACAGTGGAAACCGCGGGAAACGCGCAGCAGACTGGTTCCGAGAGTCGTTTACGTCGCTCTGAGTCTCTCGCACTCATGGGGCGTCCCCTGGATGCGAGAGAGACAGTGCGAAGAAAACGACTCTCGGAATCAGTCTACAGAGTTCGCAGGCGCAGTCGCAAAGTCGGTAACTCGAACAGCGCCGACGGGGCGGCACTACTCCAACAGGCGGTGGCCGATGGGTTGCCGACGTCCTCCGGCGCAGCGAGCCACGCGCCTCGCTGGCTGCTAGCGGAGGAAGTTTGATTCCATCGGGTTTTTAACCGTCGTTGTCAGTGTACCAGAAAAGGTAGCCTAAACATACCGGTGCATCATCCTGCCCACTAGGCAACTTCTCGACCCTTGTCTCAACCGCAGTTGTTTCCTATAAAATGCAGCCCACCGCACTCCGTTGTGTTTGGGCCGCTTTTGAACACGCGCGTCGGAGGACTGCCATACCAAACGCTGAGTTCGTGCCACCAGTTTGGGCACCATAATCCCAATGTTTCACCCGTGCCTCACGTTTTAAATGCACTTTTTAGTCCGCTTTCCGGTGAACAGGCTCGGACACGCGCAGCCTGCGCAACCATAGTGTCACTGTCGCATTAATGCGAAGAGCCGAAACGCCGAAAGGTGACCTTACCAAAGGCGGAGTCCTCGTTTGCACAAACTATATATAGTTTTTGAACTTTCGAAGAAAAACTGGCGGCACTTCTGACGCACGTGGCGCGGCGTTAAACAGATGCAAAAAATTGGACGTGTGAATTTTGGCGTTCGCTGCAGCGCCGTCTCTTCGACGAGTATCTAGTTTTGATCATTGTTCAGCCAGAACGGCCAGGAGCTCGGCTCCGTCCGCCGCGTCGCTCGACTGCACCTCCACCGGGAGCGCGGCAGCACGGCAGCACCATGGCGGTGGCCCTCTTCGTGCTGCTCGGCGTCCTCCTGGCCCTGCTCGTGCCCAACGCCGTCAGGGTCTTCCACCACATCTGCCAGGTAAGGGCGCAGACAGTGCTGCCGCAAAGGTGTGCGAAAATTCCCACGGTGCACCAGTAAGGCTGATTGTACTGGCCACTGTGCCCTCCGCCAGGTGGCGCACATAATGCGCGTCACGAAAGACATCCCCGGACCCAAGTGTTGGCCCGTGATCGGCTGCCTGACGGACTTCCTGGCCGCGATCCGCGACATGCACGGCACCATCAACGACATCGTCCGCAACTACGGCACCACGGTGCGCATGCAGGTGCTGGACCGCGTCGTCGTCATGGTCATGGACCCCGACGACGTGCAGGTGGGTGTCGGTCGAATTGGCCCCTTGAAGGACGTGAACGGTGGAGGGAGTCCTGGTTCTTGGAGACGAACGATTCCGAGTGTCGTTTTCGTCGCTCTGTCTCGCTTGCACCTAGAGAGACGCCCCATGAGTGCGAGAGAGACAGCGCGACGAAAACGACTCTCGGAACCAGTCCGCTGACTGCGCGTTGCGCGTGTCTCTGCGGCAGGTGGTGTGCACGCACCCCGCGCTGGCCAACAAGGCCTCGCACTACGACCAGCTGTACCTCCACCTGGGCATGGGGCTCATCACCATGAACGGGCCGGCCTACAAGCGGCATAGGAAGGCCATCTCGCCGTCGCTGCACCTCGACATCCTGCAGGACTTCGTGCCCACGTTCGCCAAGAACGCCGAGGCCCTGGTGGAGCGGTTGCAGCAGCACGCCGACCGCGGCACCGCGCTCGACATGTCGCCCGAGTTCGGCATGCTGGCCAACATGACCATCATGGAGACGGTGCTGTCCATGCGCCGCGACGGCGCCTCGGACAAGGAGTACGCCTCCATGGTGGACGTGCTGAGCGAGACCAGCGAGATCATCATGTGGCGCGCCATGCGGCCCTGGTGAGAGCGACATGACCCGACAATCGGCAGACTGATTCCGAGAGTCGTTTTCGTCGCTCTGTCTCTCTCGCACCTATACGGAACGCCCCATGGGCGCGAGTGAGACAGTGCGATGAAAGCGACTCACGGAATCAGTCTGCCGGCTAGGTTTCCAGAAAAAGTTTCAAACTTGTGGAGTGCTGTCTGTTCTGCCGGCGTGTGCAGGTGGGGGAGCGACGCGCTGTTCCGGTGGCTGAGCTCGCGCTACGAGACGTACAAGCAGACGGCCGCCTGCATGAACGCCATGGTGACGGACATCCTGCGCTTCAAGCAGGACGAGGTGGCGCGCGGTGTGCCGCCGCCGCCCCGCCGCCGCATGGCCTTCCTGGACCACGTGCTGCGCTCCGCGGAGAGCGCCAACATGTCCACGGAGGAGATGCGCGACGAGCTCAAGACCTTCCTCTTCGCCGGCTCCACCACGTCCATGGACTTCCTGGCCATGGTGGCGCTCATGTTCAGCATGTACCCCGACGTGCAGAGCAAGGTGCAGCAGGTGAGTGCTCCACCACGGCGTCCACGGCTTCCGACTTCGCTCGACTGTGCCCTTAAACTATCGGCCCCGATTGAAGCCCTACTTGGGGCGCCAAATGGGGCCCATTCTCAGCCAACCTGGTTCCGAGGGGGAGGTCCCGTCGGTTTGTCTCTCTCGCACCTACGCGACGCCCCATGAGTGCGAGAGAGAGAGAGAGAGAGAGAGAGAGAGAGAGAGAGAGAGAGAGAGAGAGAGAGAGAGAGAGAGAGAGAGAGAGAGAGAGAGAGAGAGAGAGAGAGAGAGAGAGAGAGACAGAGAGAGAGAGAGACCTCCCACTCGGAATCAGGCCTTAATGTCGTCGTCGTCGTCCGCAGGAGCTGGACGACATCTTCGGGCCCCTGGACACGCAGCGCACGGTGACGGCCGAGGACCTGGGCCACATGCAGTACACGGAGCGCGTGCTGCGCGAGACGATGCGCTACGCGCCGCCCGTGCCCATGGTGTTCCGCGAGGCCACGGAGGACGTGAAGCTGCCCACGGGCGTGACCATCCCGCGCGGCTGCATGGTGGCGCTGGTGCCGGCCGGCACGCACCGCCTGGAGAAGCACTTCCCCGACCCGCAGCGCTTCGACCCGGACCGCTTCCTGCCCGAGAACACGCGCGGCCGCCACCCCTTCGCGTACATCCCGTTCAGCGCGGGCACGCGCAACTGCATCGGCCAGCGCTACGCCCTCATGATGGCCAAGACGGCCGTGGCCACGCTGCTGCGCCGCTACTCCTTCGCCCGCGCGCCCGGCGGCCCCAAGGGCTTCCACGAGGTCAACGTCGACATGGGCATCACCATCGCGGTGCGCGGCGGCGCCGTCGTCCGTGTGCAGCGGCGGACCGCGCCGGCCGCCGCCAAGTAGGCCGACGAGGAGGTAGCCGCGCCTCGCCCCCGCACTCTCATTCCGGGAACGTGACGTCACGTTGGAAAGAATGTGACAAGGTGTCCCGTTCCTTTGAGCATTGAGTCACATTCGTTTGAATGTGACCGATTCACATGGCCGATTCACATCCAAACGAATGTGACACAACGCTCAAAGGAACGTGACACCAGAGTAAGCTAACATTTCACTTTTGCAATTAACGTTATTTCTGTATCTCGGCTAAACGGCTATAGATATAATAGTTATTCATATGGATGAACCCATCTTAAATTGAATTTCAGATGGGGTCATCCCTTTCCTACTGTTAGCCGTTTAGCCGAGATACAGAAATAACGTTAATTGCAAAAGTGAAATGTTGGCGCACCCTGCGGTGATACGCACCTGATGTCACGTTTCTCCAATGAGAGTGCAGCGGCCGCGCCCCGCCGCGCAACGTCCACCGTACCTTGAACGTACCTGAGCAGAGAATCAGTCAGTAGGTTTGGAGCGCCCTCCCCTCTCACGCTCTGTTGATTGTGGCTGGACTCCAGACACACGCCCACTTATCGTGACATACTGTTCTATGTTAGAGCCACGTGTTTGTTTTTGTGTCTTTTTTTCGTAATAAAAACGCCGCTTGTTTCCCACGCCGTTTGTCATAGAATGAGTTCGATGGTGGCGTCGAATGGGTGGCCTACCCGGCCGGCGCATGGCTACGCCTTGGCTACGGCGCGGTCGGCGCGCCTTGATGCTCTGCAGAGCGTTTTCCCGCGCATTCACCAGAGAAAACAGAGACCCACACACCGAAACACCTTAAGTCCAAGTCCACACAAATCACCCTACTATAACAGACACTCGTGTAAATTTTGTCAGAATGTCAGAAACATGTCTGAAATCCTGATCAAAATTCGCGCACCTCTGAAAGCTGAAATCCTGAAAACTTACTCTGATATTGACGGTTTGAGTTCTAAAGACTGTCAGAAGAAGTTTTCAGCTTTCAGAGGTGCGCGAATTTTGATCAGGTTTTCAGACAGGTTTCTGACATTCTGACAAGATTTACACGAGTGGAGCCCCTCCCCCTCCCCCCCCCCCCCCCTCCCCCAAGCCTTCAGTGAACCTGCCCTGCCCTCATTCCAGGCAGCCCCGGGATAATGAAGGGCCACCCAACTTGGCTGCATCTCGCATCCTGCAGGTTCAAGGTTTGCTCAAACTGACATGGCAGGTGTGTAGGGCACTTCGGCTGAGCCTGATTCCTTTACTATTCGAACACGGTGCATCAGTGCCACTAGAAAAAGCATCCTGGTCGCTCCCGGCGCTTGAAAATTAGCTGCTTTTGTGCTACTTTTTTGCTGTCACATGCACCCGATGAACCACCCGGTGGCCCACACGCCGAAACACGGCTAATCCGCACAAATCACCCAACCGTCCAGCTCCAGCCCCCTGGAGCCCGTGCCGCCGTGAACCCGTTCTCGCACACTCCAGACAGCCCGTAGACTGATTCCGAGAGTCGTTTCCGTCGCCCTGTCTCTCTCGCACCTTTGCGCTCGCCAACGACCCACCAGCAGGGGACAGTACAAAGAGATACGATGTCAGCAGTTGCAACAGATAAGTTAGGGCAGGCAATGAAATAAAAGTATCAGCTTTCATTTTTTGTACAGAAAAAGAAACAGATACCACATTCCTTTTAAAATGTTTCTCATCTTTAACATTTATACTTGTAGCACCTTAAGTAAAGGGTTCAATAGACAAGCAATGACAGGAACAACCCAAGATTTACCAATAAGCTTCCTCCGTCTAGAAATGGACAAGTTACCATTATCTGTAAAGCCCTCACCTAAATGAAATATTCTTTCCAGTTCATTAACATTTAAGGTACATTCTTCCCCATCAAAGTTGACAACAGGACATTTATCCTTCTTCTTTTGGGATGCATTATTGGTTGTAATGGTACAAACCATGTTGACAGTAGCTATTCGGCCTGGATCTAGAAAATCTTCCAGTGGCGGAATTTCCATGGAAGCCAGATCAACATTACTTTTACCTAAGTTGTGCCAGAATAGCATTTTCCTTCTCATCGGAACAAAGCTGAGAGCATCTACCACCTGGGGTTCTGCATTGAATGCCCTACGAAAAATTTATGATTGATTAGTCCAATACTTAACAAGATAGAAACTATTTACATTTAACTTCATTTTTACAGAATTACTTTGTCATTGTGAGGAGGGTAGAACGGTCCAAGTTTGATGTATTCTCATACAGATAGAAAAAATTATGATTATTTTCTATTGCCTTTTTTTTTAAGTAATTTAAAATTTTAACGTAGGTAAAGAACAGCCTTCCACTTGAGCCTGGGGCTGAGAACAAAGTACATTACAATTTAGTTCAAAAAAACAACAAACAATAAAATAAAAAAAAAACAATCTTTTCTATACCAAATAGCTTCCTCTTAGGATTGACTCTTGACAGTTGATTACATGGGGAACCCCCAATCAAAAGATGTATAGGTGCAATTTGGTCCAATACAAGCTCAGTACAGGCCTCTACGTCCCCAATCTCTGTGATTCTGCCGTAAAATCTTTTTCTCTGAATGGAAATTGCATCTTTGTCAATCTCAGCAGAGAAGTATTCACTGACTTTTATTCCTAAAGAGTCAAGCGCCAAGAGTCCTGTAATATAATAATAAAATCCATATCATATATTAAGTATAACATTTACAATTTTACTTAGAATCATGACCGAAGAGAACGGTACCTGAACTAATTCCGTCAAATAGAGAAAGCACTCTGATGGGTTGAGACCAACTGTTGGTATTGAATCCTAAAAAATATCCATTATGGTTCTCACAAGCTTCCTCCTGACGCTGAGACCCCTCTGTTGTATCAACGGCCATAGACGGATTTGCAGCAGCCAACTAACAAACAAAAAGCACACGTGTCATTTCAACACAATCCTATGGCACTTTAGTAACACAAGCAGCAGATGTAAAAGATATAACCTTGCATGATTGACTTCCATAGTGACGAGTGCCCTTGGCAGGTCTCTTGAACCTACGACGGAAGCCACCTTTCTTGTAGCGAGGCATGTTGTAACCTTGGGTTGTAAGCTCTGTAGTTGCAGAAGAAATAAGCAAAACCGTGCCTCTTCCTGCTAAAAAGGAAAATAAAAGGCATTCCTTATGCACGAGTTTGATTGAAAATTCGTGTGGATTTTGTCACATAACCAAATAATATTGCTTTTGATGCCAAACCTGAACCAAAAGACGCAGTTACAAAATTCTGCTAACCAACTGCACCTACCCTCTGTTTTGCCTCTGAAGCAGTCCTACACAGAACAGAAGGATTTCCGTTTGTCAATTTCAGCAAAAGCTTCACACATTTAGAGGCTCATTTTAACCTCTCACTTTCATCAAAGCATCAAATAAGAACTTGCATTTGGACTCAAGTTTTCAGGTGTCCACTTTCCAAATTGGTTATAAATTGTTTAAAGATATTTCAAATCATGAACAGCATGAAAATATTAAGAGAAAAATATAAGCAAGCAGATACAATGCACACAAATTAATGTATTCACAGCAGGGACTTTAGGATTCAATGGAGTCCTCCAGGATTCAACACAGTTCAAGAAGAGTATTGAATTTTTCATAGGGCCTCCCCACCCCCACACCCGCAGATCTGCCGAAGCCTCGCCAGCCCCCGCCTCACCCCGCACGGGGGAGAGTAGCCTCCCGCCTTTGCCGTCCCCTCCAACCCCCGCCCCCGCCTCCCCCCTCGCCGCCCCTAGTAGACTCCGCTCCTGGGACTCCAGTGAGCTCCAGGAAAACACTACGCAGTTGCAATCAGTGTGTCCTCGGCTCGGCCTTGGTGAGGCTGAAGGATTGCGCGATGGACCACCACGCACGCCATTTTGAGGGTGAACGCGACGGGAGTCTACTTTGGTACTGTGAATGTGGAGATGGTTTTAGCTACCACAGAGTCCCTAAGCAGCTGGCGTCCGGTGGCTGGGCTTACACATGCCGAGCTCGGCCTACCTGCCATGGAAGGGCGCACAGTGACGAAGACGGGAGAAATACGCACACACTTGTGTTGCTGACTCGGACCTCGTCGGCCTGCTTCGTCTCCGGGAGGACATTCTGCGCGCAGCGATGCAGTGCCCTTTGAGGATGGTCAGGGACGTCGTAGCCCACCGTGTTCAGAGGTAAGTTTACACCTAAATGCCTTGCGGTATTCCCCACGTCCCGTAGCCTTATGGCAGTACCAGCCACGACCAACGCCACGACCCGCCAGTGCGAGAGAGACAGAACGGCGAAAACGACTCTCGGAATTAGTCTGCCGCCAACCGGCTGCCGTCCGGCTGGTCCAGCTCGGTGGCGCCGTTGCGACAACGACACTGGTAATGCCCCACCACCCCGCCAGCGAGGAGTTGCCCCAAACGCGTCATGCTGCCGGCCGTCCAGGCCGTCCAGGGCGTTCGGGGTCAAGGTCGCGGCCAAGGCCGTGGTCAAGGTCACGAAGGGCGCACGACTCGGCTCCAGCGGCGGCGCTCCAGCAGGCACGCCGCCTGGAGGGGCCTGGAGGGGCGGGGCGCCGCGGATGCCGACTTTCGCGTCCCCTCCACTGTAGGTAATGATTATTTTGGAAGGCACGGTGCGGATGTGCGGGGACTCACGGACGCCCGGGCCGGACTGCCGGGCTGCCTAGGTCCTTTCAACGACTGGGCTGGACTGGGCCGGCTCGCTGACGACCGCCGCCGGCCGGCTCGGCCACGGGGCTCCGCGCCCCGCCCAAAGTGCTGTTGATTCTCCTCGACACGGCGCGGCGTAGCGCCGCGTAGCGCCGTACTAGGGCCACAGCGGCGAAAGTTGCCCTGCTCCCCTTCGCGTCCTGGCGACTGATTCCGAGGGCCGCCTTCGTCGCTCTGTCTCTCTCGCACTCGTGGGGCGTCCCCTATAGGTGCGAGAGAGACAGAGCGACGAAGGCGGCCCTCGGAATCAGTCGACTGAGTGGAGTGCAGGACGAGGGAAGGGAATCCGTGTCCTCCGTACCTTGTGTCTCAGCAAATCTCTTCAATGAACTGCAGTGCGACCGCTACCCCTCGCCTGAGAGATCCTCAACACACTGGCCTCGTGGAAGAGCCCTCGCGCTCGGAGTCGCGATTGACCGCGTCACGTTGTTTTCAGTTGGGCTGGATATTTGGAGCTCCCTCCCCAAGTCAAGTCAAGCCTTCCCCCTCGCTCTCCCCCCCCCCCGCCTCCTCGCCCCCCCCCCCCCCCCGCCTCCTCGCCCTCCCCCTTCCCCTCCCCCCTCGCCCTTCCCCAGACTGCATGACCGTCAGGGTTATCTCAATCGAATGGCTTATCTCTTGAACGGGATACGTTCTGTATAGGTCGACCCGCGCGCCCAGCAGTGGCTGGTTTGTGAGGTTCCGAAGGGGCGTTCGACCTTCTCGAGTTGCATGTTTTGAAGGTTTTTAAGGCGTCGGACAGCGTTGTGCACAGGGGGAGGGCCAATCCACGCCTTTTGCCTACCTTCAGGCGGAATGGATCTCACTTTGCCTAACTTTCGGGCGCCTTTCTGCTCACAAAAAGGGAGGGGGAAGGGACTCACGCCGCTAAACTCCGCGAGAGTCGTTTTCCTCGCTCTGTCTCTCTCGCACTCGTGGCGCGTCGCTTGCGAGTGCACTAAAAAGCAAACGTGATCTAGACCGCACCACTGGTGTGATCAGATGAGCGCCTTTTTGGTCGCATCAGTTGTGTGGTCTAGGCCACGTTTGGCCACGTTGGGTGTGGTCTGGACCGCACCAACTGATGTGGCCAAAACGGCCGAGTGACAGGGCGACGCAAACGACTCTCGGAATGAGAGTCCTCTCACCTCTCTGCGCGGGTGGGGCCCGGACCGGCCCGGCGCCGCGTGCGATGCTGCGACTCCGGGTGGGCCAGAGGGGGGCGCCGGCCGGCCGGCCCGAGACGGGGAGCCCCACTACAATGACGGCACGGGGCGGGCCGCGGCTTGGGGGCCGCAGTCAGTCGAGCCTCAGCCGCGCTGCCCGTGAGTCAGTGAGTCCACGCGACGTGCGGGGCCCCGCGGCACAGTGCGCCCTCCTCCTCGCCGGCTTGCGGCATCCAACGGATTACCCGCCATTTCTCTTTCGTCCCATAGCAAAGTGAGTCTTGTGCGGTGTACGCCGTCGCGCCCAGCGCGTTGCTTTCGGCTTGTTGTGCCAACGGGCACGTAGTGACACTCAGCACGGAGGCGATTAGAATGGAACAGTGTCGCGGAAGTGAATGCGTCATCGGTGTTGGTTACTCTAGGAACCGACTCACAGTTGTTTTCCCGTTAGGTTCAGAGCACTTGAGTACTTGAATAACAACTGACAGGTAGGGAGGAGATACGACCGCCCAGACAGTCATGTCGTGCTGCCGCCTACATCGTGAAGGCTGTGACAATGGAATTGTCCCCCTGTGCATCTCACGAGACTGCAGTCGACTGATTAATCGAACTGCCGATCAATCATTCCATGCATCTTGTGAAACCGCTTGTACATACATCTGTACCGACCAAAAAAGCAGGACGAAAAAGAAGGAACGCGACATGCAGTTGTCTCTGTCTCTTCGGTGTTTGGCTTGGCGACGCGTCCACGACGGCTTCCTGCCGGTCCTCCAAGCCGCACTTTGGCTCTTCTCGAGTGGCGGTGGAGTGCGACGTGCAGGAGGCCGGGCCGACCGGGCACTCGGGGAAGCGGCCGCGGCCGACCGGCCCGTCCTGCACACTCATTCCGAGAGTCGTTTCGTCGCCCTGTCTCTCTCGCACCTGCACGGGACGCCCCACGAGTGCGAGAGAGACAGAGCGACGAAAACGACTCTCGGAATGAGCCTGCTGGTTGTCGCTAAGTGCGTGCCGCCCAACTGCCCGAACATTTCCATTATTGCGGCACCGCGCCTCCTCGGGCTGAGCCGCTCGGGCCTCGCGGGAGACGCGTCTCCGCGTCTCACTGCGCGGCCGTGCGGCCCACCCCGACCCGACCCGACCCGCCCGGCCCGGCCCGGCCGCCCCCCGCGGTTGCGCCAGAGCCCTCTCCGTGAGCCGAGAGGTGGCTGCGGCCGCCTCGCCTATGCCATGCCATGACTGCCCCGGACCGCGCGGCGTAAAGGCCACTGGACCAGTGCCGGGAGGCGTTGGCTGGAGCGGCGGAGCGGCGCACCGACGCCTCGGCACAATAACCCGATTGCACGCAGACATCACACAGACGCGCAGGCGGACGGACAGACAGACAGACGGACGGACGGACGGACGGACGGACAGACAGACAGACAGACAGACGGACAGACAGACAGACGGACGGACGGACGGACGGACGGACGGACAGACGGACAGACGGACAGACGGACGGACGGACGGACAGACGGACAGACGGACGGACGGACGGACAGACAGACAGACAGACAGACAGACAGACAGACAGACAGACCCGGACAGACCGGCGTACGGGCTGCCGGACGCACATGCGGCGGCGGCATGATGCACTGCGACGTCGGCCCGGCGCTGCTGAGCGATTCCACTGTCTCTCTCGCACCCGTACGCAGAGACCCATGAGTGCGACAGAGACAGAGCGACGAGACGACTCTTCTGGATCGCTCGGCTGGTGCTGGTGGTTAGGTCCCTGGACCAGGGAAGCGCGGCGCGGCGCCGAGGGTGTCATCACAAGCGCTGCTTGCTTTCACTGCGGGCAGGCAGGCAGGCACCAATGGGGCCGCGGCACCGACAGCACACTCATTCCCTCCGTCTCTCTCTCTCGCACCCATGTGGGGCGCTGCGTGAGTGCGAGAGAGACACGTCCCACTCCTGGCCTCGGGTTGCGGTGATGGGCTGCCGTGCCGTGCCCTACCGCGCGGTGCGCGGATGAGTGGCTGCTTGGCTGCACCGCGACGCGGCGACGCGCAGCCCGCCGCAGTGCCGCAGCCTGGGGCCTGGAGGCAAGCCTGGAGGCTGGCACACAGTGGGCCAGAAGACCGGTGGAGGCGGCCACAACTCTAGACGCGTTTTGAGCTCCAGATTCGCTAAATGGGACTCGGACCGAACGTGTGACCCCACCAATGGATTCCTCTTTGGGAGATCAGCGACTCTGGAGCTCGAAAGGCGTCTAGAGTTTTGACCGCCTCCACCGGTCTCCTAGCCCACTGTGTGGCGGTGCTGCGTCGACATCTGCGCGACTCGGAGTAGTGCCCGCTTGACGAGACGGCCCCGACCAAAGGTGGCCCAACCGTCGCGTAATTCAGAAGTACGGAACAAAACGGTAAAACTCAGATACCCCAGCGCTCAATTTGCGGTGCATATCCTTAGAAACTATGGTCAATGATTCCCCGCGAGGCCTCGTGCCGTGGAAAGATCCTCGCTAGAGCGTAAGAGCGAGAGAGAAGCAAGGTGCCCCGGCGGGTCTTGGCCGCAGGCGGGACGGGACGGGGCAACGGGCAACCACACCCAATAAGACGTAATCCAACACGTTTATCCGCACGGAGCACGAATTCGGGCGTCCGACTTGCCCTGGCCATTCGTCTAAAAAAGTGACGGCCCTGACCGCCAGGATTGATCTGACGTCACCATGCTGTACGGACTGCTGCTCCGCCTGTTCATCGTCTTCTTCATGGCGGTGACGCGCTGGGTGGTGCTGCCGCTGTGGCGCCCCGACATCACCAAGACCCACGTCTCGGACGTGCAGGACCGCGGCGTGCCGCTGCTGCACCAGTACGACTACATCATCGTGGGCGCCGGGTCGGCCGGCGCCGTCCTCGCCAACAGGTGAGAGAAAGAGAGAATGAGAGTATGAGAGAGTGAGAGGGTGAGAGAGTGAGAGGGTGAGAGAGTGAGAGGGTGAGAGAGTGAGAGGGTGAGAGAGTGAGAGGGTGAGAGAGTGAGAGGGTGAGAGAGTGAGAGGGTGAGAGAGTGAGAGGGTGAGAGAGTGAGAGGGTGAGAGAGTGAGAGGGTGAGAGAGTGAGAGGGTGAGAGAGTGAGAGGGTGAGAGAGTGGCAGAGTGAGAGAGCGGGCGCCTGCTGCGTAGGCAGCCACCGCGTGCACGGCGCACAGCTGTCGCCCGGTTGCCTACGCGCCAGGCGCCCTGACCCGAGCGTGTCGCCCAGGCTGTCGGAGGACCCGTCGGTGACGGTGCTGCTGCTGGAGGCGGGCGACAACGAGGACCCCGTCGGCGACATCGTGGCGGCCTACCCCGTGCTCCCCAACGGCCCCCACGACTGGGCGTTCAAGACGGTGCCGCAGCAGGAGTCCTGCCAGGCGCTGCGGGGTAACATGTCGTCATGGCCGCGCGGCAAGGTGAGCGGAGCGAGCGGAGACAGTGAGGCTGTCGAGAGCGAGAGCGCAGTGGCCCCGCTGCACTTACGCGCATTTCCGGTTACCGCCACGGACACCGCGGCGCACCGCGCACGCCGGCCTCTCCGGCGATCCGACGCCGTGGAAATTCTCCGCCGCCTTTTCGCACGTCAGAAGCCACCGCGGCACGCTGGCATCCCAGTCCATTACACCGCAGTGTGGCACAGTGGGCCAGAAGACCGGTGGAGGCGGCCAAAACTCCGGACGCGTTTTGAGATCCAGAGTCGCTAAATGGGACTCGAACCGAACGTGTGACCCCACCAATGGATTGCTCTCCGAACGAGGAATCCATTGGTGGGGTCACACGTTCGGTTCGAGTCCCATTTAGCGACTCTGGGGCTCAAAACGCGTCTGGAGTTTTGGCCGCCTCCACCGGTCTTCTGGCCCACTGTGTGTGGGGACGCGACGCGGCGACGCGCGGTGTGGGAAAATGGCGCCATCCTAGACAGGAGCTCATTACATTGTGAAAAGACTGTCCACGGAAATTGTCCTAGGAGTCGCATACTCTATAAGTGAAGCGTAACTTGTTTCTCGTCTTTCTCCTCGATGACGCGCGACGCTGCCGACTGAAAACGGGTTGCGTGCACACTGTTCAGGGTCTCGGCGGATCCAGCGCCATCAACGCCATGCTGTACTACCGCGGCAACCGCAGGGACTACGACGGCTGGAAGAGGGACTTCGGCCTCCAGGGCTGGGGCTACGACGACGTGCTGCCCTACTTCAAGAAGAGCGAGGACATGCGCGACCCGGTGCTCAAGGACTCTCCGTACCACGGCGTGGGCGGCCCGCTCACCGTGGAGCACTACAAGTTCTACGCCGGCATCACCGAGGACTTCCTGAAGGCGGGCCTGGACCTCGGGTAAGGCCAAGTTTCACCGACTGAGCGTTTTTGTGGGTGGAGTGTTTGAGCCGTGGACTGGGTTGTCTCGTCGCGCAGCCTGCCGGTGCTGGCGGACCAGAACGGCGAGGTGCAGTCCGGGCTGGCGATGCCCCACGGCACGCTGAGGGACGGGCTACGCTGCAGCACGGCCAAGGCCTTCCTGCGGCCCGCGGCGGACCGGCCCAACCTGCACATCAGCCTGCGCTCCACCGCCCTCAAGGTGCTGCTGGCCGGCCAGGGCGACAGCCTGCGCGCCGTGGGCGTGCGCTTCCGGCGCGGCGCGGAGCGCGAGGTGCTGGCGGGCCGCGAGGTGATCCTGTCCGCCGGCGCGGTGCAGTCGCCGCAGCTGCTCATGGTGTCCGGGCTGGGGCCGAGCGACCAGCTGCGCCGCGCCGGGGTGCCGCCCGTGCTGGACCTGCCCGGGGTGGGCGCCAACCTCCAGGACCACGTCGGGCTGGCCGGCCTCATCTGGCTCGTGGACGGCGCCGAGCACAAGACCACCGTGGCCACGCGCAGCGCCTCCTTCGGCAACCTCATCGACTTCGTCAAGAACAACGGGGGGCCCATGTCGGGCCTGTCCATGGGGGAGGTCCTGGGCTTCGTCAGCACCAAGTGAGTCTGCTTAGTGAATGGAGCATTCATTCGCCGGGACAATTTTTCAATTATTTATTTTGGCACGCGTTTGCTTTAGGTACGCCAACGCGTCGGACGACTACCCCGACGTGCAGATCTTCCTGGCGAGCATCTCGGACGCGGGTGACGCCGGGCAGGTGAACGCCGTCAACCTGGGCCTGGAGCGGTCCGCGTACGACGAGGTGTACGGCCCCGTGTCGCTGCGCGACGCCGTCACGTGCCTGCCCATCGTGCTGCGGCCGCGCGCCAGGGGCAGCATCGGCATCTCGGCGCCGACCATGGACAAGCCGCCCGTCATCGACCCCAAGTACCTGAGCCACCCCGACGACGCGCGCGTTCTGGTGCGTATGGCACTCCGTCGTGGCGCCTGTGCTCCTCGCCTTCCGCTCCTTGGTTCACGACTGTGTCCGCGACTCTGCAGGTGGAGGGCGCCAAGCTGTGCAGCAAGCTGATGCAGACCAAGACCATGCAGGCCATGAACGCGAGGCCCAACCCCAACAAGTTCCCCGCCTGCAGCCACCTCGAGACGCTCTCCGAGGAGTACCTCGAGTGCCAGGTACGCCGTGGCGGCGCTGCGAGCGCAGATCTCGTCTTCGCGGACCTCTAAAACGAGTGTGTCCTCCAGGCGCGGCAGTACACCATGACCATCTACCACCCGGTGGGCACGTGCCGCATGGGCCGGCCGGACGACGCCCAGGCCGTGGTGGACGAGCGGCTGCGTGTGCGCGGCGTGCGCGGGCTGCGCGTCGTGGACGCCTCCGTCATGCCGACCCTCCCCAGCGGCAACACCAACGCGCCCACCATCATGGTGGCCGAGAAGGCCGCCGACCTCATCAAGGAGGACGCGCAGGTGTGTGGCACGACCACCCTCTCTCTCGTAGTTTCAGGTTGAGTTAATGTTTCATGACAGAAGAAACAATTGGACGGTTCGGCTGTTTCAGGAGCTCGGCAAGCTCGCCAGGCCGTCACCAGCGGAGCAGTGCAGGCAGGAGAAAGGCAAGTGCCGAGACAGAGACAGGGCCGACGGGGCCGTCAAGGAGGAACTGTGATACTTCCACGTCTGTTCTGCCCAACGAGTGGGAGTTTATGATGAACTGTGATACAAATAACTTGTGATATTCACTAGGAAAAGGAAACTGATTTCTTAGCTCAAGAATAAATAATTTAAGGACCATACATGAGGCTGAATAGTTTTTAATTTCCTACTTAAGGTCAATTTGAAATAAGTAAATATCTACTTATCTCTACAAACATTGCACACAATTACAATACAATTCAAAATAAATTGAGATCAGTCATCTGAATAATTCAAAATTTCAGAGGTTTAAAAAACACAAGCAAAGGAAACGACAACCAGGACATCATTGTAGTAAATCATAGGAAACAACAAGAACCTCTATACATGACAATCATTCTCTTAATGTAACACAGCAATAATAATTATATATAGTAATTTATACACACTTGTACTTTTGATTTTATTATACTTTTATATGTACATGACTAAAAACCTTATTTACTAAGGTCTTCGAGGACTGGATCGAAGTATAGGTGCTGCTGAAGGCTTTAATATTAACACTTTCCCTTTCGGAAAGAGCGCCTTCACAGATGACACGAGTCTTGCCTCATCTGCACAAAAGAAATGAAAAAGCGGCCTCACACATCTGGTCACGAATAAATAAAAGAACGACTAGACACTGAGGCAAGAACCAAATTAAATCCAAGTACCTGCTCTGGTAGAAACTTTGGGTGTTTGCGGGTCGGGCGCTGTGGCTGGCGTTGGCGAGTCCGCTGGCTTGCTGGTGGACGCCACAGCGACTCTCGACACCCTGCCGGGTCCGCTTGGCGTCGCAGCTGCCTGGGGCTTGTTTGCGGTCGGACCTGGAACAGACGGGGCAATAGGCCGTTGTAGCGATGCCGCACTTTGGGAAACCCACACCGACTGACAGTACATACACAGTGCACCGGCATGCCGCGGCATCCACCCACCTTTCCTGATGGGGACGAGAGGAGGCGGGTCGGTGGAGCTGGCCGAGACCATCTTGGTGACGCCCCTGGTGACCGGGCGGGAAGGCGCGTACACGGTCTTGGTGGTCGCCTTCTGCTGCACCGGCTTGGCCGAGGACACGGACACGGCCGTGGCCACGGCCTCCTGCGAGGTGCGCTCCAGCGACCGCAGCGCGCGCTCCACCAGGGGCAGGTCGTCGGCCGTCACACTGTGCCCCACCTTCTTCACCATGATCCTGGTGTTCCTGGGCGGGGACACCGGGGACACTGTGGACACCGCTTCCCCAACGGTGGAGGCTGGCTTGGCCGCGACCATGGCCACCCTCTTCTCGGGGGCCTTCGGCGCGGGCTTGGCGACGGGCTTCTCGATGATCCTCTCGACGGTCTTGGCGACGGGCTTCACGACAGAGGTGGGGGCAGGCTTCACAGCTAGCGCGACAGCAGGCTTCGGGGCGGGCCTCTCGGCAGGCTTCGCTGTGGTGGTCACGGCGGGTTTCACCACGGTCTTCACCATGGGCTTCACAACAGTCTTCACCACAGGCCTGACGGCGGTCTTTACGGGGAGCGTCACGGCAGTCTTCTCAGCGGGCTTCTGGTTGGGCGCCATGGTGGTCTTGGTGGTCTGCTTGAGGGCCACGCCTTGCTGTTCGCCGCCCAGGATCACGCTGCGCATCTCGTCCACGATCCAGGAGGGGTCGGCGCCCTGGTCGGCGCCCTGGTCGCGGGCCGCAGCGAGGTCGCCGTCGTCGAGGGCGAGCGGGTCGGTGTCCTGCGACGACGACACGACGGACTGCGACGTGGGTGGCTGCGCCGGCCGGGGCGTCGGAGGGACGGCCGCGCGGCGCGGCGTCGTGTCGGCGGGCTGCACGGCCACCGAGGGCTTGATGATGGACGGCGTGAGCACGGCGGAGCGCACGATGGCGGAGGACAGGCTGACCAGCTTGCTGGAGGACCGCGGCGTCAGCACGCCGGGCGTGGAGGTGGCGGTGGCGGCGGTCAAGGTGGGCGTCGTGCCGGTGCCGCCGCGACGCGCGTTGGCGGCGATCTGCGCCGGCGACAGCCTGATGATGCTCGGCTGCTGCTTGATGGCCGTCAGAACCACGGGGCCCGCCCGCGTCACCTTCTGCCACAGGGACTCTGGCGTCTTGGACGGCGACCCTGGCGTCGTCTTGGCCGGCGACCTCGCCGGCGGCGGCGTCTCAGCGGCCGCGGGCCGGGCGGTGGGCGTGCCGCACAGCCTGAGGGGTGGCGGCGACGTGGGGACCAGCGACCGCGGCTCCGACAGCGGCCGCCTCTCGGGCGACGGCTGCAGCGGCGGCGGCGAGGCCATCTCGGCGTCGCGCTCGTCGGCCTGCTCGTGCTCCGGCTCGGCCTGGGCCCCGGCCTGGGCCCCGGGCTGGGGCCGCGGCTTGTCCGGCCAGCGCAAGCGCGGCCGGCACGACGAGCGCACCGGCTGCGGCGGCCGGCACAGGCAGTCCGGCGTCTTGCAGGGCGCCGCCGCCATGCTGTCCGCGTTGCGCACCAGTCGCAGCGCCGCCTGCATCTTGAGCGGGCAGCGCCGGGCCGCGTGGAGGTTCGTCTTGAACTGCAAGGGCAGGCACACGTCAGACGAGGAATGCGACAGAGAAGTGTGGGAGCACAGTTCACAAAACAGTACTTACCGTAACGAGACTCTTCAGCACGGCCTGGTACATCTCCTCGCCGGCAGCCTCCACGGCGTCTCCAGTGGCCGCCACGGTTTCTTTCGCAGCCTCTTTCGCCGCCGTCGGCGCCCTGGACACCTGCGTCGTCGCCAGTGGCGTCGTCCTCGCTTCCTGCCTGGTCGCACCCTGCGTCGTCGACACCCGCTCCTCCTCGTCGTCCCGGTCCTGCTCAAGCTCGGTGTCGTCCATCATGTGGCTGTCGTCCCAGTCGTCCCCGGCCGTGTCGAGCGGCTCCTGCTTGATTTGCAGCAGGCGCCGCTGGCTCTGGTCGTCGAGATCTTCCGCCTCGCCGTCGCCCTCCACGTCGCCCTGGGGCCAGTCTCTGGTCACGGAATCCATGTCCACCAGCGTCCCCTCGCCACGGAACCAGCGCCTGCAGTCCCGGTGCAGCTTGCCCACCGCATACACCTGCGCAAAACACGGCATTAAAATCACAAAGAAACTGGGTAAATACGGAGCCGGGTCGCTTCGCTACGCGTCTCCACGCACCACGGAGGGCCAGAAGACCGGTGAAGGCGGCCAATACTCTTGACGCGTTTTGAGCTCCAGAGTCGCTAAACAGGGCTCGAACCGAACACGTGACCTCACCAATGGATTGCTCTCTAAACGAGGAATCCACACGCTCGGTTCGAGTCCTGGCTAGCGACTCTCGAGCTCAAAACGCGTCTTGAGTGTGGGCCGCCGGCGCCGGTCTTCTGGCCCACTGCGCTTCGCTACGCGTCCCCACGCACCTGCACGGTGACCGTCTCCTCGTCCGGGTGGAAGTCCTGCACGCAGAACTTGTAGATGAGGCAGTTGCGGTCGCCCCGGGCGCAGTAGCCCTGGGTGCGCCACAGCGCCGCGGCGTGCTTGCGGGAGAAGGGCAGCTTGAGGGAGCTGCGGCCGCGGAAGCACACTTGGCAGGGGATGTCGGTCTGCTCCACGGCGGCGCGCCGCACCATGTCGCGCCACCCGTTCTGCAGCGTCTGGCTGCGGAACTGGCGCTCCCAGCCCTCCTCCACCCACACCTCGCGGCCCACCGTGCGCTCGTGGATGTAGTAGCGGAGGCTCTTGGCGGGCAGCAGCTTCAGCCAGTCCGTCATGGGCAGGTGCAGCTGCCAGCGGTACTCCTGCAACACGCCAAGGCGCGCCAAGGCAATGGCAGTGAGAAGGTGCGCCGGGACTCCGGCACGCTCTCCGCGGAGCAAAGCGTCGACGGCCAAAATTCTAGACGCGTTTTTGGCTCCAGAGTCACTAAACAGGACTCGAACCGAACGTGTGACCCTACCAATGGATTCCTCGTTCGGAGAGCAATCCATTGGTGGGGACACACGCTCGGTTCGAGTCCCATTTAGCGACTCAGGGGCTCAAAACGCGTCCAGACTTTTGGCCGCCTCCTCCGGTCTTCTGGCCCACTGTGCGAGGGGACGTACCATGCAGGGCGCGTCCGGCTCCGGCTCCGGCTGCGGCTCTGGCTCCGGGTTAGGGAGCAGGAACTCGGCGAGGGAGCCATTGCCGTCCATCGTCTGGACGATCTCCTCGGATTCGTTCTCCGCCACCCGCACGCCACCGTGCTCCGCGGCCAGCTCTGCGAAGGGGAGAATCGCCAGGTGAAATACAGCACACATGGTAAAATACTGACTTGCACAAAGTCAGCTGATACAAACCGTCGCAGTTGACCTCCACTGCTTCGATGGTGGCGCCCTGGCCGTCCTGGGGCTCATTCGGGTCCGACACGAAGATGAAGACCTGGTCGCCTGTAAAGAGCAGATTTACCTTTCGTTGAGACTGGGCTCTTAGGTCACGACTTCCTTCAACACGATACATGTAAAAGAACTCACCGCTCTGCACGATTTTGGTGGCGGTAAGTTGCCCCGAGCCGTCGACCGCGTTGCCGCCCGCCAGCGACAGGGCCTCGTTGGCGAGCTGCACGAGTTCGCGCGCCGCGTCCTCGCCGAGCGCACTCTCGGCGCCGTTCACCTCCGACATGACTTGGATCGTGTTGACGGCGTCGTCCGTGGCCGCGTACCCCGCGCCCGCCTTGCCTTCGTCGAGGATCACCTCCGCCGCGTTCAGGTCGAACTCCTCCGGCCAGGCCTCGGTCTGCAGGGCCCCGACCGCGTACGCGTGCGGCCCTTCGCCGGCGACGTCCGAGTCCGTCGCGGAGCCCTTCTTGGAGTGCCGGCGCTGCCTCTTGCCGCGGCCGGCGGCGTCGCCGGCGCCGGCCGCCCTCTTGGTGCCCCTCATGGGGACGGACAGCGGGTCGTCCGTCGGCCGCCTGCTGTGGCGGTCGTCGCCCTCGGGCCCCGTCAGCAGCCTGCCGCGGATCTCCACGTCCACCGTCACCGTGGCCGCCTGCGGGTCGAAGTCCTGCACGGTGAACCTGAAGCGCAGGCACTTGAGGTCCTTGCGGCCGCAGAAGCCGTTGGTGACGAAGAGGGGCGCGCGCTTCTTGCGCGAGAAGGGCGGCTTGAGGTGGCAGCGGCCCGTCAGCCCGATGCGGCAGGGAAGGCCCGTGCGCTCCGCCAGCGCGCGCTTCAGGTACTGCCGGCACTCCTTGGTGACGCGAGGCACGAAGTGGCGCAGCCCCTTGGCCCACGCCTCCTGCCCCTCCAGGGCCAGGCGGTCCTTGGCCACGTTGGAGCGCTCCAGCACGTACGCCTCGGCCGCCTCGGACGGCAGGAACGAGATCCAGTCGGTGGTGGGCACGGACAACTTCAGCCGCTGCACCTCTCCGTCGTCGGCCTCGAGCGTCGGGTCGTCGACGGACATGTCGCAGTTTACGACTGGAACGATAAGAGGACAAGACGTGAATCAGGATGGGATTGCAGGGAGACACTTGTTGGATTGAGGCAGACAACTGCCTTAACCTTACATCCATTTGAGTTGTTCTGGGATGAGCTGGCATTGAATCGCTGTAAACTTTTGATTGCTTTCATGTGGTCAGATGCAGTAATTGTGTGACGTTCTTCACCTGCTTGGCCCTCTAATAGTGTGCCCAGGGCTTCCACAACAATTTCAACCTGCGGTTTGCTTGGATGGAAATCCTGGACCCTCAAGTTAAATTTCAGGCAAAGACCGTCATCCTGACGGCAACAAGCGCGAACTCGCCATAGGGGAGGTCCCACCTAAAAACCAGAGTAACATAATAAAAACCATAAAACTCTGTAATAAATTTTAAAAATGTGTATGAAGTAATAAAATATTAAGATGTTTATACCTTTCGGGAAAATGGCTGCTTTAGAAAATTGCTAGAGTTAAAATTAATCACACAAGGAATGCCAGTCTGTTTGGCTATGGCTTCTTTTAAGGTTTCTCTCCAGGCACCCTGAAGCCAGCCTCGCTTCAAGGGAGCAGTTGATTCTCTGCCTTCTCGTGATGCTTTCCCTGAGTCCCGGAACACTGTGCGCTCCCGAATGTAGTGTAGTAAATATTGTGGAGGCAGCATTTGCATCCATTCCTCTGTTGGTAATAGCACAGAAAATGTCTGTATCTAAAATATTTGAAAATACACAAGACAAAACAACATTAAGTACAATTGCCATTCAATCATGATGAGATCCGAACATACATTCATTGATACTAACCGGATAATCGTCGGGTACATCATCACCTACATTCTCATATGTGTGATTAGTTCTATCTTCTGCGCAGTCATCCATACTGTCATCTTCTTGATTTGCATCATACACAATGTTGGGATCATTTTCATGGACATCCTCCAGGTCATGATCTATGTCTCCTTCCTCGTCAACTTCTGCAGAATTAGTCTGCATAATTGATGAACCACTCATTGTGTATGCATGATCCATGATAAACAACTATATTTTTTGAAAATCAAACCTGAGAAAAGGAAACAACAGGTCAATTTCTAAGGGTATGAAGGAACAAGCACAAAATTGAAAGGTAAAATTCAAGTAGGCAAGGGGGTTTGAACAGTGGCGGATTATATAGGACATTCGTACAGCTAAAAATTTTATAATGAATCAATGGAAGTTTCAGAAGGTTCTAAATATGAAGAACAGAACGAAAAATACAAATGATCAATACTGTGAATCTAACCTAAAATTTCAAACCTGAGGGGGTTACGACGAATTCCGAGGGCAACTCTTTTCTCAAGTGTATTTCAGACGTCACTTACAATGAAAACAAACTACACCGTCATACGAAAACATAACCTTGTGCCAAAATCACATCAAAATATAGCACAATCTTCGAATTACATTGACATTGGTATTCTCGTTGGTTCATAAGCGCCTAAGTTCCAGTTACACCCGTATTTCGTTTCCTAACCCCATACGATGGGAAGATGAAAAGCAGAAAAGGAGGGAAAAAGAATATTGCACTCAAAGCACATCAAACAGTGATTATTTTGACGCACTGTTCAAATGAAACATTTAAACAAGTGATTTTAGAGCTAAAACAAGCACATCATCCCTTATTTTTGGCCAAAAGAACGATAGAAGCGATGATGTTTGCAGTTTAGTAAATTTTTCATAGCTTCCAAAGAGCAGTATAAAAAGGGAAGAGGCATGAGTGTCAACAGACCGTTCTGTCAAGATTTCAGGAATTTTGGTGGTTTTCTTAAGTTTTTGTAACATTTAAGTCACCTGAGATCCTCCAGTTGTTTTCCTTCGCGTAAGGAATCAATTAGTCAAGTATGGCAGTACTGTCTTCCTGCAGCATTATTGGTATGAGCTCATTGTTTGACATTTCTACTTTACATTTCATGTTTACAGTTCATATCATTTCATTCAGTTAGAGAATAGAGTTAATCTTGGCATTTCTGGTTCAATCTTATATTTTTCGTCCTTTGTAACAATTACTTCTATTTCACTTGTAGAACGCGACATAAATGGAGATGTTTTGTGGGCGTGGACTTTTCCCAGCATATCAGATCAACAGCGGTCGATTTCTCTTCGTAAGTGTTGTTTGACTGATGGAGATGGTGGTAATGGGACTGGGAATGGAACACAACGCTTCATTTATGGTCGCCTTGGCAAGCAGTGGTTTTACATAGGCTGTACAGAAGTCTTTGATTCGGATAACTTGCCCTGGGTGCGTACTTACCCTACTTATTCATTTTTAAAGACCTATTGCTATGTCAAATTTTGTTTTTTTAATGACCTCAATAACATTTTGCAGGTGAAGCAATTTGCATTAGTTTTGTGGACAGTTGACTTTAATCCTGAAAAATATGAAACCTTGATTCGTATCTTAAGTAAGACTTACTGCAAAACAGGTAAGATGGAAGCAGAATTAAACATTAACCAATCAACTTAAGAGGCTGTTACCAACTCTTCTGCACTTTTAGGGGACCCATCTGTCATGTTACGTCTGTATTTATCTGTGGCAACAAGTGGCTCTTGTACTACTGAAGAAAACGGCACATTTCTGGTCAAAGAATTTGATACTCGACAAAAGTTGCGAAGTAGCCATACTATGGTAAAAGGTAAGTTTCTGGATTAGTGAATTTATTGTGTCAACTCAAGATCTGCTTATTGTTTCTATTTTTTTTTGTTCTAGAGCTAATTAATATGTTTGGACTGGAAATAATTCTCATATATACAGCTATGCTGTTGAGAAAGCGAGTTGTAGTGTACCATCACAGTCTCCAAGCTCTACAAAAGGTAAAGATATTTTTCAAAACCATGCCATGAAATCAAACAATTTAATAAAACACAGTAATTCATTCTATTTTATTGTAATTTTTTGCAGTGGGTACGCAGTTTTCCAGCTTTGATGTCACACCGCTCAGAAGCAAATGACTTATACCCATGGGTTGATTTGGTTCCTGAAGAAGTTGCACCCTTGAAGGTTTGTGTTTTTGTAACAATTTAGAGGTAACTTCTGAGTTTAAGCAGCAGATTATCATTGGCATGGTTCACCTTTTAGGTAAGTCAATGTCATATTGCTGGATTTCGAGACAGTGCGGTAGGAAGTCGCACTGACTTGTATGATGTTCTTGTCAACCTTCCTGCAAGAGAGATCTCAGTCTCACCGCATGCTAAAGGTGAGTTCTTCTTTAAATTTGTCCTTTATCAGTTCAATTTTCTTGTCTTACAATCATTTTGGTTTTGGTTCTCTACAGAAAGCATGGTTATGACAAAGACACACAAAGAAATAGCAGTTCAATTGGTTCAATTAGCTGCAAGAGAGGATGCAACTGAATCACAAATTGTGAAGGAAGTTTCTGATCGAACTTCTGATCTGATAAATCATTTGAAGTAAGTCAATGGAGCATCAAAGTACATTTAATCATTAAAATTTTAAGAAAAGTCACAAGAGAAATTAAAACTAAAAAAAAAAAATGCTTGATGCACATATATTCTATAGGACGAATGTTCTAATTTGACAATTTGATTTGCAGGTCACTTTCAAGCGTTACTGATGCTGATGGAAGAGCAATGGTGTCTGTTGAGGAACTCAGGAAACGGGGTTTTGCAGCCCCATTAGAAAACTTCCTTTTTAATTTGGCTGTGGCAGAAAACATGATTATATTATGATAGAGTCAATAAATATATTTTATAGATACTGTTACTACAATACTTGTCTGGAAATATGTCAAATGCCTTACCGATTGCACAAAGTTTTACCAGTCAGCCGCATTACTAGCCAAATAATCTCGGCGTCCAATGTTTGAAGCTTGCTTGCTTTGAATAGCTTCCAATTTCGGACAGTCTGTGATTCTGTGACCCAAACCTCCACAGTAACTGCAACCTCTTTCATCTAAGAAAAATAAGAATTATTGTTAAAATTGAGATCACTAATGATAACAAGGAGATTTTGAAACAGTAAAAAATGTAGGTTATATGAAACATTCTGCTCACCTCCAAGGTCCAGATATTTCTCATTGTCGGACTGCAATGCAGCCAGGAATGGGGGTACTTTCTGCTTTGCCTCGAGAAGAAGATGTTTGAGATCGAGCAGCACTGACTCATCATTTGCTTTGTTGATGAAGGTTGTAGCAATACCAGTTTTTCCTGATCGACCAGTTCTTCCGATACGATGAACTGAGAGCAAACAGAAACTGGAATGAACAGGAGGGTTCACCAGGAATAACTCGAAACTTTAATTTAATGGGGTACTCACCATAATTCTCAACATCATCGGGCATGTCATAATTAATGACATGTTGGATCTCATTAAAATCAAGACCTTTGGAAGCTACATCAGTAGCAACAAGTACATCTTTTTCACCTTTGCGGAAAGCCTCAACTGATCTGGACCGTTCTTCCTGATCTTTAATAAAAGCAGGTTGGTTAAAATTATAGAGTGCTTCTTGGAAGTAAAAGCAAAAGAGAGATATGTTCAGTCAAAGGTTACCTTTTCCTCCATGAATAGCTACAGCTTCAACACCTTTGAGTAACAGATACTCATGAATAGCATCCACATCTTGCTTTTTCTCAGCAAACACTAGCACCGGGGGAGGGGTCTTCTGAAGACATTCAAGAAGATAAACGACCTTGGCTTCTTGTTTGACATACTCGACTTCCTGTTGATCATTGAAGAAAACATAATTTTCTGGTACTGTTAAAATTACTGTGAGTAGTAAAATGCTCTCCATAAACAATGTACCTGTACTACATTCAGAGAGGCTGCACCAGCTCTGCCAACATTGATTGTAACTGGCTTCACAAGTGCTGAACGAGCAAAATTCTGAATTTTCTTTGGCATTGTGGCAGAAAACAAAAGTGTTTGTCGTTGGCCCTGTCATTTATGAAATCATTCATTATAAATATCTGAAGAAGATAACAGTGTGTTAAGAGAACTTTGAGGACCTACCTTAAAGAAAGAAAAGATAGTTCTGACATCCTCTTCAAACCCCATGTCAATCATTCTGTCAGCTTCATCCATGCAAAGATACCTTAGGGAGCAAAAAAAGATTTCACAAATACAAATTACAGGCATATAGAAAGATCAATTAATTACTAAGAAACGGAGTTTACCTGCACACATCCAAGCGGACCATTTTCTTATCTAGCATATCCATGAGTCTTCCAGGTGTGGCAACCATAATGTGTACTCCTCTAAAATTACAAGGAAAGGAATAGAATTAGAATTTATAAAGTAATGTTTAAATTAAATCACAAAACCATGACAATACACTCAGTAATTACCTGTTAATAACATCCAGGGACTCTGAAACGGGAACACCACCTATGGCTAGACAGCAACGTATTTCAGGAGCACCGCACTGCTGCATGTGCTTGGCGTAGTACATGATGATGTCGTGTGTCTGCTTTGCCAATTCTCTTGAAGGGCAAATAATAAGTCCTGAAAGGAAACTTATTTGGTAAGCATGGGATTCCTACAGATTATGCTGTTTCCATCACAGAACAAGACTAAAAATATAGGAAAACTCACCGTATGGCCCTTCAAGACGAATAAATGGCATTTTAGTTTCTTGTTCAATTGTAAACATCAATAGGGGCAGCACAAAGACCAGTGTTTTACCACTGCCAGTAAAGGCAATACCTATCATGTCTCTGCCAGATAACCTTCAAGATAAAAGATTTTTATTTTAAGCTTGCACTTCCATGTGGTAAAGCACACAAAAGGATTCTATTTACATTAGCATATCATAAGCACCAGCAGAACTTTCAGATATAAACTTACACTGTTGGGATTCCTTGAACTTGAATAGGAGTGGGCCGGGTGATCCCTTTGCCAGATAGTCCTTGAAAGATACCACGATGAAGTTTCATTTCTTCAAAATGCTTCAAGGGCGGAGGTACCCCATCACCTTCCACAAGAATGTGCAACTTCTTGCGCACTCGTTCATGGCGCCTTTCTGACATGCGAAGGAAAGGACGAGGAGGACGCCAGCTGGAAAAAGAAACAAATTAGAAGTGTTCTGTCAGTTTTAAGTTTCTGGGGGGAAAATGTAAGTTTGTGGCTTTTTAAAAAGAAAAGGTTCAATTTCCATAACAGAAGAAACACTGTTAGCTGATGTCATCAGGCTTTGAAAACGAAGTGAGAGGTCAATAAATTATTGTGAAGCCAGTCTAAACTTAAAAAGGAATGCGTAAGTACAAAATGAAAGACCATTTATTAAAATTTTTAAAAATATTTTAGACAGATTATGTACATTTATGTACATACATACATGTACAAATGAGTAACTTTCTATATAACAAAGTCAGAACTTTTAAACGAGATTGTGACCAAAAGTACATTCTCATACATCAACAAAAAAACTATGAGCACCATTTCTCAAAAATTCCAGAGTTAAATTTTTGACTACGAAATTCAAAAGAATCACAGTTCCTACTAAACAAATGGGGAGAGCAACAAACACATTAGTTGAGAATATGATGCATGCTATATAATAATAATAATAATAATAATAATAATAATAATAATAATAATAATGATAATAATAATAAAAATTTCATTTACTACCGCTAGCTTGGCACTATTCATTCTAAAATAGGACCCTGCAACATATTGCTCTTAATACAGAAACAAAAGACAACAAACCAACAGCTTAACAAACAAACAAAATCAGTCATACTGTAGTTTACTCGACTATCAAACAATATCAACAAAATCATGACTAAGTTAGTCAGTTGGCTTTCCATTTTCAAATGTGGAATCGTATCACAGAAAAAAGAGAGTGTCGTCAATGTAACTAAAAGGGGCAGTCTCAAAACAAAATACGCTATGTTCATAATTTTTCGCACGGTAAAAAAAAAGTCTTGTACAAGAAACACACATACAAACTTGGACAGTGAGTACTTTAAGAAGATCCTGCAAATAGGGATGGACACCTCTCAATTATATTGACAAAGAAGTAATTGGCATTTCGAATTTCAAAAACAAGCACACTATAAATAATACACACACACACACATACATGCCTTCGTTGAGTAGGTCATGTGGCTAGTCTTGGCATGGTGTTTGTTAAGAAACACCACATAATTTTAAACTCACAATTTCACAAGAAAACTGTGATATCATTAAGAGCCACTAAGAAATTTGCACTGTGCCAGGTAATTAAATAATACAATTAGGAAATTTTCATTGAAAAAGTAAAAACCATAGAAAATGATAAGGGAACCTAAGTGTAACTTTGAGCAAACCAAGGCAAAAATCACATACATAATAGTGAAAACAATAAACCAACACAACAAATAGCAAACACAAGTAAAAAGTGTTGTGGTTTGCTCTCATGAACTCCAGCAGGCTATAATTAGCCTGAACCACAAATCTTACATCAAACACTCAACATTTAAATTTCAAAGCGGAAAGAAACAATATGATATAATTTTAGGGTCATAATCAAACACTGCACAAACAGGGAAAAATCGCACACCCCTATATAGAAACAAATTGTCTCAGTTTGACACCCAGAAATACCTCCTACTGGTAATTGGTACTCTTCACTATCACATACTAGTATCAGTAGGACTCAAATAAGGGAAATCCAGTTAAAACATGGGGTGTCCGATTTTTCCCCACCGTCAAGGTGTTTGGTACTTCCCTGCACTGACCCTTGACTGGCCCGAATTGATTTTCCTCCTGCCTTTGCATTATTAAATTATTTCAAATTAGTTATTGAGCCTGACATCAAGAGCTAAGAACTGATTATACTTGGCTAAAAGTATGCCCTATGGAATTCTATGACTGAAAATATAACAATAGACTAAGAAATACAACAAAACCTGCATATGCTTTATGCTAGCTGACTTGTAAAAAATCACAATGTTAGGTGGGAAAACGTTATAAGAGGGCAGCATTTGCATTGAAAGAGGGTTCTACTGTATCTGACTTTGTTGATTTTAATTTTTGGTTTAATTCTAGTTCAGCAAGATCGGCTTTTGCCCTTGCGCCTCTCACAGTTTCTCTCGCAGCTTCCATTCGGTACTCAGCCTCTTGTGCTCGAGCAGTCTGTTCACGAACTTCTTGTCTAGCCAATTCCAGTCGCAGTGCTTGTATCTCGTCATAATGTGGTTGCTTCTGGTTATCAGGAGATAAATGATTGATCTGTTTACGTCCTCTATTTGTTGTTGCAGAAGTGGTTGAAATGTGTGTTTCACCTGATTCTGATTGACTGGGTGGTGCTTGATCCCATGTTTTATGAGAATTTGAAGAATCTGAGAGGAGAAAAATTTTTTAAATTTCTTCAAGATATTTCAGATAAGGAAAAAAATATAAATGTTTGGTTTAAAAACAAAGGGACATACTAAAAGAAGTGCAAGGCATAGTTGAAGGCTCGCCATTTCCATTTGAATTCACACCATCACAAAATTCATTCTGGCCAGGCACATAATCAGGATCCTCATCTATAATCAAATTTCTACCGTCTGCAGATAGTTCATTCAAAATAACTTCAATTGAGCCTGAAAGAGTATACGCTTAATGAAAATGTACTGCTCTTCATGATAAAATCAAAGAATAAGTTTAGACTAATATTTTACTAACCATCGCCATTGAATGGAAGATTGGGGAAATCACCACCACTAAGAGCTGAGAGCATAACATCAATTTCGTCTTCCATAGTGATCTCAGGACACTGTGCCAATTTGGCTTGTATTTCAGGTTTGTATTTTCTTCTCATATTCTCCCATACTTTCAGCAACTGTTTAGCAGTTACCTGAAAGAACATCATATAATGCTGTAACACCATCAAGGTTGAGAAAAAGGGAATGCAGGGTGAAAGAACCAACCTGTTCTTGCACCTCTTCCATGCTGTTATATTCTAGCCCAATTTGATGCCAAGCCATTTTCTTCAAGTGTGATGTATTTGCATCAGTCTTTTTGTTTCCAAGAATAGAAGCATGTTTTCTTAGAATCCACAAGATTATCTCTCTTTCTCTGCGTGTAAAGGGAGTTTTCCTGCTTTCATCATCACAAGGAAAAAAGAAACTGGATCAGAACTTTTTCCTAAAGCCTGTTTGGTGGGAGACCAATGTTTCAACACTAGCATCAAGCACCACCTCAAAATGTTTTTTAAAATGACATTGATTGTTTCTACGCAGTTTCTAAGGGTCAATATGAACAATGACATCAGCTAACGGTGTTCCTCTGTGCTCTCAATAGTCTGATGAAATTTTAGGCACTAGGCATACTGACAAAGTTCACAGAATGGTGACTTTTGATTCATATACCCTAAGTGCATGCACACACAGGCTCCAAATGAATGTGCCAATATTTATCTGCACAATCTCACAACCTTACCAAAGAATGCAAGATACACAGATGAGAAATTTTCTGGGAGCAGAACTTACCTAGTCTTAATCGGATCTTCATACTGGATACCTTTGGCGAGCTCAGCAACACCCATGAGAGCTTTGCTTTCAGCAACACTCTCCAAAATACGCTCTTCTTCTTTCAGTTGCCTTTCCATAGCACTTTCTTTCTTGGCTGAATTTGAAAAGGATTTGGAAAGGATTATGAAATATCGTTAAACGAAAGTACAATGATGAATAAACATACAGAAAGCAGTCTAATCACCTTCAGCAAGTTTTTTAAGCTCTGTGTGTTGGTCAAGTAAACTTATATTTGATTTCCTGCCCCAAACTTGACCATCTTCTTCGTCATTTTCATTTTCATTTTCACTCGAAGATTTTGCTTTGCCCTCATCTTTCAGCTGAAAGAAAACTTTGGATTATCAACTATTTTAGGATACACCTCTATAGCTGTAGACTGCAATGCATTACAAACCTGCCCAAGTCTTCCCAATTTTAACAGCTGCTGCTTTTTCCTTTCTTTTACTGGGACGTACGGCACGTAGTTGTCATCTGAATCTGAGCTGTTGTCGTCCTCTTCCCTTCGGTACCGCTGCAAAAAAAGACATACAAACTTCAAAAATCAATATCAAAAAAATTCCTCACAAAATTTAGAACCCAGCAACACCATCAGGTACAAAAGTGACATGGTAGAAAATATACACAAGAAGGACACTAAAACAGATGCAGTATAACCCCTCAAGCAGTTCACAAGACATTTTTAAAAGAGATATCACAGCAAAAGAGAGAAAAGCAAGTTGGAAATTTTCAGGGAAAAGAGGCACAATACGATGGAATACCTCGGATGAAAGCTACAGTCTGAATAAAGCCGACAGCAAAACGACAAAACGAATAAAAGTTAAACAAGAAATCCGCAAGTCGTATCTTGGGTAAAAATTAGCAGGATGATGGTACCTTGGTAGATGGTCCTTCCTTGGAAGTAGAACTACTGCTCATCTTGGCTGAAATATTAGTTACGTTCTCTGAGTAATAACGGCACACATAGCAGTTGACTTTTCTTGTTTACGAGTTCACGAGTACACACGAGTAGAGTAGACTCAGTAGACTGTGCTAAAACTAGACTCTAGCCTATGCCGCCGCCAGTGGATTCTCCCCACCACCTACCCTACCACACCCCTCCGCCCCGCCGTCTCCCCCTACCACCTATAGAACGCGAGCGTCGGGTCGGCGGAGTATGTTCCGCTCCTCTCCAAGATATATGTATGTTGTGGTTGTTGTTGTTGTCAAACTGAAAGAGTTGTTATGAATTAGTAGATGAACGTCAGAAAGAAAAATGGATCTTACTCGAGGCTCAGATTCTCGTAACAATTATTTAAAGCATATTCGAGCCTATATTTGTGGGGACGTAGTTGTAAGAAGGTGGTGGTTACTGTACATGTAACCTCTGAACTAACTTCACAGATACAGAGACGTTGAAAGGTACGTGTATTATCCTTGGATTCTGTCAATCCTTTTGTTTCTGGACACATAATAAACATCTCATTAACTGTACTTCGATGACTTCGACTTACGTATATTGAATACAATGTATTGTCATTGTTGCAGAATGAATGTCCAACACTTTAATTTTGTTACCTGTTCAACTGGCGAATGTAATGATTACCCCAAAGAAATAACGGTACGCATTGATGGAGAGTCCCAGCCTATTCTTATTATCCCATTTGAAGAAGAGCCAGAGCCAGAGCCAGGGCCAGTGATTGCGGACTATGTTAATGTCAGAATTCAGGTAAGTCTTTTTTCTTGACACATGCACTGTTTCAAATCTACTAGGGATCATGAACACCAATTATTCAACTTATTTCCAGGTGGAGCCCGAAAACCTAAGTATCAAAACTGAAGATGTAGTAAGAAGGAAGGATGTGAAAATACGAGCAACAAAATCTAAAGAACGAACCTTTGTGTGTGACTTATGTTCAAAGGTATCAATTCGCCTTTAATTAATGTAACTGTATAAAATGAAATTGCACACTTTTCATTTATAATCTTCCTAATTTTTACAGGCTTTTGCCACAAGGCAACACTTGGAACGACATAATAATCTTCATTCAAAGAAAACTTTGTATCCATGTGAAGAATGTGACAAAGTTTTGTTGGACCGATCTTATCTCTTGCGACATATGAAGATACACATAGGCGTAAGGCGTTTTAAATGTCGTACCTGTGAGAAAGCATTTCTCACTCCGTCTAGTCTAAGGAGGCACGAAACACTTCATAATCCTGACTTAAGAAGTCATGTTTGTTCTCAATGTGGAAAACGCTTTCCAGACAATAGCAGTCTTCAGAAGCACAGTCATCTCCACACTGGGGTTAAAAAACATGTCTGTCCAGTCTGTGGACATGGATTTTCACATTTAGGTGACTACAACATTCATATGAAGTGTCATGACCCTGTTAAAGAATATCAGTGTGACGACTGTGGAAGAAGGTTTGCCCGACATAATAATATGGTAAGGCACAGAGCTGTCCATTCAGGGGAAGGCAGCCATTCATGTGATACCTGCAATGTAAGCTTCCAACATGCAGGGACATTAACTAGACATATCCTAAGCTGTCATCCTGAGAAAGCGAAAGTAAAAAAGTCAGTTGTGCACCCTCCCTCTGTTGCACCAGAAGTGCTGGCAGAAGAGGATGTTGATGGTGATCTGGATATGCTGGACAGTAAAATTGAAGTGGATAGAATTAATTCAAAAGAGAATGAGGAAACTGGCTTGTCTCAGCAGATCACACTGATCAGGTCAAGTCCATCATCATTTCAAATTTTTAGATTAAATGATGTGGGAGTTTTGGAGAGGATTGCTGAAAATGTTTCTGTTGAAGTTCTCTGTTCTGGTGAGCAAAATTCCTCCGACACAATACAAGTGAATGATTCGAATGAAGCTGACACTGTGCTCTTGGAAGCCTAGTAAAACTAATTAAATCCTTGTCTATAATTGCTCAAGAATGTTAAGATGTTTAAATGATTTTGTATGCTTGCTATCATGGAAACCCAAAGGTCTGGAAGTATGTTGTCACCTTCTTTTATGTACATTCAGTTTCTTTCATACTTGGTTCAATTTTATTCACACTTCTTTTTTAAAATAATTTTGCCTTTCAACAAGCGTGTCTAAAAACTTATGGTAAATGTATTTTACATCATACTGCATGTCATACCAAAAGTTGACAGCTATGCATGCATGAGACTGGCGCACATGATGATACCAAAGCGATGGTAGAAATAGAGCATCACCAGCCTGCACCCTCACATGGAGAGGCGAGGCATTTTTATAAGAGGGGTACTTATCATAATCAGGGGCCAAAGGGTCTATACTGATCCATGGTATCTCATGTGTCTCATATTTATCATCAGGCAGTTCATGTTTAGGCAACTCATGATCATGTGCACTCGGTTTGATTGAAAACATTCCAGGTGATTCTTCTCTGTAGGTTGCTGTTGGATAATTTTTGTATGGGATCCATGGACGATCAGTTGGTGGATGTAATATGAAGTCTTTATATCCATTCACTACGCAGTAGACATTTTCGTATGGATCTTTGTGCACTTAAATGAAAAATCAGAAAGATGAAAATTAAACAAAACCAATGAAATAAAATAGAACAATATTAAATATCAGTTCTCATAGACATAGTCACATTTTTTACTCACTTGATGTTACTGCTCTTTTATCTCCTATCCAAAAATTCACTGCATCTGGTAGAGTCCCAAATGCTTCTGTTGCCCATGGTATGTCCTTTTCTATGTCTTCAAGTAGCTCTGGTAGTTCATCTGTTAAGTTCGAATTTTGACGTTGCAAGTAATAAATGCCATGATATCTGTAAAATAAATTCTTAGCTGAAAAAGGCTCTGCACTCCTTATCAATGATTGTGTTACAATAATGTACTTACTGTGTTGGATTATGAAGAACCTCCATGAACTCAGAAAATTTTATCTTCTTCTCTTCAGGCATCACAAAGTACTCTTTTTTTGTGACTAAATCAAAGGCAACAGCATCAGCATATCCATTTGGTGTAACCGCAACAAATGTTTCTTTCCCTCCCAATTTAGAGCTGTAAATGTCATTGTACAAAAAGCAATTGCCGTTTAAGAATTTTCGGCATCTGAAATGGTTTAAAAATTTTTGGTTTCATTACAAAATTTATACAGTACCTTAAGTATTCTTTATTCCACTTGTGAAACGCAGGCCAATGACGGCAGGCATTGCGTATTAGAACTGGTTGATTTGAAGATACATAAGAGCGATAAAAACCCAGAGGAGAAATATCATTCACACTGACCTCCGGCACTGAAGTTCCGTAATGAAATTCTGCAAAGTCAAACGGTTTTATTTCTCTTTAACAATAACTGGACACATCACTGTGCCATTACCTCTGTGAATTTTAATGTCGCACTGCCACTCCTTACCCTGCGCCTCAACTGTCAGACATTTGAATAATTCCTCCATCACTTGACTGTGTTCAACAGTGTGTCAATGCAATACAATACAGGTACCAGTTGAACCTTAAAGACACAGCTAGGTTGCAGCAGCCGCCTCTGTCGTCCGCTGCTGCGGTGGGTAAACAACAGAATTTCCTCGCCCCTCCTCTGCCCTCCCCGCAGCCGGGCAGGAGCGGCAACTCGGCGGTGAGAAAGTCACCACCGAAGGAAGAGCTATTGCCCAGACTATTATTCATCGCAAGTAAAAACATCTTTATCGTTTTGAAGATGCGTTAAAATTCATCAAAGATGATTCCGTGTGGCCTTTACTTTTCATTCACCTCGATTTGGTCGCACTTTTCAGGAAGTCCCAAACAGATTTTTCCCGCCGTGGGCTCCCCCCTCCTCGTCTCTCCCTCCCCTTCCCCCACGTGTTTAAGGACGCATCTCTCCTTTCTGATTCGCATTTGCATCCTCAACCGCGGACCGCGGCTTGCTCTGCAAAACTGCAGGCGGATTGTTTGTTAAATTTTCTTTAAAACGAGAGAAATCCGCTGTTGTCGTCGCTTTTTTTGAAGCACCGATCATCCCTTAAAGTAATGACTGTTCTTAAGTATCCATATGTATTGAATAATAAGAGGAGATAGTGGTGTGCTGTTCAAGACAGTCGTTCTCTAAACGGAGGCTTTGTTGTCGGTTCTAAGTGAGTTGTACACCGTCAAACGTTTATAATACAAAAATTAATTCCTCCACATGATGTGACCGCTGTCTTTAAAATGTTCTTTTGTTTGCCGTACTTGCTTGTAGATATTTTCCTGTCAAAGCTAATTCAGTGTAAACATAGCCTCAAAATAGTGGAAGTTGTAAAAACCTTCAGTCAATGTGCATAAATTTTCTTCGTTTTCCTAATATTTGTCTACTTCATATAAAGTCAGTCTTCTTTTTTTTACAGCAGCAGATCAGCATGTCTGGCAGTACCAAGGAATCATCCCCGTCGGAAGCAGCAAATCCACTTCTTGAAAGTCTGAGAAGATTTAAATTTTTGAAAAAGTCACTTCTTGATAGTCAAAATTTGCCTCCTGCAAAATCTAAATCAAATCCTGAATGTGTAGACCTAGACGCTTCTGACAATGAACAGCATTCAAAGAAAAACAAGGAGAAAGAATTGTCAAGTGGCTCAACTTTATCAGTTTCCAGTCCGACTAAACAAAATGGTATCAAATTTGGTATGTTTCTTGGAGTATGCTTACATCCAGTGGTTCAGTCTTTTTCTTCTCTCTCCAAATTAAACTCTTAACTCAAACTTAACATGTCATGACTACAGGAGATGAAAGCCCTCCAGATAGTCCAGTGAAACCAGGAAAGAGAAAAGCCAAGGTTCTTAGTTCAGATACTGAAGATGAGTCTCCAAAGCCCAATGGTTAGTGCTCCTTTTCTAATGTGTTGTATTTGTTGTAAATTTACTCTACTATCATTTTTATGACATTGATATATCATTTACAGGAGTGCGAGGATCTAAGAAGCGTAAGTCAATAGAAGTTGATGAAGAAGGGCGGACTAGTGTAGAGAATGCATTAATTCAACTTCTTAGTTCGTTTCCTGGGCAAGATATCTTAGTGAGTTGCTACTCTAATTTCTCTATTTTTTTTTGGTTGATTACTATTTTATTTTACATGACATAATTTGAACTTGTTACATTCCATAGATTTTGCAAGATGCTCTTTCTAGAGCTAAATGGGATGTTGAACAGGCAAAGATAGACCTTGCAAAAAGGTTATCCGATGACACCGCCAATACCAATACCAATACCAATGGTAGTGCAAAGACGCCCACTACCAACAAGAAAGTCAATGGCTCCAGCAAAGCCAGTAAGTTTTGTAAACCTGTCTTCATTTCAGAATCTCAACCAACAAATAGTTGGATGTCATGGTTAACAACACTTAATTTTGTTTCAGGTAAGAAAAAGAGGAAAGCAGACCTGGATTCTTGTGAAGAGGATAATGAAACTGATGAGGATGATGATGGCCGAGGATTCAAGAAGACTAAATTATACGACAGGTGAAACGCCTAATATCTCTCACACTGTATGTTATGAAATTCTATAACATCTACTGATAGTTAAATCCTAATGTTCAAATTCATACTTCCAGTGATGCTGACTCAGATGAAGAGATTTCTGATGAAATGACAGATGACAAACGTCAAGTTCTTAATTTTCTGTCTGAAGCAGATGTTGGTGAACTATATCAAATGAGTAATTGTTCTAAGAAGAAAGCTGAATTAATTATAGAGTGCCGTCCATTTGAAGGCTGGAAAGATACTGTTGAAAAGCTTGAGAAGAAAAGTGGTTTGGGTGCTGGAATTTTGAACAGTGCTCAGGAATTGCTTCGAACAAGAAAGGTAGCTGCTTCACTCATAAAAAAGTGTTCTAAGCTATCAAGTCAGATGGAAACAGCTATATCCACCGGGCTCTCAAACCTTCACAAGAAACCAAGCATCATGTCTGAAAAGTGAGTTCTAGCTTGCAAAACTGTTAACCTGTGCATTGATATGATACAAACAAATTCATTTCGAATATTGTTAATTCTTCATTTCTGGTTTGCAGTTTGAAACTGTCAGATTATCAATTAGTGGGCTTAAATTGGTTGCTCATGATGAATACCCATCAAGTCAATGGGATTTTAGCAGATGAAATGGGTCTCGGTAAAACAGTGCAAGTCATAGCTTTTCTCTCGTATTTGAAAGAGAACAAATTGAACATTCCAGGAAAGCCTCACATTGTCGTTGTCCCATCTTCTACATTAGGTAAGATCTAATTAATGACACTACAATAATTGTCTGTATAGGTGTCATGGTTGCAGGTCGCCAGTTATGTTCTCTATTTTCCCACAGAAAATTGGCAAAACGAATTTAAGAGGTGGTCTCCATCTTTGAATGTAGTGGTTTATCATGGAAACCAAGAGGATAGGAAATATCAAAGAATTGAGTGGTCTAAGGAGGGGTTTGGTGACACCGAAGTTGTTTTAACCACGTAAGAATCTATCTATCTTTATTGGCACATCTGTTTTTTAAGAATAATTCACTTATTAACATTTACATTTCGTTAAATTTAGGTATGCTATGGTTACCAGTGTTTCAGAAGAGAGAAAAATGTTTAGAGTCATACCATTGCACTACGCCATTTTTGATGAAGCTCACATGCTCAAAAATATGTACACTCAAAGGTTTGAAAACCTGATAAAAATCAATGTGAGTCTTAAATTATTTGTTTCCATTATTGTGGTCTGTTTCATCACAGATTGCTCCTGGCTGGTGCTGATGCTTTGGTTTTTCTTTTTGTCTTTTTTAGGCTCCAAACAGGATACTCATAACAGGCACTCCCCTTCAAAATAATTTGCTGGAACTTATGTCTCTTTTGGTGTTTGTAATGCCCAAAATGTTCAAGGGAAAACAAGAGACATTGAAGACACTTTTTACTAAAGCACCTGTGAGTACTAAACTTTTCATAATGTGTAAATAACTAGGAACAGTCCGAGCTCAAGGCTGAGCCAAAGATGAAAAAGCTCTCTAGATACAGAGCTTAAAACAAATTTACTGTATGTGATTTTAAATTTGAGTTGTTGGCCGTTTTGTCATCTGGTTATTTGTGTTGTTTACTAGCAGAAACAAACTGCAGATGTTTAGCAACACAACCAAGAGTTGCTGGCACACTTGTGACTAAACTACATCCTTAATAATTACTGGTTTTCACTATTGTTAGCTCCGATTTACTAAGAAGGCAAATTAGATTTCTTTCAAATATGTACAACATAAGTAATTAAAATTTTACTTCTCTGCTACGAATGCACCGTTGTGTGGACCCCTCATCTCGAGTTTTAGGTTGGGGCTGGTCCCTTGATTTCTTAATTGTACAGCTTTGCCAAGTGAAGTTAAAGATTTAGGGCTCAGAAATGAATTTCAAGAGTAAGAGGGAATAAAATGCTTTGTTCCAGAAACAAATCAAGGATGACAGTGAAAGTGCAATGCCAAATTTTGAGCGCACCCAAATAGCACAAGCTAAGCATATCATGAAACCATTCGTTTTGCGAAGGCTGAAGCGTGATGTGTTGAAAGACTTGCCAAAGAAGACAGAGGAAATACTTAAGTGTCCTATGACCAAAGATCAAGAGAGAACTTACAAAGACCTCATTGCTGATTTTTCCAAGCAAGCAAATGAGGTGAGACACAATACAGTACTTCCATGGTTGTCACATTTCTTTACCTTTAGATTTAAAAAAAAATTGTTGCTTGCTTGTTTTTCTTCTAGGAATTGAATGATGAACAAAGTGAGCCATCTGAAAGTGGAATGGCAATGTATATGAAGCTGAGGCGCCAAGCAAATCACCCACTGCTTTTGCGACATCACTTTACGGTGCTTTAAAATTTTAATTTCAATTTTTCTATTTTTCTGTGATAGCACGATATTAAACTGTCTTTTCAAAATTTGCAGGAAGATATCTTGAAGGACATGGCCAAGAGACTTCAAGCTGATGTTAGATACAAGGATGTTGTATTTGATTATATTCTGGATGATCTTTATTTCCTCTCAGATTTTGATTTACACAAATTGTGTCTTGAATACAAGGTAATTGTTTATAGCTTATGTGTACCCCTTGTGTGTCTAAAAGCACTCTTTCAATTTTTTTTCTGATTTTTTTTTTTTTTTTGCTGCAGTCCTGTTATAGTTTGCGTCTTCCTCCGAGTGTAATGGGGGAATCAGGCAAATTGATTGAGATCGATAGAATGCTCCCAAAATTGAAAGGAGATGGGCATCGTGTTCTTATTTTCTCTCAGTTTGTAATTGTGCTGGATGTACTTGAAGAACATTTCAAAAACAAAGGTTACAAATTCCTGCGCCTTGATGGAAATACACCCGTCACCACAAGGTTTGCATTCTTAAACCTGTCTATTTAGTCTTTAACTTAGTTCTCTTTTGAAACGTGTATTTTATTTGTTTACTTTATGATTCCTTATTACAGACAAGATCTTATTGACGAGTATAATCAAGATCCATCTATTCTTATATTCATGTTGTCAACCCGTGCAGGTGGTCTTGGAATTAACCTGACCACTGCTGATACTGTAATAATCCATGATATAGATTCTAATCCACACAATGACAAACAAGCAGAAGACCGTTGTCATCGCATTGGCCAGACAAAGTAAATACATCCAATTTTCTCTCTGTCAATCACAAAAACTGTATTATCAATCAAGCTAACATCAAATGAACTTATTTCTCATAAATTGCAGACCAGTGAAAGTAATCCGTCTTGTAAGTGAAGGAACAATAGAGGAAAGTATTCTAGTTTTGTCTCAAGAAAAATTACTGTTAGAACAGGAAGTCTCTGGCAATGAAGGTAATTTCGTTCACACAGTCATTGTTCACATTTTTTCACTTCCAAAGACTGTTTAACTAATGTGAATTATGTTGATGTTGATCTAGATAATGAACAATCCGAGAAAAAAAATGTGGCTAGACTGCTTAAGCAAGCCCTGGGGCTAGACAACAAAAGCAGTCCCAGTTCTTCCAAGCAACTTTCAAAATCGAACTCCAAATGAAGTATACCACATTCTCTTCAGTAATTCAGCTCAGTTCTCTGTGATCATATTACCTGTGTTTTAAACTTCCGTACAAATTTCGTTTATCTTCTTAACTTTTTCTTAATCAATTTTAATTTATATTGATGATGGTTGCATCATAAGTATTTTATTATTTGCTTATTTTACATTGCTTTAACTTATGGGCAGGGTATGTTGGAGAAACCACTGTGTCTGTACCCTGTTCACTGCCTATCATGTTTTAGTTAATTCCTGTTTTTTTTTGTTTTTTTTTGTTATTTTTAATAATATTTAAGTTTTAAATTTTGCACTGCATTTCATATAGGGTCCAGGTATGGTTCCAACCACCTTAAACCCATCTTACTTTGTTTAGAGGTTGGATGGTAGATCTCTTAGTTCTGGTTCATGGATGCAGTGTTTATTTTTCATCAGTTAGCAATATTAATTTCTCTTGCATTTTAAATCAGACAAGTCAGATTAGGCACAAATCTCACATTCCTCTACTCTTTTTTGTTGTTCTTAATTAGTTTAAGAGTATGTCCTTTCGGAACATTTCAATCATGTTATATTCCCTTGTGTGTTTTCTTTTTCATGGTCACAAGATGGTATTTATATTGTATTGCTGTGAAACTTTCTGTACAAATTATTGTGATACATGTTACATTATTGTATTAGTGTCTGTCCCCACTTAATTAACTTCATCTCTTCTTTTACCTGCTGGACAGGTGAGTTCCTTTGTGATGGGAGTGTGCACAAGTGTCATTAATTTCTGTGCACGCACTTATATTTGTGTAGAGAAGAGAAGAGGGATGGCTTTGATTTGCTGAGGATTTCTTAGCAACATTGCAAGAGCTGGTGCATAAACACAGGGCAGTGGCAACTTCGGCCAATGATTCTTGCCTGGCGGGTTTTATTCTTCGTTCCCCTCCCACAGTTGTCTAATGCCAGGTCAGGGGTGTGTGGGTTATGCAATTAGCCATTGAGTGGTTGTGGGCCGTACTGGCAAAAGTGTAGATAATGATAAGTCTAGCTGGAGGTGAAAAGTTCTGTCTGAGGCCTTTGACTTTGTATCACACTGAAGTAAGTTATAAAGCTGTCTATTGATTGATTGTGATACCTTCGTGTACACATAGGATCACCCTGAATACTCAAATTAATTTTTATTTTTCATTCAATAAAGTAGGTGCCCTATTTCTTACTCCTTTTTGTCATTAATAAAATCACCCCATCAAACACACACCTAGAATTAACAACATGACAATGTAATGATAACATTTATTGTGGTTAACCGGTAAAACCCTGAAAGTACAGTACAAGAGAGTGCACAATGAATGTCAGCTTTTTAAAATAACAACAGGCCAACAATGTGTCCTGCCAGTCCAGCCTATTTCACACACAAGGAAAATTAAGGTGAGAGGAATTCAATCTGAATTGTATTGTACAAACTGTACAACTTTCCCACAAATAACATGACTAGAATTTACCAAGTACAATTCTATAGAATGTAATGAAATAAACGGAGAGGGTACTGCGTACTGCTTCATGGGTGTTAAGGATGATAAAGCTATGAGGCACCTCTCAGTTTGCAAAAGCTGCTGCCACAACTTAAACTTTTTTTTCCACTTCCACAATGTTGATACATGTTAAGGCCCTTAATTTAAAGAAACAGTGACTTTCTAAACTTGCAGTTAGATAAAATCAAATAGAAGGCATACAGAGGCACTGGTTGACCATTGCAGTCCATTTTCAGGCAAGGTAAGCGAAACACGCTTCACAATTGGTACAAGTCTAACAAAATACAAATAATTCTATGAACGGCATAAATCTTGGTGCAGGCAAACATTGTGTGCTGTATATTCAAAATGAAAAGAGAAATGTAATCAACATTTTCAAAGATAATACAATTCCATAAGATTAAAATTTTAAATTCAAAATGATAACAATCACTTCAAATGCCAGGAGAAAAACAAGTGTTGTTCATGGTAAAGAGGACACTATCACACTAACTTTAACTTACACACATAATAACAACAATGACAACTATGGCATTTTACAGCTTTAGAATCAGACTTGCAAAAACAATGATTGATATATAAAATTGATACATCTCACACACTGAGATTTGTAAGAAGCAAAACTGGTTTGAGAAAACTCAAAACTAATCTTCCAAGGAGGGGCCTTCCTCTAAAGCCTATCATAAAAAAACACACTTAACGTGACAAAAATCACAGAAAAGAATAATCTTAGGATCAAAACTCATGGGTATAGGTGTCTCCCGACCCTGCTTTGATAACTTAATAATGAAAGGAAGTCTTTTTAAAGGGATATGAAAACCAGTGGAAGTTTTGGAAATTACTAACTGTTCATAATTTGACCAAAAATGTAAAATATGCAAGCCCAATCTTAGTCGTAAGAAGGGATACTGAAGTCAACAGTAGGTGCATGAGTCAACTAATGCAAAAAAGGCAGACAGAACAGAAATAAATTAATGGTCTTCCAAATCAACAAAAAAGGAAAGACATAAAAAGACAGATGTTAGAGCAAATTGTCGAACCAAATAGGTTTGTAAATCTCAACTTCTGCTGCATAAGAACACAAACAAAATGCAGCACCTCACTAAAGCTTTAAATTCATGTAGCATGTGTAATTCTGCCACAAGAAAGCATTGTTTGTTAAAGGTACTCTAATGATAAGGTAGCTAATACAAAGCAGCAAAGTCAGTATCACTGAGTGTTGCACTCTAAAATAGTTCATTGCTAAGTGAGTTTAACCATGAGACTGTCCTCGTCTCATGGTTCATTCTAAAAATTGCTGATCAAGAAAAATAAATCTAGAACTGGTGACTTAGAAGTGCAATTCTTTTCTGTAGAAAAATTTCAATTCATTAAACTCAACATAGTACAGTACATCACAGTTCATGGCAAAGTATCTTTGTAGTGCCAAGCTATCAACACATTAGGTCTTGAGTACAGAAAATCAGATTCAAAATTAATGATTAAATTTGATTTACAAATGATTATTCTTCTTCTTATGAAGCAAATTTAAGTTCCTGAAATTGGCACACAACAACAGTACAAATCTCCACCAGAAGAAGATTCAAAAGGACTGCAGTTAAACAAGCAACAAAGAAAATCAAATCAATTACAGCCAATAAAAAGAAAGCCTCATACAAGGAGATAGAAATATCTTAAGAAATATCAAAAATTGTTCTTGCTCTCTATCAAAACGTAAAAATACAAACACTATGCTAGCATGACAATGACAGTAGTCAAAATGTTAGTGACATGAAACAAATTTTAAAAAAATATTACAACAACACTTGACTAGATAAATTAGCAAAACCACTTGACTAACAAGTATCACCCAACAAAGTTACTGAGCAGATGCAAGAGGTATGGAAGAATAAGGTGATACATGTTGCATTAGTCAGATCTTCCTCTTCGCATTCCAAATCCTGCAGAAGAATTTCTGTTAGTCGCCAAAAATATGAATCATCAAATACTCAGAAAGTATAAAAATCAATTACCAACAAAACCAAACAGCTTTCATAAAATAATGAGAGCATCACTGAACCCAAGATGCTGGGACCCAAAGAGGCTCGTTTTCAACCCGGCTAACAGATCGAACTAGCTGTTCAAAAGCAGCTGACAAATCTGCATTTACAATGACTTCATCAAAAAGATGACCATATAAAAATTCAACTCGTTCGGCACTGCGTAATATTTCTTTGAATTCATCATCCTGAAAATATATCAAATTTAGTTTAATGAAATACATTAAAAATAACCAAAGAATCACAATCAAAATGAAAATTGTACTGACAGTGAATCCTCTTGAGTTGTTCTCATCAAAAGTAGACCTTGCATACGCTACAGCTCTTGTTTCTTTGATCACATCAAATGCTGGAGGTTTAATATAGATGATGAATGGTTTCAGCTGAGGAGAGCGTAACATTTTAAGTGCCTGAAACAAGTAAGGGCAGGTAAAGTCACAATTCATTGTTAAAAAAAACAAAACAATTTCACAATCACTCACTTGATAATGAGGATTCATGACACACACATGTCCTGCATCAACAAGCATTTTCACACTTTCTACTGATGTGCCATATAAATTTCCTTTATATTCTCCAAACTCAATGAAATTTCCTGCTTCATGTTCCTCCTCCATTTTTTCTCTTGTAACGAAGAAATACTCTTTGCCGTTTACTTCACCAGGCCGTATTGGTCGGGATGTGACTGAATAAAGGAAAATGAGAAAGATTCATTACACAACTACAATGAAACAAGTTGCAAGTTGTTAGAAACACACCAAAGAATCCTTACATGGTGTAGGCGTGCGAAACTTTTCAGGGTCAGTGGCAATCAACCTTCTGCGAAGTTCATTGCGCCCCACCCCTGGAGGCCCAATTAAAATAATTGGTCGATAAACCCCTGGCCTGGGGAATAATTTTGCAACTTCTTCATAAGTTGGTATTTCTTCACGATCAAAGTCATCATTCTCTGTAGAGTCATACATAATCTTCTTAGTTTTGGTCCGGGATGCACAATTGGGTGATGCTTGGAGAGAGGATTTGCAGCCGGTCAAGGAAGCAAGGGAAGGAGAAAATGCTGAAACAAGACATAGCCCTGTGGGAGATTCAGGGCCTAGCCAGCAAAAAAAAATTGAAGCTTAGCAAAACCTGAAAACATTGGAGCTGCTAGGTGCTAGGTGCAAAAATTAAGAAATTAACTTTGAGAGAAGTATAAATAAACATTGGGTAATAATAAAGCACATCAATATGGAAATTAACAAAAATTACACAAGGCAAGCTAAGGAAAAGATGGATAAGTAATGATAGGGTAAGCAAAAAAATTTAAGAAATTGAACATATAACATGCAAGAATGGAAGGGAAATACACTGTGAAAGTCCTATCAATAAAGTGTCTCTAAACAATTTTTAGCCACTGATGTCTTGAGGCAAATGGTAAGGTATGCCATTGCAGTAAAAAGAAAGTAAAGGTCCAGAAAAAAACAGAAAAACTGTGTGTACCTTGATCGGTGCGTTTTCCTATTTGAGATCTCTCACGCAAAATCATTCTTTCCTGATGTGCTCTACTAGGTATCAAGCCAGCACGAGTTGTTCTGTCACCATCTCTTCGGGCTTGCCACCTTAAAAATCAAAAGCAGTCAGACACAAGTTGCATTTCAACTCACATTTAATTGAACTGAAGCTAAGTAAGATTATTACCATTCTCCATCGTCTTGATTTACAATGTGCAGGATATCACCTTTCACAAAATCTAAGCCCGCTTCCCTGCATGGAATAAATGGGTCCAGAGAAGCAACATAATCAAAATGAGCTCTTACTCTTACTTTGCTTTCACAAACTGCATGCTTTCCATCAGCTGGAATTAACTTGAATTTAATGGTGCCTTCCGAGTTTTGCTAGAAACAGAAATTGCTGTGAGTTAAGAAGGGAATTCCCCAGTCACAACTACATACTGTATTGTTATTGTATGCACTTATGTGATAAAAAGTTCAAACTTACAAGAATTTTCAAAACATCACTAGGTGGTTTCCATTCGACATTGATGCCATTTACTTCCCATACTTCATCTCCAACATGAATTAACCCAGAACGGTATGCAGCTCCACCGTGGAAAACCCGGGCAACAACGTACTTTCCAGTTTGTTCATCAGTTGCTATGGTAGCACCCTGGAAAAGAAATTACCAGACATATGTAAAGTAGTGGCAGGGAAATTCTTGTTAACAGAGTTAGAAAACTTATTTTTTGGTTTGATTAACTCCTTATATGGAAAGAACCCATTGGCTACTGGGCAGATCTTGACAGTTTGTATGTTCTTACTTGTCAGATGGCAAATTTGTCTTAAATTGTTTGTGCTGTAAGGTGACATGCAAAACTATGGTTTAAAGGCCATTGAAACATTTAAAAAGCACTATTTTTCTCTTTGAAACACATGACATGACATGATATGGTCCAAATCTTTAAACCATGCATTTACATTTTGTTCGCTGCAGAGGCCCAATAAACAGCAAAAAGCTTTACTGAAGAATTTGACATTTTGTGCAAGGGAGAGTAGATGTATGTCTCCTAGCTCATATAAATTGCCATCTTACTTTCAGAGCTCAATGTCCATAGTAGTATGCAACAAAATCAAGGGGGTTGCTGCATCTTGAAAATTGAGGGGGATAAAAAGGTCTTAGCTGTCATTGCATTCCAATATTTTCTTTTCATTGCATTGCTAAACAAATTGTTTCTTAAGGTGAGAAGGATTTCGTTTCGTACAGAGCAGCTACTTGGAGAGGACAGCTCATCAACACTTGCAAGCTCGTTCTTAATTACATAGACAATATGTGCAACTGTACACCTGTCAAGCTCAACTCTGGGTATATGCCTACTGCTGCTGTATAAATACTTTGAAAACTGCTCCACCCCAAGTGAATAACGAGCAATACAAAAGTACAGACAAGCAATCATTTTCAAAGGAATGACAGAATGACAATGCTGTAATTAGATTAAAACAAACGGCTGCAATAAATGTCTGCCTTTAAAGCAAATTATGCAAAAGCTCTGCACAAAAGGAATAAGATGTGATGGGTGATAAATTTCAGTCTTTGATCACAAATTACCTCACCGACGAGTACACTGGCACCGTTACATGTAGCTGGCATCAGCTTGCATGATCCTCATGATATGCTAGGAACTAAAATGCAAGACACATGCTCAAGTCATACCTTGAACAAAAACGGACCTCCACTACATCAAGCCTACTTCAACTAGATGAAATAAATGCCACTATAATACAAAGGGAGGGCACCTGACCAGGAAAAATAAAATAACATAGGGACTGTGGAGAGGCAAATAGAATAAAAGGAAATCCTAAAGGTTTTTAGGAATGCATTTTTACATGCATTGATAGAGAGAGACAACAACAAAAAACCCATTCTATCTAGACAATTTTTTTTTTAAATCTAAATTTTACAGAAAAATACTATAATTAGTTACAAAAATTGAGTATGACTTCACAAAAAGTATCAAAACATGCAAAGCTACAGAGGTAGGACATAGTATAAAGTATATAGCACCATATAAAGAACTGGAAGAGACTTCTGTGCCAGACCACTTACCACAATCGGCTCAGCACTTTGAGCAGACCCCTTTGATAGCAACGTTAAAAGAGACAATATACAATCAGATGCACCAAACAAACAGTAATCACTAAAATTCATAACCACAAATTCAATGAATACTAGACACACCAAAAGGGAAAAGAAAAAAAAAAAACAATGAAAAAGTGGTGGGTTGGGTGTGGAGGAGGACTCTGACAAACAAGTATCACTTAATGAAAAGTGGAATCCAACCTTCCAAATTTTGGCAAGCTATTGTGACACAAGTACAAAGGAAACAGGTGAAAAATTAAGTTTTCCTGCAGGATTTTACATTAAATGCAGAAGATTGAAATGGAGGAAAATTTCAAATTGCTAGTAAGCATACAATCAATATTTCTGTAATGTATCTTGACTATTTCTGATTTCAGTAAGACAAAAATTATAATGACATCATTTTCGTACATTGTGCCACATGTAACTTCCAGTATTATAACACCCTCATCTTGTGTAAGATAGAAGGTAAGCTTAAAAAAAAATTGTACATGCATTGCATTGCAACATCTTAGCATTTAAAGCTTACCAGTGGTTCATCACTTTTCACTAGCTGTGCAATTTTTATTGTTTCTTCATCCTTGTCAACATCTTGCGGAAGCTCTGATAAACGGGGGTTGTAGTCTTTTTGAGCCACAGCATCATGAACATCCAATAATCTCTGAAATATTTGAAAAGAAGTTTAAGAAGTACTTTAAAATGAAAGTAGTTGGCAAAATACACATAGCTATGTAACAACCTGAAGATGAGGATTCTTAAGAAGTGAGCAAATTTCTTCAAAGTCTGGAGACAAATTCTTTCTGGTTGTCAATAAATCCAAAACTTCCACTGCAATTTGAAGTCCATTTGAAAGGATAGGATGGAAGCACTCATCTTTGACTCTGTTTGAGATCTGGCCATGTACGTTGACCAAAGCATTTAGCTCTCTTGATTTCAAAACTCCAGTAAGAAAATTTAACGCTTCATCAGTGGCGGGAACAGATGTACGACACTGGTTCAGAGCTTGCAGTAAGCTCGGCAGAGCTAAATTATGTGGGCGAATGCATAAGGGGAATGTTAAAACGTGATTAAATACATATCGAAATAATTGGATAAATTGTAAAATATTCTACCTGAATCAGAGCTGTTTTGGTCTTCAGACATTTTGACATTATTTTATATCCTTTATAATATGTTTATATTTGAGGCAGCATCCAAAAACTGTGGTGAAAAGAAAAATCTTTTTACTGCTGTTCAAGAAACATGAATGGGTCATCACATGAAAAGGCATCTAATGAGGTCTGATTGACACATTTTAAAGCACTGCCGATTGAGGGAAATCCTTTCAACAAGTCAAACTTCGGTGTGAGGACATACATCCCCCTGGCCGCCGAAAATAATAGCTGACAACCTATGATATCTTAAAATATGTCTTCGAGCAGCTCAGCCTGGGATTATTTTGGGATAAAGTAGCAATCAAAAGACACCATGGATGCAAAGGTTAACCTACATGATTGCAAGGAGGAGTGTGACTTGTCACTAAGGGAATAACTAGCAACAACTTCACCCCTGGGGCTTAAACATTATCAGGAGGCTTTACAGGACAAACATGCTCACATATTTACTAGGGTGGAAAATTATTCTACACGCTCCGCTCTGCCATACTTTTTAAATGCAACCCCAGCGCCCTCTGCCGCAGGGGCGAGGGTGAAGAAAAATCGATTGGGGGTGAGAGAGAAGGGCGAAGCAAAAGCAACGGACTAGAAAAGGGATGGCCAGTGACAGCCAGCGACATGGTGTCAATCATGCCGACAACAATAAATTCGAGTGAAATTCAAGGCGTTAAGATCAATGGGCGGCCAAAGAAATATTTCCGTTTGAAAAAAACAACAAAAGGGCTCCTAAAGGGGGTGGGGGTGGCCAGGGTGGCGGTGAGGGGAGGAGAAGGGAAGGGCTGGGCGGAGAGCCTGTCTGCGAGGCTAGCTAACCTCGCCGCCTGACGCCGACAACGACAACCGGAACACAAAGTCATTTATGACGTGGTCTGTTAGGTTAGGATCTCCTAGGTTTGCGGAAGCAAAATCATAATAATGTTCGAAATTTCGGATGTTCAGAGTACGTATCTACTTTTTGGTTACATTCGTTTCCTTAACTTGTTCTCCGTTAAAATGAAGATGGCAAGGTTGCTATTCCTCAAACCTATGAGTTTTTTGAAGAAAAGTTGTTTTAAAGAACTGTGTGAAAGGTGAAGTTTGCTCCAAACACTTTTGAGAAATCTCTCATGAAACCATTTTTTTGGACCGTCTTAAGCATTAGGGGCAGTTCTTTTGTCAGCGTGATAATCCGGGCTGTGGAGGTTTCCCGGCGGACTACAGCCCGCTTTGGCATATGTCATTGAATGCAATTTCATGTCATATTTGTTGCCTTCAATTTTGTTTGTTGAGCCATTTTAACTGTTAAGCCAGTCCTGAATTCTCTCATTTTTGCTTTGAGTGTTGAAATTAAAGGAGTTGTCCTACAGTCTGTTGTTCCTTGCGTCTTGTTGGTATATGTACTTATGAAGTGCCTGTTTCCTCATTCATTTAATATGCTTTTTCTTTTTCACAGAAATTGGTGTGGGCTTGGCAGCGTTTGGAGTTTTCTTTTTATTTCTGGGCGTGATACTTATATTCGATAAAGGCCTGCTGGCCATAGGAAATGTAAGTTAGTTGATCACACTATCACTCTATTGTCACAGTCTCATAATGTTTTGATCAAAACCTCATATTCTTTCTACAATTTCCAGATTTTATTTATTTGTGGTTTAGCATGTGTGATTGGCTTGGAAAGAACATTCCGTTTCTTCTTTCAAAGACATAAAGCCAGAGCATCTCTTGCTTTCTTCGGCGGCATTGGTGTTGTCCTTTTGGGATGGCCACTCATTGGAATGTGTTTGGAGACCTACGGTTTTGTTCTCCTTTTCAGGTATGTCTGTGACTGTATTTTTTACTTATCACTTTAAATTATTATGTGATTTGTTTAATTGGGTGTGTAAATTCATGGCAGATGGGTACTATTTGGGTTTGATAGTTTGGAAACGCTCTCTGAATTATTGTCTTTGTTTTGGTTAGCCATCTTTTTCTCATATGTATAGGCTGGAACTTGTACACTCTGAACTGTGTACGCTGTTAAGCTTATCAATTTTTTTGCTCTCTCCAACTGATAAGTCTCTTGTGCTCATTCGGGAGCATTGACCTGTGTACCATGCTTCTTAATTATTATATTTACATTCAGTTAACAGTAATATAAACCGTTGATGTTTGTTGGAGGGCTCTTTGTTCAATGTGTACTCTCATTTGCATGTTTCAGTGGATTCTTCCCAGTGGCTATAAACTTCTTGAGACGAGTACCGGTGCTGGGAACTTTCCTGAACCTTCCAGGAGTTTCTGGGGTATGCGAATATTTTGAAAGTAGACAGTCCCAATGATATGCTGAGTGTTGCTAATTAAAAAATAAATTTGTCTAAAGTACAGTTGTAACCATTTTATACTTCCTTTTTATTAGTCGCCTGCTCTGCTTTGGTATTTTGTAGTGAGTTGGCCTTCTGTAGAATTTGCCCCTTATCTGGTTTTTTGAAAAGTCATCTGCATTTCATCTAGTTTTGAATATTATTGATGCATGAGTTCTTTTGGATGATAACCCTTTGTTTTGTGAATCAATACATGTGTCACATTAGGATGAAGCTTTTGTATTGCTTTGGCCACATCATCATCTTACTTGTCAGTTTCATTTCTAAATTAGCTGCTTACTGAAATTGCATCAAGTTATTTTTCTCTGTTCACAGGTAGTGGATAGACTGGCTGGTGATAGCAACAGAACAACTGTCTAAATTATTCGAGAAAAGAACTGGTTTAATTTAGTTTTTAAAATGTCATTATTTTGAAAGAAAGGCTGAAGTTACACCCTGTTTGTTTTTAGTCATTGAAGGTTTATAGAAATGCTTTCCATTTCTTTTGAATTCAAACCCTGAGAACTATGCTCTCTCTGGTAACATTTTCTTAGGAGAAGAGGTTTATAGATACAACATCTCATGAAAACTTGAAAGTGTTGCCACGTATAGAATACCATGCAATCAAATTACCAACGCCTCATAGTTCTAAGTCAAGAGGTTTCCCATTTCTCTAGAGATCTCAATGCTAATTTCATTTGCAGTTTGTGTGCCAGTGTCCAGGAAGATTTTTCTCATCTGCATTCCCTTATCCTATTTTCCTATGTGTCATTTCATGCTTTTACTCTGCTATTTTGCCCTCGTTTTTAAAACTTTTAAAATCTGGTTTTTTTTTTTAATATTATGGTTTGACTGCCTTGCATCTACATCCTGTAAAACCATATGTGTGCCCAATAATTGTTAAACATCAAGATATCTGATTTGTTTGATTTGAGGCTTCATTCAAATTCTTTATTTTCTTTGCTTTCATCAATGCCATACAAATATCAATGAATTGAATTGTCGTCAGTATCATGATGATGGCATTTTGATATTCTTCACATCATTGTGTCCTTTTTCCCCCACATGTGTGTTCCATTCATGATTTGGAATAAATCAGATTTTGCCATCTATGCTAATTGCTCATGAAAGTACCTTGAGTAGACCTTAATGAATTTAAAGAAACCAAAGTGTGCACATTTTGTCATTAAAACTGTACCTATTGTAAATAAATATATTATTTCAACCTGTCTTTTTAGTATGGTCAGTTAGCTGTAGTACCAGTCTAATTAACAAAAGTCAAACAACAAAATGCTGTGGCAAAATAGTTCAGAGATAGAACTCCAAATCCAGTTTCAAAAGTTGCTCAAAATCAAGTACACTCTTCCAAAGACTTGTGTTTGATCACTGAATATAAATTTTTGTGCCTGAATGGTCTTGGCAGTCAAAGAGGAGAAGTCAGAACTATAAAGGGTGATCATTTTGAAAATTCTTGCCGAACTGTGTTGCTTGAGACCACTACGAACTGAATCTCGCGCCCGCCTCTGCGCTCAGGACTGCCAATATAATGACACTTAATGAAACGCAGTGGCGGCAGCGAGCGTCCCTGTGGGTGGATAGGACACGGTCAACGACAGAGTCCAACCAAAATTTGAGGCTCAAAACGGGCGCTGCATTGCCGCGCACTCTGCGAGAAAGGCACGGCGCCGAGGTTTTCGTCCGCAGCGGTTGGCAGCTCCGAGCGGCGCGCTCCGCTGCTTTGGCGCCGTCGATTGAGCGGGCAGGGCGAGCAGCACCGCGGGCTTGGCTCTGGCTCTGGCACGGCACAGTCTGGTGAAGGCCGGCCTGCAGGAAGGAGGCAGGGACCGAGGCGCGCCGCGTCCGCACACAGAGCCGCAGCCGCTGCGAGGGCTCAACCGGCTCAACCCCGTGCACCGCGAGGACCGCGAGAGGCACGGCACCGCCAGCAGACCAGGCCCTGCAGGACACTCGAGGACACGACGCCCCGCGCCGAGGACGCTGCACGTGAGGGTGCACGTGTGTGCGCACGACCCACGTGGAGATATCGACCGGCGTCCGAGCACGCCAGAGCAGGTAAACGAGTTTCAGATCGCTGTCATTCAACCGGGCGCCGCGGCCCGCGCCCTCAAAGGGCTCGCCGGGGGAGGGAGGCGTGTTATATCCAGCCGTTCCAAATTTAACGCGTGCGCGGCGGAGGGGCAGGCCCTTCGGTCCCTTGCCTCGCGACCACGGCCGGCTGGGCAGACGCGTGGGGCCCGCGTCGGCGTGTCAGCACCGGCAGCATGCCGGCAGGACGTCAGCGAAGGGAATCGTGCCGTCGGTATCTCGGTGGCGGTGTCACTTATCGTGAGGCCGGTCGTGGGTGCCTGTGCTTCGCCCGCTTCGCCACCGTCCACCGGTATCACTCCTTCGGGGACGATTTCGGCCCGAAGGCCGCCCATGTGTGCGTGTTGCGTCAGGAGTTTGCACATTTGGCTCGGTCGGTTTGAGTAGCGGGGCCGTCCATAGCGCACCTGCCCGCGGTTCTAGTGTTTCTAGCCTTCCGCATGCCGCGTGGTCGCCGCGTGCGCACACCGGGTTCCTTAGCGCCACCACTCCTCGTGCATAGGGGTGTGCGAATCGGGAATTTTGTCTTCGAATCGAATCGAATCGAATCTCTGTCAAAATGTCCCGAATCGAATCGAATCCGCAATTTTTCCCCGAATCGAATCGAATTCGAACATCTGCACGAAATTTTCGAATCGAATCCGAATATTGCCAAATTTTAAATGCTTTTCTAAAATGTGGCGTAATGCCTTCTGGGGATGGTTTTTTGTCAGTTTAGTAAAGAGGAGGGGAGAGGGGAGGGAAGGTGGAATGCCAAAACGCGGGCTAGGTATAAGAAAGTTAGCGACCCTTATGAGAAACTCCACAGGGCGCGCAAATCCAAATGACAGGGCGAAGGACGATTGATTCGAAGACGAAACGTGTTGATTCGATTTTTCGAACCTTTCGGTATCGAATCGGCGAGTCCGTGAGCGAATCGAATCGAAACTAAGCAGATTCGATTCGATTCGATTTCGAACAATTCGCACACCCCTACTCGTGCAAGAGACTTCCACTCCATGGGGTGATCACCTGGAGCATGTTGACCTCCTGGAAGGGCTCTGTCGCATAGCGATTCGATTACCGTGACCGAGGGGGTATGCACTCGCGTAATAGTCGGTTCACTCTATCTGTAATGGCTTGCGTAATAATACGCGTAATAGTCGGGTAATAGCCAAAATTGTCAAAATTTTATCAAATTTGGTGTGTTTTAGGCCGTTTTTAGCTAAATTCCGATTAATTTGTGGCGTACTAGAGCGTAATAGCGTAATAGTCGGTACACAGGTTCAGAGAGCGCATACCCCCTCGACCGTGACAGTATTTCGTTTACTTACTTACCGCCGCTCCCAGGCGGTTCCTGGTTGGCGTTCCCTCCCAGGCGTCCCCTTCCTCGTCCTGCCTTTGGCGGAAGAGCCACCCCCTTCCCTCCCTCCCCACCCCCTCTCCCCGCCCCCCGAGGGGCCCCCGCGCCGCCCCCGCGCCTCCCCCGTTTGTTCCGTGCTGGGCTGGGCCTGGCTGGGCTGACAAGGTCAGCGATATTCCGGCGGGTTTGGCTTTTGGCATCTCCTCGCCGAAATGCTGGCGGTGCGGGCGGGCCGGCTTGGCTGTGCTTGGCTTTGTCGCAGCGCCGCAGATTTAGCCATTTTTGTGTTTTATTTCCCCGTTTTTAGTGTCTTGTCGCTTTTTGCCCGTCGCGGCAACACGCAGGCTGCGCAGGCCAGCGCGGTTTACTGCCGACGGTTTTCCGCGCGGTGTATACCGGTGTGCCTTATTCCTTCCCAGACCTGCTTCGCGTTGCCCCCTCAGCCCCGCCGCTCGGCAGTCACAAATTCTCGCTCTTTTCTTGCCTTCTGTGCGAGACTACCCCCCGGGAGGCCGCGTCTTTCTCTCTCTCTTTTCTTTGTGACGACTCCCTGGTTTCCTGGTTTCCTCGTACTTGCGTATGTATGCAGTGGCGTGGCGTGGCGGGGCCTGGTGGGGAGGGGTTCATTCGCAAAGTGTATTCATGAGCCCCGTGTGCAGCGCAGCGCTGCCCATGTGCCCGCCCCGCCCCGCCCCGCCCCGCCCCGCCCCGCTACGCCCCGCCAGCGCAGTGCCCTGGCAGCCCTGGCGTGTGACGGACTCACTGATTCACGCGGGGTGGTGCCAGGTAGGGGTGGTAAGGCCGGGGGTTGCGAGGAGCGCTCCAGTCTGGAACGGAGCGGTGTTCGAACCCAAGACATGCGGAGGTGACGCGGCTGCGGGTCGCGGCAGGTGTCATTGGGTGCAGGCAGGGAGAGTACACTGTATTTAGCAGTGGAGCGGTCCGGACAGGACGGCTTGTTAGGTTTGTTCTCCCTCCCCACTCCACCTGGCCGCCTTGTCTGCCTTGCCGCACTGCGTGAATGTCGGCAGGGCGGGCAGGACAATGCGGCCCGAGGTGGCTTATTTTCTTGAATACCTGTCAGGTACAAAGAAAGGGGGAGGGGGGAGAGCGCACTCCGAGAGCGCACTTTCATTCCGTACCCCATTCTGGCGATTCTGGCGAGAGTCCGGCATGCGAAATGGACAGGCTGTGAGTGTCCGGCGCTGAAATGGACTTCTCGGACCCTCCGCCTCGACTCCCGCCACGACTCCCGCCACGCCCAGCGCCCAGTAGGCCGCGGCCGTGACTCCGCGGGGGCGGATCGGTGTGACGTCACGGGCTGATTCACCCCCGCGCGGCGCCACGCGGCCGTGGGCCGTGGGTGGCTGGGGGCTGCGCGGGGGCTGCGGCATTGCGTCAGCCTGGCCGCCGCTGTGGGGTGGCGACGCCCCCCCCCCCTCCCCCTCCGGGCTCCCTCAACCCCGACCTTTCGACCCTCAGCGTGCGTGGTACAGCTCCAGAAGGGTTGCATCAGCCTCCGATCTTTCCACCGCTCCGGCTTGAAATGCGACCCCTGCCCGATCCCGAGCGAACGGACGCGGACTCTCGGTCTCTCTCGCACTCAGGGGGCGTTCCGCGTGGCCGCATGGGTGCGAGAGAGACAGACCGGTGACGTCACACGCTGCTCTGGGGGGTGGCAGCATTGAGCGGGGGGCGGCATGGTATGGCAGGGTGCTGGCCGACGCGGTTGGCGATAAAGTTGTCCCCGAATCGGGGGCGACTCGCCCAGCGCACAGTGGGCCAGAAGACCGGTGAGGCGGCCAAAATTCGAGACGTGCTTTGAGCTGCAGAGTCGCTAAATGGGACTCGAACCGACCGCGTGACCCCACCAATGGATTCCTCATTCGGAGAGCAGTCCATTGGTGGGGTCGCACGTTCGGTTCGAGTCCCATTTAGCGACTCTAGCTCAAAACGCGTCTTGAGTTTTGGCCGCCTCCACCGGTCTTCTGGCCCACTGTGCAGCGACGCGGCGACGCGCGCAAAGCCATTGTCTTTCCGAGCGCGTGCCCTTCTCCCTCCCCTTCCCCCACCCCTTCCCCACCCGGCGCAAAGTGACGAAATTCTGCGCACGGGGCGAACCATGGTGGAACAAGAAGCGCTGCTTGGCGAGCTGGCGGCGCAGGCTGCTATCCCGGGTCCTCGACGACGCGGAGGAGCCTCGGGAGGAGCTGCAGGCCGCTCCCAAACGCAGCTCTCTTCTGTCTCTCTCGCACTCGCGAGCCGTGCCGTCGCGGTGCGAGAGAGGACAGAGAGCGCGCTGTTCAACGGCAGTGCACTCGGCAGCCGGGTCCAGTAATTGTCCGGCCTCTTGTCGTCCTTGTCGCACGCGAGGATAAGCGAGACCCCGGAATGCAGCATGCAGCTTGCACCTCGCCGAACGGGAACAGGTTTCTGCTCCTCGGATTGACTTGCAAATAGTGTAAACGAGTGTAGTGGCGGCAGGCAGCGGCGCGGCGGGCTGCGGTCCCTCCGAGACCTCCGAGAATGAATCAGTGCCCTTCTCGCCTTATCGCCGCGGTTCCACATCTGGGGCGGACACGTTGACATGTGCAACCGACACTTTTTCTTTCCTTTTTCTGGCGACAAGTTGTTGTTGCCGAAGCAGGCGGCGGCATGGCGCGGCGACAGCGACGCGGCGGCTTGGTGGCGCGGCGTGAAAAAAAGGGCCTTCTTGAAGTGCGCGCGGCAGTGCAAGTAGTAGTGCAGGCGCGACGTGGCGACTAGAGGCCGCGGCTCTGCGGCGCTGGCCGGCCGGGCCTTCCCTTATCAAGCAGCCACGCCGCCCTGGCCCTGGCGGCCCTGGCGGCCCTGGGACCGCCGCACACGAGCAAGGCGCGGCCCGCGGTCCGCGGCCGCCACCTGCTCACTCAATTCGCGTTGCCCGCGGCGCGCGGCCCAAATGAATGGGACAATGTCAAGGCCGCCGGACTGGCCGCTGGCTCGCCGCCCCGCCCCGCCGTCCCTTCGAATGTTTCCGTCTTGGGGGAATTGTCCGTGTGCCAAAAGGCCGCGCGGGCGTGGACGTCGTCGACGACCCGGCCCCTGCAGGCTTATTCCGCACTGTGCCTCGTCGCTCTGTCTCTCTCGCCCCCTACGGGACGACCCGTGAGTGCGAGAGAGACGGGTACTCTTCGGAATGAGTGTGCTGGCTGCTGGTGGACCCTTTGGCCGCGGCGCCGCGACGCGCCCTACTTCGTGCGTCGCGACAGAGCAGTGGCGACGCAGCGACGCCGAGGCGGTCTGGCGGTCCGGCCGCGGGGCGGGACGGGGCGGGGCGGGGTGGGGCGGGGCGGGGCGCCACCCCGGCTACGTACAGCCCCGATGCATCCCCAGCAAGGACGTCGAAGGCTGGTCGAGGAACGCGGTGACGAGCTTGTCCAGGACCTCGGAGCCTGTGTACCTTCCTAGTTAGCCGTGTATGTATCTTGAGTATACTGTATAGGGCTCTAGTGTACTTGATACTTTACTCTCCCTGCTCGCGCACCGTCGCGCAAAGAGTGCAGCCCCGCAGCCCTTTACCCAAGCTCGCGGTGCTGCAAAGGAAAAAGGGCACAGGAAACCCTCTGTTCGCCAGCGAGGCGCA